ATGATACAGCCAGTTCTATAAGCGATATTTCCAGCAGCAGCGTTATTAAAATGACCCTCTCCCGCACTACGGTGTTACAGTTTTGATCTTTTGTACAGTGGTCAAAGCACAATATCTGAGAAAACATGATAGCCATTTAGAGTTCTGAAAGCGAGCGATGTTTCAGCAGCAGCGTTATTAAACACTCCCTACCCCACCGGTTAAAAGTTCTAGTTTCGACCTCTATATAGTGGTTTGTGTTACAATATATGAAATCTTGATAGCAGCCATTGCTTTCTGTAAGCGAAATTTCAGGAGCATGTTATTTTGCTCAATTGCAGTGCCTTAAGTCAAGTGGTGGTCTGATTGATACCTTTTAATGGAAGTCATCAATGGCTCATTTTACAATCTTGAAAATTTTACAATATACATTTATGGTAGTAATGAATATTTTTCTCATATTTTTTCTCTTCGAATTTAAGTAAATAAAGACTGAAGCAAAGAAGTGATGTTAATATCCGTGAAAATATTATGTAATCAAATTGCTGTTGTACAATGATCACATAATTAAGTGTAATAAAAAATGAGAAAATTCAAGCTAGTATGCTTACCTTTCAATTCATTATTTGACCTGAGAGCTGCATGAATGCGAACAGGGAGACTGGGGAATGTTTCAACAAAATACTGTAATCGCCAATCCTACAAATGGTTCTGGTTGTGGTAGAGGTCGTGGTCGATCGTTCCGATGCTGGCCAATATCTTGAAAGCCTTAAGCATTCTGTCCATGACGATCCATACTTTCTTCCATTTACCAAATATTCATAAACATCGTTATCCATTTGACTTTTCCAATTTGAAGATCCGATATTAATTTGTTGGACGATACTAGAGTGGGGATCATCTGTTTTAATTGACTTAAGACAGTAAGTTACATAAAAAGTGAAATATTTCGTCATGCGACAGAAGAAATGGATGTTTCAAGGCTTCTTTGGCAGATGGCTCTTCTGGTTGTAGTTTTAACATCCACGACAGAAGGTCTTTAATGTTTCATCTTTGATTTCGTCCAAACCAACGTTTCCCATTCAACATGTTGTCCAGTCTTCCGTTTCTTTCCCAAAAGGATGTTTCCTTTTGTTGCAACATAATAAGCCACCATTCCTGCATTCTAAGATAATAAAAATGTAACATTAACAGAAAAATTAAAACTCGCAAAAACTAAATTTCGCTGTGAGCTTTGTAAATGTTAACATTCTTTACACTTACATATATCAGACTCTTTTGTAACGTGCTTCATTTGAATCATCTCTACATTCCAGAGCAACCATTCAGTTCCCATGTACTTGCTTTAGATCCATTCTTCAACATTCGACTAATGCCAAAGTCAGCTAACAGAAATTGTTGCCTACGTCACGGAGAACATTGGAAGGTTTCAAATCCCCGAATGAAAATAGGATTTGGGCCCTATGAAGATCAGCTAATCCATTCAAAATTTTGTTAAGAATATGGAAGAGCTTTTGAAGATAATGTATAGTAGAATCTTTCACAAACTTCTCCAGTGATCTCCTCACATAAGTCTAAGATCAAATAAACATAGTCTGTTCCAGTATCTTCCTCTAAGAAGTAATAATTCACAACATATTTCTTACTTTTGCATTGAATTCATTTAAAATTTTCTTTTCATGCTGTGCAGGCTGGAAGTAAATATTCTACGTGTTTTACTGCTTTACCAGCCATCCCTTTGTCAGTCCAAGATAAACAAGCATTTCTTCGCCGAGCATAAACTTCTTCGAGAAAATTACATGAACATTACCCACATATTTAATATCTGCTCCGGGATTTCTGTCACACAATTCTAACAACAGACTTTATGCTGAACTGAATGACCAACGATATTTCCACTTCTTGCAAATGCCATTCTTCAAATGACATAAAAGTATTACATTCAGAGGTGAGTGCAACAAAACTAATCAAATTCATAAGAATAGGTAGCTCAAATTTACTCAAATATACTTAAAATTTTGATAACGATTAAATTTTGTAAAATCTTAGCACCAGTCATCAAAATTGTCAAAAAATCAATTATGCAAACATATATATTAAGATTAAAGGCAAGCGATACAGAAAAATGTTGTTTTTAATTAAAAATAGCACTTTCGTTTAAACAACGCAATGTTATTACAAATGATTTTTCGTGGAAAATTGAAGTTTTCGAAGCATGTAGTTTCTTTATGCTTAAGTTTATATTTTATAGTGGAAGATATAACAAAAGGCTTTGTTTCAACAAAATATTTTTCACTTTTGCCTTTAGATGTTTTTCTAATCTTTACTACTAAACTTTTTTATGAACTGACAGATTAAAGAGTCTTTACTTGCTCAACCTCCATGCTCTGTTATCTGTCTTATTCCCATTTCACTATCTTAAAACCATACAACAAAGTAGGATTTGAAATTGTCTTGTAAACCTCTCTTTTCATATTAGTTGAAATTACCATTTAACAAAGAACTCATTTCTCCAACCCATCCACATACACTCTACGCCAATCTGAACTTCTACTTGTGTAACCTCATTACTTTTCCTCTACACTTAGCATGATTTCCTTCTCCGTTGCATGGAAATTAGCCTGTGGTTAATTTAGACTAACACAAAACCGTATGAATAGATAGTCACTGCAAAAAAACGAGCACTTTCAAACGGAATGAAAAATCAGAATTTCTTGCATGTTTACATGGGACAGGAAATCACGAAAAACCTCATTTGCGTAATGCCTCCTTTGCAGGCTAATTTTACGCTATATATTGGAATATATTGTTATAAAACAAGGGTAATAACATATGATTTTTGTTAATGATAACATTTTTAAAATAACATAGTGGGCATTTATTGAGCAAAACATTTGATGTATATTTGAATTATAATTTTGCGATGTTTTATGGAAGTGCATATGCTTGTTTTAATACTTTAATCATTTCTCTAATACTTATAATTAAATGTTATTTATAAATTAAAATGCACAGAAAGAGTGTAATATGTTTAATGCATTATACATTTTATGTTGCATGATTTCGTCATATTTGTTTTCAGTACATAGTTTGACTTATTTCGAAATGTCATAAAAAAATAATCATGTTAAAGTTGACATACGAAATGACAGCACTTAAATTTGTTCTTTGCGGACCATGATTACTTGTAGTGGCTTTAAAGCAACGGTGTTTGAGCCCAGGCAACATTAATGTCATATGTGATGAAAACTAACACCGATGTAGAAACGTTAGCTACATCGAGTTTGACAAATCGTTTAGTCCTGAATATTATCACAGATATAAACACAGTAGCGAAGCCACATGATTCCTATTCCTATGTAATGCAAATATTTCCGTGATCATTCACTGGAAAACACTAAAGGAATTAACTTTCTGAAGACATAAATAATTTTCACTGAAAATTTGTTTTGGTCTTGCCTACGTAACTTCGGTTTGCATGTTCTTTGACCCAATAACTCTTTAAAAAGCTAATTATTGCAATGGTTTTAAAGAATTCACTTGACGGTAAAATTTTTCTTTAAAATCAAGACAATTATAAATATGCAAACTATGACACACCTTGAATACTGATAAAAACTCAATAAATCGTAAACAGTAATAAACCAAAACAAAAATTTTACTAGAGAATTACCATATATAAATGTACGTATGTAAAGTTTCACAGCAACTTAATAAATTGTGTTTGGGATTAAGTTGCATCTCTGTAACATAAAAGTACTGAGGTCCTTCATATATCGAAGAAAAAGAAATCGAAACCGAAATTCCAAAACGCATAATTGATTTTGGTAAATACACAATTTGAAAGAAATGATATTTGAAAAAGTCCGGTGAATTAATCAATCACTTCACATCTTTATCCAGATCATGGTCAACGTTGTTGATTGATGATGTGACGCTGGTTTGAGATTGTCTCTTAAGATTCTCTTTATGTCTCTTTTCAACGCTTAGAAGCTTTGACCCATCAGCGTAGGCTCCATGAGCGCAAAATTGCAGCGAAGAAAATGTTCTAATTACATTAGTAATTACAAGTTAAAATCTAAAACACACCTCGTCCGAAGTGCAAGTTATTCCCAAACTATCGCGTTTGATTCCGTCCACTTTTGAGTTATGTATAAACAAAGCAAAGTAATTGATTGGCTCTGTATTAGACAGGCACAGCCAATTGTATTAAAGTTCTCATGTTGGCTAGACAACGTAATACTTACGTGGTCATTGGTCGCGGCATAAAAAATAAGGTCTTTACAGCCACTCAGCCACTGCATTCATAATTGCTGCTAATAGTCAATTTTATAGTTTGACTAAAAGAAACTCGGAACACGGCTTACAGCTCCACGTATTCTGATAAAATATACAATACTGTGTTGTACAGAAATGCCAGAAATATTTGTTGATTTGGTTTAATCAGACTACGTACCTCAAAATAGTTGTCATCAACAACTGCTTATATGTACAAAAGTTTAGCAATATGTAGCACCACAGTATATAGAACATACAGTAGGGCCACTCCATTGAATTTTTTCGAGCCACACGTATCCTATTTCCCATGTGATTACCATATTGGCAGACAGTAAACTCCATTGTGTGACCAATAGGAGTGACGATATGGCATACGGCAGCCAACTAATTAAATTTGGCCTACTATATATTCCCTATACTGTGGTAGCACTAGGGATTATTGGAAGTTAAAAAGCAGCAGTCATAACTAACACTCAATTTCGTCTTTTCTTATCCACAAGACTTACTTGGAAATTTAAAAGTCAACATTGATCAAGGGGAATTATTCTGCCATAAATGATATGACTTTTGATGTTGTAGCGTTATAATACAGGTTATCACATTGCAAACCACATTCCAAAATCAAAATTTTAATATTTATATTGAAGGGAAATGATAGATTTAAACTTTTATCAAAGGTAGCTTGGTTATAACGAACATTTTCATTCAGTATTTAAACGTCACACATGCACATTGCTGCTGGGTTAAAGAAGGTAAAAATTATGATATATTGTTTTTAACTACTTACTGATGTTCTCAAATGTTTTCTAATTAAATGACAACTGTTTTCTGTATTTTATTTAATTTTATGATGAGATTTTTGTAACCTGATTTAAAAAGTACCTATATATCTTCCAAATAATCTTCCTGAAAATTAAATGCGCATTATTAAGTTAAAGAATATCAAGCAACTTTTCGTCATTAATAAAAAAATTGTCGACTAAATCAATACATTTTTGAATTGTAATCATCACTTTTCTGACAAGCAAGCTTCCAAGCTTCAACAGCATGTGCAACAGTAACTTCAACTGGTAAACTCTCCTCGAGATCTTTAATAATTTCACAACCATCTTGTTCAAGCATTGCGTTGATGTACTCTGCTAAACTATATGTTAAGAACAAAATTGAAATCTTAGTGGTATGAGCTATATAAACATGCTTTTTCTAATGAATACAACTAGCTTTCTGTTGATACAGTTAAAATAAGCATCATTGACTTATAAAATGACAAAATTTGATTGAAAAATTTTGGAAATGTAAAAAAGCAGATCATTGTACAATTCAAACTTTTTTTCATGATTTTGTATTACCCTTTTCCTTTATGAAAAGACATGTTTCCACACTTTTTAACATTTTTCCGAGCAATAAATACAAAACATTTGTGAATGTTTGCACATTTTCTATCATGACTTGTTTGTTACAATTTTGTACACGTTTTACGTGGTAAAATAAATTTAGTGTCGTTTTCCTTGTATACATAAATGGTTGTATAAAACAAGAGTTTTCACGTTAGAGAAAGTGGTCAGTTAACTCCTTGAATTCAGAAAAATTAAATCGTATTCTCCAAAAATGCGTGTAATTTACCATGATATAGAATTTGAAATAAACTATTCAATGAAACGCTAACAAGTGACATTGATCCAAACAATTTTCGTGATACGATTAGGGTTTTATAACGAATGAAAACGATCGACGAACTTAACGATGTAAAAAGTTGGGATATGCAAGAAAGGACATGTAGCAGATGTTAAATAAGCAGCACAACAAATAGTTATGTAGCTAAATAGTTTTACTTACGGCCAGTGCAACTGTTCGTCTGCTGCATTTTTCAAAAAGAGTAAAATAAGCTGCAACAATTCATCAACGAAACAATCAATTTTGATTTTCTGTAAACCACGCCTTAATTCAAACTTTATTTCCCTTGTCAATGCTGTCTTTATCTTATCTGTTACATCGTCAAATGGTTCCTATAGCAATACCACAAAGATTTCAATATTCCCATATCATCTTTTGCCTTATACATTACAGTTACGCACTTTAGTCCATACATACAGTTTTTAAACTCCATATCAACATAAATTGTTTTAAAGGGCTGAATATATCAGAAGAAATATTTTTATTGATGTAATTATGGTAGTCAATATGAGCTGTAGTTGCTTTATTAGATTAACGATAAAGTTCGCTGATTTGAAACAAGTAAAAGCAGGACTCACGTGCAAAATAATCATTATGTTTAGCTAACTGATATGCTCTTGATTGACATTGGTTTTGTTAGTCCAAAACAAAATATACGTATAGTATTTTATCTGTTAGCGCAATTAATACCTTCACATAAGAATTCACACGATTTGTACCAAAAATATCTAGGCCGAACAAACCTGTTTACGTCTAGTCAATATTTTTGCTCTTTCTAATGATAACAATTTCCAAAGCGCAACAACATGTTGAAGCTGACAAATCTGCTCTGCCTAAAATATAATTACAAAACCCTTAATATGGTGAAAGAATGCCAAAGTTTTATGGCTTTCACTCTTTATACATGTGAGAATAGGATAACACTTGTAAGCCAAAAAAAATACCTTTACATACAAAAGCCATGAAACACAATAAAGACAAGGCTTAATACCAACATTCAACAAGACCTTATTTGTACGCAAGGAACTACGGCTCTAGGACTTAAGCCCCTCAAATAATAAAATGGTTGGTTTGCCCTCCCAAAAGAAGGCCAAGGAATGCGAAGAAAATAAAATATTAATATCAATCAAAATATCAGAGCTTAAATTTAAAGAATTAATTTCGGTCGAGCATCATAAGCCTGGGCTTTAACAAAGTAATATCGAACGAAATTTCCCTACTTTTTTCTTGTTCTTTTTATTGCAGACAAAGGACAAACCCTTCAAGAATATTATTAAAAGTTTTTGTTTGATAAAGAAGATTTTAGCAAGAGAGTTTTCGCAGGTCGTCCATTTTATTTACAAACAGCATAGCTACCTTGCCACTTTTTAAACCGTTTCTAGGATCAAGTTTCAATGCTGATTTCATATATTCACTGATAAGCATTCCTGGATTTCCTCCAGCAGACGATAAGAAACCAATGACATTGTGGAGAGATTTAAGAACGTCACAAACATCAGTGAGTTGGTTCAGTTCACTTAAGATCTGACCTTTCACTGGTCGACTAAGTTTAATCTACAAACAGAATTAGAAACCATAGACGTTAGAAAAAATAACGAAATTAAAAAAAACGACCAAAATCTTGAAAATGAGATCATTCATACAGAGCAGATTCTAGGTAACTCTAAATACATCACCGAAAATATATTTCGTTTTGCTTTTATCATAAGTAAAGTAGCTAAATTAGGTACTTTTCTTATCAAGTGTACCTGAGGGATCTTTTGATTCAACGCTTTAAAAACAGCTCCATCACAAATATCTTTGCTGAACACAAATAATTCAACCTAAAGAAGCAGAAACTTAATTTATATAATGAAACGCAGAAATAGCTGACAGAACCATAAATTCTCAATCCAATTCATTTATATCCCTTTCTGTACAACATGGATAACATGGAACTAACATAAATTCAGGGAACTAACCAAAGATGTAATTCTAGGTTTTCCCCGAATAAATCTGTCGACAAGTTGTCTTTCTAAAGATTTCCAGTTGAACTTCACAGCTGTTTCTTCACCTCCTTCACCAAATTTTAGTGAATAATCACAGTGAGCCAGGACCATCGGCAAAAAATCTCTCTCTGGATCATAGGCAACCAAATGTCCCTTAGTAACGTTCGACAGCGATAGCTCCTCTGAACTATAAAGATGTAAAAAATATCAAGCTAACAGAAGGATAGCAATGAAATATTTATTAGAGTGAAAACCTGCTCTATAAGGCAATTTATGTTTTAAGAATACATAACCAGCCTGAGGAATAAAAGTAGCCCTTTTCTTAAAACATAAAATAAAATGAAGCTCTCAACAGTGATGAATCCTAACAAAATCTTGGAAAGTTTATCTTACTTTTTATCGTCCTTCAACAAGCTTTTACATCGTCCAATAAAATTGTTATGTAAAGATACAAGGTAATTTGTCAGTGCCAAAGAACACTTTCCAAGTCCTTTCCACGAAGGCAATAACATCAAAATTGGAGTAGCGTTGATAACTTCCTTCTCTCTCATTTCTTTTGAAATTCCGTAATGACCTAACAAGTCAATTAAGACAACCGCAGTTATTTAAAGAAATCTTGGTAATACAAACAAAGTGATTTCAGATATTACTCAACAGATTGCATTAGTTAACACTTAATTAGGTAATGATTTGTCAACCAATGTTGCTCTCATGCATTAAAACAACTGAAGAAACACATCAGTAAATAAAATAAATAAATTGAATAATTCACTCTACATAGCATCAAACTTAACTCAACTTTTATTTTGTCACTCACCATCTTGTGGAATAGATGATCTAATGATTTTCCAAGCCATATTGAAACTGTTGATTAAGGACTTCACATGCTGTTTTATATCAGGGTCTACAAACGAAAAGAAAAAACCAAATTTAAGGACTATTTCTTTGCCATGAAAAAGTATTTAATTGATCAAAATGTGAGACAATTAAACAAAAACCAATTTTCTAAAGTTATAAATGATTTCAATTCTATTCCATTTATCTTAACGTTTTAGCTGTATATCTCTCTAAGAGAACATTTGCGTATTCAACAGACCTTAGATGCAAGCTGCGAAGAAAGATGAATAATCTTGACAAAAACATGTTACAGCAGAAAAGGAGCACGCATAACAATTATTGGTATGTTTAAGTGAAAGACGTCAATACAACGGAAGAAAAACTTTTGTTTGATTAATATTGACAATATGAATACTTGTTTAACCAGACATGCTATATACAGAGCATCCACTAACATCACAAATCAAAAGTTATTTAATTTTAAGCAAGTTGAGATTTACTGGCAGCAAAAGTAGTCTAACTTTTATAACTTAAAATAGAATAGGGATGCATGTCAGCAATGTAAAGTATACAGTTGATAAAACGTGAAATGAAGGTGAAAAATAGAAAAAAAAGTTTAGCTAAAATAGGAAGGATATTTTATTTTTTTTTTTTTTTTAGATGTATTAACCATAGAACAGCAAGAACCATAGCTATTCCACAGCAGTAATGAAATTTACTGCAGCAAATCAGAACGCGTTTAAAAAAGTATTTATATACCTTTATATAAGTCTCCCAATGTATTTTTCAGCTTCATTTCGATCTAAGCAACGATGAAACTTTTCAAAAGAAAACGTTGCAACTTTATGATATCCGGAAGATACTGAAGGGCACGAAGATGACATTCCTGGAAAAGAAAATGTATAGAAGTTTGTACAATGTATATTTTAAACTCTTTAACTAGTGATCCCGGCCAGGGTAAAGTTTCAATTTAGCTTAGATTAAAAAAGTAAAGTGGTAGCAAAAAGTCCTTGTTGTAGACTGATTTTGAGAAGTCCTGAACTAATCATAACATATTTAACAAAATGCCTATTTTCATTAAATATTTTCCGCATTTTAGTTGTTTTATTTTAACAATAAATTAATTGTTCTTAGAATAGCTATTTACACGCAGAAAAGGACACATGCATTTAATTTTAAATCTGTCTTGTTCAGTAGCCTGCAATAACTGTAATTCTTACATAGAAAGTAGTTACACCTAGCTAAATTTAAAGTTTTAAGAAAGATCGAAAATTAAAAAAAGTGAGTAACAGATTAGCGCCATTTGCACATTACATTTAAAATCATTGTAAAGGAAATTAAGCATAACCTTTTTTAAAAATTCATCAAGTACTTCACACTTGTCTGTTGGCACTGTGACACCTTGAGAATATTCTTGGTATTTAAAGGAAAAATGTTCAATGGTGATTTTCTTACGATTTCTCCAAAGTGCTGGACATGAAGGATCGAGTTTTGTAACGACATGAGGGTTCATCTAATTCGTTGATCAATTTCATTAGCCGATTATTTCCTGGAAAAAGTGATGGAAAAATGTTTTGACGAATTATCTAACTCTATGTTTTCAAGAACCTGCGCTCTACTTTAGTATAAAAATATACGAATAAAAAGCAAAAACGTAGCCTTAAACTGCCAAACGGCAAATTGTTATTAAATTTTAAATAAATTTGTTCTCATAATGGTCGTTTTACAAAATTAATTTTTTTGATTTCACTTGCAAACTTTTTATGAAGAAGCAAAACAGGAAAAGTTTATTGAAATATATAATTCTGAACATAAAATTTTATACAACACATCTAATTGCTAAGACACTGATCATAAAAAACAGGACTAAAAGTGTTAATAGAAGTGTCACAGTTTCGTGACTGCATTTCAATTGAAATTTTAACATCATCTTGTTACGATTCCAAGGGATTTCGCGTCATTTTTCTTTCTAGAGATATTGATCGTGTTTTCACAGAAAATAATGATGCTCATCATAATGCGAGATATTGATCGTGTTTTCATATAAAATAATGATGCTCATTATAATGCAAGATATTGATCGTGTTTTCATAGAAAATAGTGATGCTCATCATATTGCAAAGTAATGTTACCCGATGATATTTTCATTTAAATTGTTGAACTTATGAAGAAAGAATTGTTTTCTAAATTAAAGCTGGTTTCTATAAAACATATTCAGAAAGATTAGAAACCGGCTTTCAAGATTCTTCTTACCCAGTCTTTCATCGCTGACCATTCTACCTAAAGCATCTTTCAATAACTGAGAAACAACCTTAAAAAGAAAATATGTTACTCTAACATAAATTGTTTAATATTTATTAAATACCAAAACGCAAAAAAACTACAATATCACTAGTGAAAAATGACTTCCAGATTTTCTGTTTTTTTTTTATTTTGTCTACCTGCCTGGGGTATTGGTTAGTAAAAAAACACACGATAACTTACCGATAGAACAGGATTAAGGTAGGCATTCATAAATGCATCTTCCCAAGCTTGTCTTGACACTTTACTGGGCAAATCAGTTTGAAAGCCATTGACATTTCCTAACGATGGCAAATGTAGACAAAATTATCACCCGATTCAAACGTTTTGACAAAAATAATTTGTTATCAATAAACAATTGGATTTGTTAATGGATAGCCGAGGGTTAGGGGTTTGTGTCGAGTCATGCATTACAAAAGCAAAATCTAAAACTACTGAAATATTTTGAAATCAAGGTTGCTTCCAGGATTGAAACTGAATTGGATGGAATTTTTATTTTTGAATTTATTGTTGCCTGTTGGTACGTTATAAAAGTATTGTATATTTTCCTTCTCGATTTTAGTAATGACCAACTATAGTACTGATATTTCTGTTACTTTGCAATGAACGTTTTGTTTATTACAATTCAGTACACAACGTGGTCGCTGGTCATAAAACTTCTAAAATCATGCATGAGTAACGTGGTGAAAATATTTCTTTTAATGATCTCCAAAACAGTAGAAAAGAAAGAAACTTTTAGATAATATAATAGAAAATCAAAATACGATAAATCGTCAGATGACTGACTTGGGAAATTTTAATATACACTTCAAAATTGTAAAAATTTGATTGATGGTATGCTGCAAAACAAAATCAGTAAACGCGTTTAAAAGGTATGTTTTACATGTTTATCTGTTAAATTTTAACAGCCAGTGTAAACTGTTTTCTAATTTGTGACACAGCTTTTAATTTTTCACCAAAAAATTTAGGCCCATTTATAATAACAAAAAAGAAACAAACCATGATTATTTTTACGATTTCTACAAAATCAGATGGATGACCATAGCAGCTTGTTCAATATTTGTACCAACAAATCTTGCAATGCAACGTAGATCATTTTCTATATGATCTTTTATGAATTGAACAACGTTATTAACAGGTGGTTTGATAATAGCTGAAATATTCTAAAAAATTATAATCATAGAAAAGGTATAGCATTTGAAAGTTTCAGCATTAATCTTAAGCTACAATAATGAGAAGTTTGGCTAAAAAAAGCTTACAGTAAAAATGTGTAAAAATCAGCTAGAACACTAATTCATGTTCTAATGATTCTCATGTTCTAATGATGGCTTTGGACTACAAGCCATTGAATCGAGTTGCTCTCGAGATTTTAAATCTTGAGCCGTGTTAGAAATTACAAGGTAGATAAAATATGTCGTAAATTCACATTTATTCAGTTTGCTTAGACATGAATTGAAATAAAATCAATTGAAATTGGCATCAACTTTAACACACAGTAATGACTAATGAATCTGTGAAGGAATGAAATTCATTCGTCTACCCTTACCTGAATTTGATCTGGAGTTGTTCCTAACAACATAGCCACATGTGTCAAACAACGTAAAACACAACACGATAATGGGTTCAAATTTCTTTGTGCACTTGGAGGTTGATCCTGTGCACGTCCTAGAATGTGACCAGTACTACTTCAATCTGCCCTAAAGGAGATATGGAAACGTAAAATACGAGCAAACAACGACAAAAGAACATCATTATTTTTAAACTATCATTAGTTAAATAATACGATTATAGCTAGATTTTAAAACCGATTGTACCAATCAAATTCAGAAAAAAAAAGTAAAAAAGGGCAACCCCAACACATGTCAAGCTTTTTATGTTAGTTCTAAGATTCTTACGAAATACAAAACAATTTTATGTAAATTTGCAAAGACGAACCTCGACGCCTGTCTATTATTAGCTGCTAGCTGATGATTTGCACCTCCAATAGGAACACCACAAGTTGGGCAATTATACGCTTGGTTTGGACGTCCACACTACATTGATTGAAAAAAAAAGCGTTTAAAATGTCCAAACACAAAATGTGTTACAGTTTTCAATATTTGCCTTTGCATAAACATTTTACATTAAAGGTAAAACCAGTAGCACATCCAAAAAGAAAATAATTGCGCACAAAAACATACTTATGTTAAAAGAAACTTACCTCAGTGATGACATAACGATGTCCGTTAATGCATTCTGGAGGGGTAAAAAAAAATACAAAAGTGTACATAATACCGCCATAGGTTAAGTATTAGAGCATCATATGCAGAGCCAATCTCTATAACTTACCATACCACGTGCCTTGGGTAACGCCCATGACCTCGGGACTTTCATCGTGAGGCATGGTTGGAATGAACGCACTCTTAGAAAGGAATTTCATAAATAAAAAACTGTTATTTCTCTTACTAATTATTTCACGTCATTTCTGACAATAATCAACACTAAGTTGTATATCTATGTTAAATAAAGTGCTTTTAGTGACGGAAATTACTACCACTAAGGTAGTTGAACAACACCAACATTCCTTCTCAAAACTCCACTGGACAATCTACTCTATACAGTCATGAAAAGATACTCCGAATAAAACAAATAGAACTCATTAACAATTTACGTTGGCCACTGTTATGTTTATATTTACGATTATTTAAATGAATATTAAAAACACATACCCTCATTGATCCTGGATTGAATGCAAGATTTGAGAAGGGAGTCAAAAGTTGATTATTTGGAAAGCAACTCGTAACAACAAGGAAATGAATCAAGATTTCATTTAAACGCCTATCATTTAAAGTTTGGCCACTGTGTAGCTGAAGTAATTGCTGATGAGAACTGTTGTCAAAATTCACCAAGAAATTCTTCGCAAGAGGTAGCTTAAAGAGATTTAAATTGAAATGGTTTGAGTGTTAAGCTATATTTGTGTTCCAAAATCAGCTCATATTCTAATAACAATTACAACATTTCCAAAATTAATTTGCACTTCCCAAGAAAATGCATAATCGATAATACTTAAATTATACTCAGAAAGTAAAAAAGAACTGCTCAAAATTTATCTTTTAATATTTGATAGTAATGAATAGTGCAAGTGCAACAAATGCCAACCTGTAACCAAATTACAACAAGCAATGACGAATCCACTAGTTACTACACTTTTACTTTTTGTATAGCATAAGTGATATCTAATGTTTTTGCATTTGGTTTCACTGTTACCCTATGAAATTAAGGTTTTTTGGAGAGTAATTTATTTAACTGCCTGTATATAAGATTCCAAAGCCTTGTTTCTGCACACAAAATACCCGAGTTGCCAAAACCTGATATCCAGTAAGACATTCATCGAGTTGTTCCACAATCTAATTATAAAATTATAACAATCATTCATACGAACATAATAACAAAAAAGTACTTTTTTATTGTACAAATAATGTTTCCTGACCAACACACTTTACAGAATACATTCACATATGACGATGTATTTTTCAAGATATTCAACAAATATGTCCATATATTTTTGCGTAATGATGATAAAAAATCTTTTATGAAATTTGCAATTGCTAGATTTATGGACAGAAAACAAATTTCTCGATCTAAAATATCGACTATATTTTATTCGATTCGTAAACGTAAAGTAAGTAAGACCAAGAAGTAAGAATTACAAAGAAGGTAAGGGGGGAGAAAATCCTGCTACACAGTCTTTGATAACGTGCAATACATATACCTTTGAAAGAATCCGATCTTCTTCGTTTTCAGTGGAAAATTTGGTCATTACTTCGCAATAAATTGCAAGTAAAATATAACAGGACTGGGCACGATCATCACAGGACAAGTTCTAAAAAGAATAAAGTCTAACAAGTTTGTAACGTTACTATGGCTGATTTGACTAACTGCATTTCTCTCAAAGAAGAAAAATCATAAAGATCTTCAATTCAGCAGGTGATTGTAACTCCAAACAAATATAGGGCAAAAATATTTTCACAGCAGTCATTCGATATTTAACAAAATAAGCACCTTTCTTGCAGCCTGATGCTCTAAGAAACTTGAAGTAGTTTGTTGTTTTAAATGTTATGTTAAAAATGTTTGATAGCTAGGCAAATCAAAACCTGCACATAATACAAATCACAAACAGAGTAAACGTAGACACCAAATTTATTGAAGGAGTGTGGGTTTGCTCAACTATATAATATATCATATCAAAAGAAACATGATTTCAGCCTCAATTTTATATTATGCTGTATAAATATACATTGGCCAAGTGAAAACAGTCTTGTTGTTATAAGGAAAATAAATTATCTTACTCTCAAGATCAACTGTGTTTCTTCATAATTTGATGTTATTATTGCTTTGCCAATAGCTTCTCGTACTGTATGATAATTGTCGTGATGGACCATGAACTGTCTGGTCTTTGTCACGCTCCTATAGATATGGACATGAAAGACAGAAAAGTCAAAGTTTTTTCAGATAATGAATATACAACAACAATCCTTCTTTACTTTTTGAAACTGCTTCGAAACGTATCAGAAAGCATGCAACTTCAACATTGTAATGGTGGCATTGTACATAAGCGTACTTTATCTAAGCATATCATATGATAAATCGCTAATTTGAATGTGAAGATCAAATATTTGACATCGTTAATAATACAATTTATTTCAAGAATAAAACAAACCACACAAGTACGTATTAACTAGCTAGTAAGTGAACAAGCGGTTACCTCAGATTGTGGAGGCAAAATCCATTTCAATTCTTTGATCTTACATCTTTCTTTAACTCCATCGAAACCATTTTCATCATTATGGACCAACTGTTTTAGCAGGAATAACTGAAGAGCAGTTTCATTGTCACATAAATGTTTAGCTGCTTGGATGCATTTTCGAAGTTCCGCATTGCTCTTTAAGTTTTCGGAAAGATCGTCATTGAAGTATGCAGGAAGTTCACTAAACGCAGCCCGAATTGCAGCAACATCTTTAAGGCTGTCAATGTTCAGGGTTTTGTAGGTACGAAAATTCCTCAGTGTTCTATCAAGGATTCTGCACAACATGTTTATTTCAACACTGCCTTCAGTTTGTTTTGCTTTTAATAATTTCCCTGTTTCAACATCCTAAAAGAAGATAAAGCCAATAGCTATAATTATGCACTTTTTTAAAATTCAACTCGAATTTTTACTTTATCTTAAAAACTAAACACACTTTACTACAAAACAATAGATTTATAAGTGAATTATGTCTTTAACAACAAAGGAATAAAAGCACCCAAAATTTTGCAAAATGATTTTATAAAAACGTAATTTACCTCGATACAATGAACAAACAACACGCAAACGTTCATCAAATGTTCCTTGTTGGTAGATAAACCTTGAGCACGATAGAGATATTCTTCCAAATACGTACAAACTTCTTTTTCCCTTAAAAAAGCATTTTTAATACAACACAATACAATAATTTTTTGATAGCAACAACGCAAATTGATCTGTTCTGCTAGAAAGTTGATCGTTTCTTCGTGAAAAACCTAAACTCTCCGCATTTTTTGTAAGTTATCGTAACTCGCCAATCGAAAAAAATTGCTTGCCAAAAAATTATTGAATAAAAATTCAAAAATACTCTAATTATAATAAAGATGACTTGTGATGAAGCAAGAGCTTACAATGTACAAGTAGATAGAAATGTTACCAATGAAACGCATTTCCGCAAGACATCGCCATTACTCGGCAAATCGTGCCCGAACTTTAGCATAAATAACACTAATCACTAATTTTCCTTGCAGAAACACAAACAAAAAATGACGTTTCTCATTTAATGAAATAGAAATTTTGGTAACTAAAGCGTGGTGGAATCATTTGATTTATTTTCACAGCATCAACATACCTTCCTTTGATTGAAAGAAGTTGTTGTAAAATATATGATCTTATAGCTGGAGTGACATCAATGCTGTGACCATCGAAAGGAGAAAAATCTTCTGTGAATTCTTCATCGTTTATCACATAAGCAATGAATTTTTTTACAAGTTCATCTTGTGGTAAGTCATCACCAAAGCAATAAACAGAGACAACATTCATGAAAAAGGATTTGCAACGATTACGAAAACTTCTCCACAACTCCAACGAAAGCCTAAATAAATAAAGTACTTGTAAATGGAAAATTTTACTTTTTAAATTACATGTTTATCAAATCTAGCTGTTTGAAAAAGTCTATCAATCTAAAAGTTCTTTTAAATAAAACTATAAATAAAAAAAGCAATAATTTCATTTCATAAGCATATATATAAAAGCAAAAAAGACTCATTCAAGTGGAGAATGAACGTTAATTTTCTGGACAAGACGCCATAATTTATGACCAAACGTTTATACCATACTTTAAATACACACATGTCTACTTTGATTGTAAAGCTTTGAATACAAAATAGTTACCTCATTGTTTCATTAATTTGCAATTGAAAATCATTGCCAACATCGTGTCTACATGCAGGACATACGTCATGATCGTTAAGCCAATTGGTTATGCAAGATAAACAAAACACGTGATGACATGGTAGCTGTACAGGATCTTGAAGTGATCTCTTGCAAATGGCGCATTCGTCATCAAATCTAACATTATAATAATTCATTAAGTATAACAGAAATGAACATACAACTAAGGTTCCATGTTAAGGAAATCTTTCATGCGCAGATAAATTGTAACAAAATATGTTGCTATGATACAAAATTTATTATTGAATGCATTGTATTTTAACATAAACACTTGAAACAGTAAAAGTATATTGTTAGGTTTGTTTTTCAAAATTAATGCCATAATGTAAGAGATCAACATGCATTTTATGAAAATTATGATCATTACCACAAATGTTAATGACCGTGACTTTTAATCAGTATACTTACTTGACAATTCGTTTATGCAAATCTTTACTGCAGTCTTTCAAAAATCTTTCAATAACAACTATAGTACGTAGTGAGGTTAAATCGGGACTTTCACCTAATGCCTAAAAAGGAAATAGGCGCTAAAAGGAAATACAATGAAGTCTGCTGTTGAAAATTACTTGCATTGCTTTATCAAATTCATAACCTTTACAACCTGCTTATTGAACTTAACTTAATGCATAAAATACAACTGAACACATGTTTATTGACAGTCCAGGTGTATCAGTAAAGCTGTGTCTTACTCGACCGTAATGCACAGCAAAAAAAATTCAAAATGATTTAATATAAAAAAGCCTTTTTTAAAAGGCGTTTCCATTTAACGGAAATGATCTATGCATGTAAGCTAATACGTGAAAACTTTACCTTTAACAATTTCAAAGCATTACGACCATCATCAGTATGATTCAAATCCTCAGGTGGACAAGTGTGTTCAATAAACATACGTACAACATCCAAACGTGTGAACATGATCCTTTGTATAAAACGCGTAAGAACAGAATGTAACTTTTAGTAGGTGTTAAAAATTAATGTCTAAAACATAGAGTTCATAGCGACCTAATGAAGGATATTTTGAACATTTTTCTTTATACTCTACCATATTTTTTAGAAAAAAAAAATTACATGAAAGATTTTTATGTTTGTATAAAAATTCTTTAATAATACATGATGTATCAGCTTACTCGATTATTGCTATGATATCATGCACTACGTTCGTACTCAGTCTCCTTTTCTCATGGCCATGATATCATAAACACAATTCTTTGCATATTTTATCCAAATATCAATTGACACTTACCAACAAACTTTCGAAACCTGCTCAGATTTTTCTGACAAAAGAGGAACAACATTTTTTGAGTTCCCACTCTCCGTTATTGACGCTTTCATAACCTGAATGATTGGACGTAGACATTGAACTTCATTACACCACGTCTTTCGTTTATGAAGACTCGTAAAATTAATTAAACTAGGTTCCAGTTCTTCCAGACAGCACTGAAGAGCCACTGCATCTAGGCACTAAAATGGTGGGAGAAAGTATACCATTGTACAAAGTTTTTTAGTCAAATGCTACTGTTTTAAATACTTCTAATGAAGTGGATATAAAGTATTGAAATTTTCCGTACATGCTTTGACAAAACAAAAATCGGTGGGTAGAGTATAAAATTACATATCACGTCTATATATCTATAGCAATAATATTCCACAAATCAACAGGTAATTAACATTGTGACTTACAAATTCTGAATCATTAATTGGTAATGGAGATTCCATTAGTTTTCCTACCACTTGAGGAAATGCATGAACAAGTTCAGAGAAATTCAGCAAACGTGATTGAATCGTGGAATAGGCAAAATGAATGAGAGGAATATCCAGGTGAAATTCATCGTTTTCATGAAAAGTTTGGTGTATTTGCCAAGACGTCACAAGTACAGCGTCGTGTATCAACTGGTAAAATAGAAATATAACATTTGTTTAAACGTGTATACGTCTATTTCTATAAATGTTGATTTACAACTATCGGTGATCAAAACGTACGTTGCTCTTACAAATATGCTTTGAACGCATTGGCCAGCACATTGAATTTTTAAAGTTAACAAACCTTCAGTTCATTTTCAACAATTGGCGTATACATCATATGTAAAAAGTCATTTAAATAACAATTCGCTGCTTCCTTCTTGATATCTGGATCTTCAAATGCCAATTTCTTCAATCTTCCCAAAGGAGAAGTACCAAAAACATTTCTTAATGACGTCAATCTGTTTGTAATATTTCCTGAAACGCAAAAAAAGGATACGTTGAAAGAAAGAACAATTGTTCTAACCAATTTTAAAATTTGATCGTTAATATATTCCCAGAGACTAACCATACAAACAGAGTTCATCAAATTATTATAAATTATAAATTATAAAACAGTTTTTAAATATTGAAAAAAAAGGTGAACAATTGAATTTAAAAAGCTTAAAGTATAATATAAACATCCCTTTTAACTTAAGCAATGTGTATGTACGTATGGACTCTCCTGTCGGGGCGACAGATGAGTAGGCATGCAGGTCTATCTGCGAGAGTGGGACCTCATGTGTGAATGGAGGGCAATTTGTGATGCACACAAACGCCCGCAAACGCTGCAGGGGTACGAGACAAGAGGGGCAGAGCGTTGCTTCTTTCGGGCCCTTTTCTCCTTGATGGCGGCTGCACTACCGGCTTCGAAGTTCCGAACGCCCTGGGAGCATAGATGCCTCCACTGCAGTCTGTCTTCCGCGAACTCCTCCCAGGTGTTTGGGTCAATGTTGCAGCACTTGATGTTGGCTTTAAGGGTGTCTTTGTATTTTTCCAATTAAAATTTTACATTTTTGTTAAATTTTCAAAAACTACAGCAGTCACTGAAAGAGCAACCTAGAACTAAATAGCCCGACGCTCGCTTAACCGAAGCAAACCAAACAGCCGTAAAACATAGAGGAAAACACTATAAAATTTCTACATACCCCCCACTTGCAACAAAAGAACGTGAACAATGTCTTTAATTATCCAGGAGAATGGAAATTTTCCTTCAAAAGGATGTCCAACTCCACTGCTCAACACAGTAGCTCGTTCTCGTAGCCTACCGGATACAGGTGAAATGAATGATTCATAGGTTATTGCCGTAAGGTTGTCTTCCTGTAACATTTCAAGCCATAACTTTCGTGTCCAAGTGTTTTCTTCAAGAAGCAAGTTGAGGTTTTTGTTACGATCACAATACGCAATAACTTCGGACAAAATAGGAGACACAATTAACGATAATTTTTGCCATAAAGCTTTCCTAAATGTGCCAGTTTCCTGTAGATGTCCCTGACATAACGCTTCCTCTTGAAGCCAAAGCCTTTGATCATCAAGGCATCTTTCATCACGCTCGCGAAGCAGTTTATACATACGAACAACAAGAATGGTAGATAGGTCTAAAACAAACAAAAAATGTACCTCATATATATGTATGTCCCGCAGTAAATTTCAGCCACTAAAAGGAAAATACAAAATTGTTAGAAACCTGTTTCATCTCCATCTTCGGAAGGTAAGCAATCCAGTAATATCTCAATTCGTTTTGTGGCTCTCAAGACGTCATTTGATTCGTCAAAGACTCTCGCAGCAGCAGTTTGCATGCAGTTCCTCAGCAAGACTGTGGGACGTATATTTTCTTCGTATAAATTCTCCTCAATATTCTATACAATCAAATAATGTTAAAGAAAATTTTTAATCAAAGCGATAGGAAACGACTGAGGTAGGTTGATAAATTTGTTTATTTCCTAAAAAAATCACGATATTTTTTACTTTTTTAAAAATGCTTCATTTTCATCTATATGGAGCTTTAAATAGATCAACCAATCTTTAAATAGATCACTTTCGATGAATTAAATGTAATAAAATGTCGTAAAAATTTGCCATTAGTATAATATATACGTAAAGATTGTCTATTTTTTGTTGAAGGCTACCGATTAGCCTGCTCGCAGCCTGAATTTCCTCACTAGCTACCTAGTTTGCACACTTTGTTCCAAGATCTATAAATGCATGAGAGTATAAAACAACATTTTTATTGAACCTAGTCAGGTTAGTCTTACCTGCACATCACTGTTTGTCGGTGATTCAATGTAATCATTTAGTGATAGTAGTATGTCTCCGAGATCAAGATTTTTGTTTGAGGAAACATTTAAATTTAAAAGATCACTAACAGATCTATTAACAAGTAATTCAATTTGCGGTAACTTTTCATTTGCCTCAAGAAGTTCGTCAATATGGACACATTTCCATTTTCCACCTTGAAATCCCACAAAATGCTGACAGCCACCAGCAATTCTCGGCAACTGGATGATAAAGATAATATGAACGGGTTTCGGGTCAAACGTTTCCAAAGATGTACGACGTGTTTGATCAACAAGAACTGCATGCAATAAGATTTGAATTTTTCTCCCCGTCATCACACTGCACCAATAGGAGTCCTTCAGCACCTCCAAGTTTGATGAAGAAATCGCTAATCAATATAAATTTATGAGTTTACAATGAGGTAAAAACTTTAGTAAAAAAAAACAAAAATAATAGACTTACTCCAAAGTTTTGACAAATTGTTGCTCCGTATGAAATTCTTGAAGACTTATACATCGTGATTGCCAGCCTAGGAAACCAGCTTCAGCTGCTATAGCACGAGCATTTGCTTCCGATAAAAGTCGCGAGTGGGTGGTTATCTGTAAAATAATTCAACAGTAAAATCACAGCATAGAAACAAGCAGCAGGGCTACGTCGCTGTGAAACTGGCTGCTGCATATTTAATTAGATTATTGGTTGCTGCTAGTTACCTCAGCGCTTCTTGTTGGTCGGAAAATTTAATGGCTGCTACTATGCTAATGAAATGCGTAATACGATATACGTTACACAAAAAATTTCAATAGAGTGAAACTACTGTTTGGTTTTATACTATGATAAAATGAAATTCATTTACTTTTCATTAAAAGCGCACGAAAAATTTGGCATGCTATTTATTTTGAAGAAATAAAAAATATGTATGTCATATATTTGAAACCTGAACGAGAGAGCCACTGTCTGCTTTGCTGCCTTTTGTTTGAAAACAATGAACTAAATATTCCTTCAAACTTCCGTGGTGTTGATTTTGGTAATATTCCTCACGAATTTCGATGGCTTTGTCTTTTAACTGTGATACTGTGAGTCTGGCAATTGCATCAGGAGATGCACATTGTAAAAGGGTTTTCTTTGAATCTTCAAGTATCTAATAAACAACAAATTTTTATAGCTTTAATGGTCTGTGATATTCGCAAATTAATAATTGCAGATGGAAGCAAAAAAGTGAGAAGAAATATATAGTAAACCATAACTGGGACATGTGAAATATATGACCTCTTGTGAAGTTTCAAACTAAATTATTAAAAATTCTTTTTCGTACTTGCAATTCATATATAAACAATGCAAAAACGGAAATTTATTATTCTTGGTATTTTTTTGTTACACCAAGAATACTATACTTTGAAATATTGCTGGAATGCTAAATGCTTCTACCAGCACACCTTAATATCAGAGTAACCAAACTCAAATTTTTGAATCACGACATTAGCTGCTGTATCGCTGTGATAACCAACAAACAATCACCTGGTCCAAAAAAACTAAAAATTGAAAATAATATTTGAGTTATTTCTGAGGTTTTTGTGCATGTAGATGCAACTTTGAGTTGATTGCAACTTTCCTAACACGCATGCACACTAAGAAAAATGGGAATAAGGGCATCGCATAATTCAAACTGTGAATACGAATTTAGGTATTAGTTCAATTTATACGTGTTTTATTGTTTCATTTTCATTCCGACATGTAGAAATATTGTCTTAAAATTCTTGTATAAATCATCATGGCATTTATTGCTTCTTTTCATATATATGTGTAGTATAGTTATTATGTAAATTATTAGTGTTTCGTACGTCATACTACGTATATTATAAATAAGTAACGATCTGTATAAAAGTAACATGACTAAGCAATAAAAGGGAGAAATCTCACAATATTGCAATATGAACAATGCAATTCAAGACATAAAAAACAAGACAATCCGAAACAAGTTACAAGGGGTAGACAAAAAGTACTGGCACTCTTATAAAAACTACATGCTTATCAACGAAGCTGGTTGAAAACCCAACTAGCTATTGCATACCCACAGCATTATTTCTGCAATTTCTTAGTATTATTTTTTTCTCTTTTAATAGCTTGACTAAACTTAAAGTTGACGATCGTTTACATAACATTTTTGTTTCATTTATTTTTAACTGTATTTTTTATATTTATAGAATATTCTTTTTAAATCTAAGGAGCAACTAACGTTACAAATCTATTAACTTTAATTTGCACGTTGAAACCTTAAAAAAGAAAACTTATCACAAACTTGATGAGACCCTATATGATAATGTTAATTGTTCAGTGTTTTCGTTCATGCAAATAAATTTTTTTAATGATATAGAGAATATCTTTGGGTCTAATATGATTCCTAGTTAAAAACCATGTCCAATTCGAAGTCAATAATGTTTATACAAACTCTATAAACTTATGGTCTAGGTAATATTGAAAAAAATTTCTTAAACATTAATCGATGTCTTTATATATCAATTACAAAATCACAATCAGAAACACTGGCAGTCCGTAAGTTTGAATCAACGAAACAAATATTATCGTGCTTATTCAGTAAAAACAACGAATTTCACAAAATTTGACGAAAATTGTATGACAAATTAAATTGGCAAGACAAAATGTTAATAGATGAAGTCCATAATAACGCTCTTTAAATAGGAATGGTTTGTCAAATGATCTAATACACCTTTCTTGTGATGAATATTCGTTCTTTGCTTTTGCGAAGTTTGCAACCCACTTCTCAAGTTGTTCAACCAAATCAGTTTGACGTTCAGTCAAGCCAGTTGACATCACCAAGATATGTTTCTCAAGACGATTAATAAGAGGAGTTGGAAAGCGTTTGTAAACGTCATCTTTTTCAGCAATCACTATTAATCTAATGGAGAAATAGCAATCCTATTATTAGTGGAAAATAGTTAAATTATTACATTGAGACAGAAAATGTTGATAATTTATAAAACAAATAACAAACAATAAATGTAAAATTAAGAAAACTGTGCAATTACATCATACTTTAGAGAACTAACAATTAGTAAAATTGGTATCCTGCTTTAGCCTTTAGATGTATAAATAGACATTTAAAATTAACCCTTTTATTTTAATATTTTTGATTTGCAATGATAAGCTCTTTTTACTCAATTAACAATATAGCTATTTAGAGTTTACTCGACTGTGATTGTTTGAATGCAGGCCCGTTTATTTGTAATTACACTTTGAAAATGTGAAATTGCTCTGTCAAGAAAATATAGTTACTCTGTAGAACAGATTAATTGAACTATGGTCCCTAATCAATTAACGTTGGATTGACGTCCATACTTCAAGGAGATTAAAATGAAGAAATTTCCTTGCAGCAGTAGGATGTTTTTATTGAGAAAGTTCATCCTGAGTATATTTGTAAATTTAATAAAAGTATTAATGGTTTGAATCAAGATGCAAAGACGTTGAAAAACCTTGATATATATTTGCTGTATAATAGGTAAAGAATTATACGTCTACGACAGGAGCGGATCTAGCTCAAAATGTGACGGTGTCCATCGCTAGGGGGTCTAGGGTAGCTCCCTCAGAAAATTTTTAAATTTCAACTCCCTGAAATACGTTTTCCAGCATTTTGATGTCAGAATACAGAAAAAAACTGTCATGACCAAATCGAATTTAATGATCGAATTTTACGAGTTTTTTTCTAATTTTGGTAATGCATGCACATCATGGATAAAATTGTATAACTTTGAGAATATCATTAGCTTCTTCCACAACTGTTGCTTGAATATCTCTTTTTTTAAAAATATACAAAGCTCCAAATCATAAAAGCACATAGCAGAGGCATTTTTATATGAAGCAAATGCCCCATCCTTATGCAATAATTTGATAAGGGGGTGCTAGCATAGTATGAAGCATTTTCACACAACTCAATGCTGGCGAGGAACCACAGTATAGTAGAAAGATTTTTCATTTTCAATCAGGGCAATAGAACAAGCATTGTAAAAACAATTTCCATCAGCCAAAGCACTAAAACAAGTTGAGTAGAAAATAATACTATATATTTTACATAGTTGAGGGACATTTTTTTAATGTTAGAGAAATATCATGTCCAAAGCAATGAGCTTCAGCTATACAACAAATTAGGAAGCTTAATGTTAGGTATTGAGGAAGAAGCTCATTATTTATTCATCTATAGGGTACAAAGCAACCAGCTTTTGGGAATAAAGAGCTTTGTATTTTTCTAGCAACCTTAAGTTTTGAGGAGGAGACTTTTTATTTATATTTTTAATACGGTACAAAGAACGAGTAAGCTTCGAGAATAAAGTTACAGTGTTATAGCAAGCATTAAAAATTGAGAAATAGGTTTATTTTATATACATATATATCAATAGGGTACAAAGCAAACAGCTTTAAGGACGCAACTCCAAAGAAAAGCCGCTAAATCCATAGATCGTTCAAAATTTCGTACGTCATATTTTGTTATTGATATTGTATCATGTAGCGCCGCGTCGACATTATTATTTGGTTATTTACGACAAAATTTGCTATTTATTAGTGTTTTATGAGGATTGTGTAAAATAATGCTGTGTAAAGAAAAAACAATATAAATTTATGTACGTTCAAATGAAATATTCGAATCTTTTTCATATTATTTAAGTTTTTTCATATATTCAATCTCTGTAATGCGATATTGCATAATTTATAAAATTCTGTCGGTTATATTTGACACACTTAACACCCCCTGGATACGCCCATGCACAGTGAATTCCGTGAATTCTAAAGATGGAAAGATTAACTTTTCAGAATTGTGATATATGTTGGCTATGAATAAAAGAAGCCAGAAAAACATTTTTTTACTATTTTGTTTCATTCAAATTTAAGTTGAATTTACTTATGGCATTAAATATTTGTTGTTATAAATGTGTTATGTCTAAAGACAAACGTCCATTTATTATAGTAACTTTTATTTAAAAATAATTGACTATGGCTGCATGTGTGTACGTAATTTTTGTGATTTATTTTTCGAAAACAAGAGAAAAGGAAAACAGAAAAAACTTACTTGAAATAGTCAGCAACACGGCACTTGACTCGGTGGTTTCCAAGGCCAAGATCGACGTATTTTTGTTGATCAAGATACACGTAATACTACAAAAGATATAGGTACAAAGTTTATCATTTAGTTATAGCTGAAACTATACCTCCGAATATAGCATTAACTAGCCAAATGAAAAAATGCTCATAAATAAAGAAAATTCATATTGACACGTGTAAAATACCCCATAGTCCCACACTAAAAACGAGCTCCACCTGGTCATTGGCTTTTACACCTATACAGTGTTTGCTCTACACTTTGAAATTTAGAGTATTCCATATCGCAATGCAGTTACAGCATTAATTCTGCTAACCTGGTTTAAAGCATCATAAAGACTTTCATAGAGACTTTCCAAGTTTAGTAAAATCACCATTCTTCCTGTTTCCATGCAGACTTTAATACGATTAATATTTCGACAAATCTATAATTGATATCATATTGAGCCAACTTGCAGACATGGCTTTATACATCTATTGTTAGTTTTTCCGAACGTCCAGTAACTTATTGAATTGATAATAGGTATCTTGTGTGTGTTTTAACAACGTCAAACATATCGAAAAAGTGATCAAAAATATAACTTATTTCTTATTTCTTATGTTATAACTTATTTCAACAATAGAAAAGACAAAAATTCAAAAGAAACAGCATTCGTTTTACGGTTGATATGCAGCTATATTCACATGAATTGAAATTGAGAAAACGAGACATAAGAAAACGAGAAACGTTTCACGTTTTGAACTTTTAAGTTTCTCCAATGTTTGCAATATAACAGCATTTTGACACGAAAAATTCTTCATATTTTTATAGCATAGGAAAGAGACATAAAGTTTAATTTGACCATTTATCTAATTGATTGCATCAAACTCTACAAAATCATTAATTTTAAAAGTGTCAGGAAAATATTGTGATTAAACAATGTGTTCTAACTTGGCTTTCAGTCTATCTGTTCAAAGTTTTTACAAATTCAATATAAAATACTATTCTTTGTTTTAAAAAATAATAAGTTTAATGTAATAGAATAAGAGCAATATACTACATCTTTCCACAAAGCACAATTTTCAATTATATATACCTGTGTATATTGTTGATCTTTTGGAAAACTGCTGCCAAAAATCACTTCAGGCTCATGCATATGAAAGTTAATGCCTTGTAGTAATCTCAATGCTGCATAGTTCTCAGTCAGTATAAGTAAATAACGACATTCTCTGAAATTTTAAAAAGCAGAAATTTGAAAATTCTTATACCATAATGGCTATTTTTAATGACTTAATTATTAGCTGTATATGTGATTAACGAGCAATAAATATGGTGTTCAAATACCCTTCCTTGTCTGTTCTTTCCAAGCTATCTTCAATAAGAGTTATGGAACGACATTCTGTTGAAGGATTCTAAACACATTGTAAACGGTTTAAACTCTTACAATCTGCATGTTTACTGTGTCTAAGTCGGCGCTACATAGCTCATAATCCCTAATACACATGCAAACTTTCTCGTGTTAAGCAACTGCGCTGGAGCATTATGTTTTTTTTACATACGCTGTCTCTAACAGTAAATAATAAACCAGTTTGTTTTATGCATGCAATACATTTCACAAATTTTACACTCTTCTTTAACACTTTACCTTTTTAAGCTCATCAAATTGACTACTGAATATTTCAACAGGATCCACATCATCCAAGCCACTAAAATTTCTTCGTATGCATTTCTCTAATGCAGCATCGTCAATCACAACACCTTCCTCGGTAACTTTAGCTGATGCATTTACCATCTTTACAAGACTATTAATTTAATGTACTGTGGCTTAAAGAAGCTAGTTATTGTTAAAGTAGTGGTTACCAACAGAATGATTTCAAAATTTTGAAAATAGAAAAATATTGAAAAACAATTCATTTTCAGTACAATTAAATACAAAAATGTACCTGTAAAAGTCCCTGAGACCAAAGAATTCGTCCTTTTGGGCATTTTTCAAGGTTTTTGAATCTTTCTGTATTTCATAAAGATCAGAATATCCATCGCACAACTTTTCTATAATTCTTTTAATGGAAGCGCCATCATTACCAAAGCATATATCACTAAAAAATATATTTGGATGCAACAGGAGGAATTTACATATATTTTGAAGTAGCATTGAATTTTTTGTTGATTGAAGTAAAGTTCGTAGTTAGCAGTCTTATTCTCTCTGCCCAGCAAGACCATGAAATTAATAAAATATAGCAAGTCAAAATATGCATTTTAGTTCTTTTTCACAGCTCCTACATTGCAAAACATTGTTCACTCAATTTCAGTACTTTTAAAAGATGTGCTTAAAATTTTTTTTCATTATTATGTGCTTAACATGCAAGCTGAAAATTTCCAATTTATTTTTTTAAAAAATGTTCTCTTTCTCCTCAATTAGACAAGCGTTTCAAGATTAACCTTATCACACCCATAATTTCGTGTTCATCACTGCCATTTGAACTAAGCACGGAATACTTTATAATAGTTACTAGTGAAAAATGCATATCTATTGTATAACAAGCAGGTGCATAATAATTACATGCATTTTTTTTAGTTTTGCACTAAAAAACGGTGTAACCAAAGTTATGGAAAAAATTCAAATCATTTTTTATTGTTCTATTGTTGTTAAGTCTACTATAAACTTAATTTTCTCACCAGGCAGCATTTGACAGACGTACAAAATAATAAATATTAGAGTTTTGTCGTAAAAAACATTATTGCTTAACCATAGATTGCAAACATAAGTATCAAAAACGAAGTTTGGTGATGGCATTGGTGATGCTGTGACTTTACTCCTTACCCTGTGAAGATATGTATATTAACGTTATGAGAAGAATATTTAATAAATCATGTATAGCAATCAAAGGTGCTACATGCCTAAAATTAAATACCCATATACCTTTGAGAAAGACGAGCTTTTTTAATAGACAAGTTACTTTGCAAAAGGAAATACAAGCTATGATTTTGATTCTGTTTTAACAAGCGGGATAGGAACTGTAATAACTGTCAATCATTCTGATTTGTGAAACCAAAAAAGTTATGCATGAAAACGACATGGGTAAAACATGAGACAGACTTTACAAGTGAAGGCAAGGAAAGTAGAGTGAAGCATGGTCAAGCTTTTTGCGAAATTTATTCTACTCACTCTAAGAAAAAGGGAGTGTTTGTCAGTTATGAAGTTAGATTTGATAACTGGAAAAAGGGCTGTGAGAAATTTAACAAACATGAAAACAGTTACGTTCATAAAGAAGCTTTTGCCACATCAGAAAGAGGGCAATTGTCTATTAGCATAGCCTGCAGTTTGCTTGCTCTTGAAACGCAGCAGTTAATTTCAAAGGTTAATTTCATATCTTCAAACATTAAAAAAAATTCTTACGCCAAGGTATAGCGATTAGAGGTAGAACGGATTTTGAATCTAATATTCCTCAGTTCAATCTTGATAAAGCTATTAACGACAAGGCACTAAAACGTTTATTTGACGAGAGGCAATACGTAATTGCACACAATATCCTGGACGAGCAGAAACAGATGATTGTATCAAATGCTCGAAGACATTTGATAGATAAAATCATAGTGATAAAATCATTTTCAATTCTAGCTGACGAATCATCAGACGTATCTAAGAAGGAGCAGTTGTCTTTCTTCGTAAGGACCTGCGATGATAATCACGACGTATCCGAAGATTTTGTTAGAATTTATTAACGTTTGCAAGGGCTTTCATCTGATGCATTACTACACTACAACAACGATATCCTTCCTGGCATGGAAGGTCACAAAATGGCAGCAATGGGCTTTAATGGGGCTTCAGAATGAAATCTATCGCAGGAAACTCAAGGAAGATATTGTACCAAACGCAATTTCTGTTTATTGCTTAAGTCACTGCAACTAACTTTATACAGGTTGCAGCTAAGCAGTCTAATTTGTTGTCTACATCACAGGATTAATGCCAATCCTTGTATGCAATCGTAGGTGCCCATCCAAAACGAATTTTATTGTTCGAAGAAATACAGGCAGATTTTAGAAATGAAATAGGAACGAACGATTACAAAGTTCTACGACTCTAAAGTCTTTCTACAACGAGAAGGACAACAAGAGTAAAGGCTCCTGACGTCATCTTCGAGAAATCGGCTGAACTACACGCCAACTTTGGAAAACTGCAGGAAAATCCTAGCGTTTCGGCAGACGCAAAAGCGAAGATTAGAGGAATATTAAGGCGACAACTGTCTTCTTTAATCGTCATCTACAATTTAAACGCGACAAGAAAGCTATTGGCTTTTCTCGAGAAGCGTTCTGACGATCTAGAAGCCGTTAATATTTCAGCTGAGTACGCTCTATTTTCAATAAGACATGCTCTGCAACGTCTTCACGAGATAAGAAGCGAAGAAGATTTTGAGCGTACACTTGATGATGCTAAAAAGGTTTTTGGGTTATGATGCCGTTTCCACTAGAATCTAATGAAAACTTTGACACAGGCACTAGACTAAGAAAAGTTCCAAGATAGATGAATAATGAAGAAATGTTGATAACAGAAAGCCTTCACGTCACAGATGCCTCAGTTTACAACAGTGCGAATATGCGAAGCTCGTACTACCAAGCCATGCATTGACGCAATCAACTCAGTTCTGGAATCGCAATTTAAACAAGACGATCGTTTCCAAATGTATCAAATGTATCATACAGTTAAGTGTTACTTAACTGTATGAAAGAAAGAAGAGTATCTTTAGATGTATTAGGCAATTAATAAATATAATCTAAGATTGCATCTTGATGATCATCCTACCATTCTTGGGCTTTACAACGCGGATCAGAAGAAAATAATAACAGAAGTCACGCGTATTTCAACATAGTAGAGTGATTTAATGCCATGCCTTCAGTGAAGAAAAGGTGCTCAGAGATCCACAAATGGTTTTGACACAACTTATACCTTATCCGTAACATGTGAGAAGTCTAGGTTATATTACAAATTATGCTGCATTCATAACACACTCCAAAACGGAATGAAAACTTAAAATTGTTTATTGAAACTCAACATGATAGTAGCAAGAAGACCCCTGACAAGGTCTTGCGTCCTTGTTGCAATTAATATATTTTAACGTTTACTTCATCCAATATGCTTCACGTAAAGGTGGCTGCTTGTTTATGCCTACTTACTCATGTTGAAGAAAATTTGTTTGGAACCCCGAATAATTAGTTCCGTTTCCGACGGTGATTAAATTAACTTTACAAATGTGCCTTTTTAGGCTCCCCTGCTTCACCTTAATGAAATTAGAGCTACACTCCTTGCCATTTTTATCACTAAGTTTTCATAGCTGGTTGACAAAGGATAATGAATACTTGTGCGCTTGCGATAAAATACAGTTTGTCTTCGGCTGATTCATTGTAGTTTTTCAATGCTTCAGAGCTAGTAGATGTAAATGATTTGCTATTTTCTATCGGCAGTGTTTGCAAAAACATGATACATGTTCGGTAAACAGATTATCACCATTCGTAATCAAAATGGTTACGACTATAATTTGAATATGCACTGCATTATTGAAATTTACTTAACGGGCAAAATTTGCACAGGTATTGGCATGCGTTTTTATGCTAAGTATTTTTAGGTCAGAAGTCTTTTTTACGCCCTGTACAATTTCAATGTTTTAAACATATCTTTTTTTTTATAAGGTCGATGTGGCTTATGAGTTTTTGCCCTGCCCTGTTCTTTTGCGCTTGGTATTTTTTCAAAACTGTGTTGTAATTTTTTAAGAAAAATCAAATATTTTTCTTTCCCTCAAGAAGTGTGAGTTTGTAATTGTTAGTTTCGTGAATTGCTACATAGCAAATGCCCACAAAAGGCACCCTACAGTTTAGGATTACTTTTACAACCCACCTAGCGCTAACCAGAAGTTCATCTTTGCTCGCTATTCCTCTAGTCAACATTATCCCTCGATTCATTTTTGCGGGATCCAATGCCCAGTTGGACAAACCAATAAAACCTACACGGTTATGATCAAGTGTCTTTCCAGAATCTTCAGAAGTGGCTGTACCGTCTTCAAGTAATGGATGAAGTGTCTTCAGTGGCATCAACGGAGAATCTTCTGCTAAACCAACCTCGTCTAACACAACTACGGAGACAAACTTGTTCAAATCTTTGTCTTTCTGAAGTTGAGAACATTGTTTAAAGATGGTGACGATGCCATCAGGTGTAGACAAGGGACTGCATTGATATGATTGGATGTGAATCTAAACATATTGAAAAAAGAAGGAATTTCAAACTTCTATTGAGGTGAAATCTAAATCAAATTTATCAGGTTCACCTAAACTAATGCTAATTAATTTGGTTAAGTTGAGCAACCCCACAATACAATGATGGGAATTATTTAAAATTGAAAGTTTCGCCGGATTTTTATAAATAATTTATAAAGCATTCGACTCGTGGCTTCAAGTCTTCTTTAGAATACACAGGAAGTTATTTACAATTTTTCTTTTGTAGCCGTATTTAACAAGTGAATTGAGATGATTGAATGATGTAGAATACGTTGTTATAGGTTCAGGTGTTTAGTGAATAGGATTTCCATAATTTCGTTGCAGCACCATTGAAATGAGACATTTTATGTGAACGACAGCTTTTTTAAATTTTTTAATCCATACATGTTTCGGCAAACTTATGCCATCTTCAATGCAGTTTAATAAATGAATTATTTATATAGAGTCAATCAGTGAGAGTCAATATATAAAGAAATATGATACATGAGATGTGTATAGACAAAAAAGAGAGATGCGAAAGTCATTGACAATATTGTTATGATTGGAGGTGTTAATATAGTATAAAACAAATTCCGAAGAAGCAAGACATCTTGAGATTGCAAAATATGCATCAAAACAAGACGAGAAGTGAACTGTAAATTTTCGACTTTATTTCAAATTCATCTTCAGACACTTTATTCTGTCTGAGGATGACTTTGAAATAAAGTATGCGCACTCGGCTATAGATCTTTGTTTCTTAGGTTTTCTACTAAACGGAAACACTTTCTACTAAGCGGAAACTTTTACGATCAAATCGACGGAGCTGCAATGGGTTCTCCATTAGCATCATTACTAGCCAATATTTTCATGGGTTTTCATGAAAAGAATTCCATAAAAAACTATAACGGACCTGACGTACTTTTTTTACAGAGGCTACATAGACGATATTTTTGTAGTTTTAATAACGAAAGCGAAGCCATATCTTCTTTCAAATACCTTAATCAACAACACAAAAACATTAAATTTACTTTGGACAAAGAACAAAACAAGAAATTGCCATTCCTGGACGTACTTATAACTAAAAACTCTAAATCTAATACCTTCACCACATCAATTTGCTATAAGAAAACATACACTTGACTTTTATTGAATTTTTTTAGCTTCACTTAACAAAGTTAAAAGACAGGACTCATAAAAACTAGTCTTCATTGCATTAACAAAATCAGCAACACAAGAACGGGCTATGAACGTGACTTAAACTAATTCATCGACACTTTAAAACGTAACTCATACCCTTTGCATTTCATAAACCAAGAAATAAAAACATATAACAACGACACTAACTATAACACAATTAAAAATGAACAAGACCACATACAAACTAAACCCCAATCCATTACTTTAAACTACCTTACATTGGCCACTACTAACAAATCACAAAACATAAACTAAATAACTTGGTCAGACGTTATTGCACAAACATAGACATAAAACTAGTATTCTTTTTGTTTTAAAATCAAAAACTTCTTCCACTTCAAAAACCCCATCCTTTTTCTTTTAAAATCCAATGTAGTTTACAAATTCTCTTGCGCGAGATGTAATTCCCGTTACTTTGGCGAAACCAGCCGCCACCTCTCCACACGGATTAAAGAGAATACCACTTCCGACAAAAACTCTCCCATATTCAAACACCTCCTCTCATCACCTCATTGCAAATATAAATACTCACAATCTTGCTTTCGTATATAAGAGGGTGTCCGTACTTCATCGTCTTTAAAACTAAAAGAAGCTCTGAACATAAAAAACTTAAACCTAATCTTAGCAAGAAGTTCAACCTGTCAATGCTATCTTTAGTTTGTAAATAACTGAACATCCCCTATTGCAACAATATTGTAAATAACTTTCGCATTTATCTTTGTCTATACACATGTCATGTATTATATTATTAACACCCATCATATTCAAAACTTACCCGAACATATAACAACGTATTCTACATCATCTCAATTCATCAAAGAATCAGAGTAGATGCTCTAAACCAGGGGTCTCCAAACTACGGCCCGCCGGCCAGATGCGGCCCGTTGGGCCTCTCAATCCGGCCCGCAGAGACACTTAAAAAAGCCAAATTCACCACTCACATTGAGAAAACTGACCAGACTAATTATGATTTTGTTATGATATTACTCTTCATTGAAATTTAACCTTTAAATTTTGAATAAATATTTTCTTAACTAATGAAGCTTGTGTAATGTACTTCGTTTTATTAAAATATTCGTTCTTTGACCAGCAGTTTACGGTTCGTTGGCCCTCAACATGCTGGATGAAAGCTCATGTAGCCCTTTGGTTGTAAAGTTTGGAGATCCCTGCTCTAAACATTTACAAAACAAAAATAGTATTCAACAAAAATAATATTCTAAAAAAGTCTTGAAGCACCGAGTCCAAAAAATGAAACTCGCTAAAATTATTTAGAAAATTCCGGCGTAACTTTCAATTTTTAACAATAAACATGCCTGGATAACCAATCTTCAAGCTTATATACATCAAACCTGTTTCAAATTTTTAAACAAATCACTGCTAGAATTTCCAGCTTGCATGTTGGTTGAAATTACATCTTTTGCCAGAGACTTTGAGCTGCCTGGTTTACCGACTACAAACAATGGGATTCGTAGTTCAGCACATATCGCCATCATAAACACATTTTCACAAAGTGCAGTATTTCTTGCAATATTCTGGCCAAGTTCCACATTGTGCAAAAATGCTCGTTGACATCTTTAATAGAAGAATATAATTTAATCATTGTCTAAGTTCCAAGACTGAAATCATATTAGCTAATTAAGTTTCTTTATTATGTGGCAAGCATCACTTTGGGCAAAATGGCGCGCTTTGTTTAACAAAGAAACATTTTTGCCGGTAGATTATTTTCCCGTAGTTGACCGCGGTCCAAAACGCGTAAATTTACAGTCAAATGCAAACAAATTTCGTAAAGCAAACTGCATTACGCAAAAAAAACGGAATAAAATACAACTCGCAAACGTGAGTCGAAGAGAAAACACTCGGATTACAATTTAACTATCCAGACTATACAATTTAAAAGTTAAAAAGACCTGGAACTCGGCTATAAGCACTTAGTAACGCTGTAGTTTTTTCCATGTAAAAGAATGAGATCTATGTATAATTTCATAAAAATTTGAAATTATAAGATCGTCGAAATAGCATGGAAGTCGAAAAAGTAAAATACAAATTAAGATAAAATTGTTTCATTATAAGATACACGTTGCGTACATGTGAGTAGCATGTGACATTTATTGCCATAAAATAAAGTGGGTAAAGAAACTCAAATATATTATATAACTATTTAATATTATTAACACTAAACTTGTTTGAGATTTATAAATATTTTGTGCTGTTTAGTAAAACGTCCGAGTAATTGTCAAATCCTTTTCTTATTGAATGTCACGTGACTGTGCTTAAATCGTAAAAAGTGGAGTCCTTTAGGATTTCTCAGAAATTATACTACGATAAATGCGAAATTTTTTATTAAAAATTAATTCTTGCTATAAAAACATATCGTCATCAACATCTGTATTTAAACAGTTTTTTGACGTGTATATGTATTAACTGAACCAATTAATGAGCCAGCTTATGATTTGTGTTAATTTACACACACGAATCGCAAAACTGTACTTCCGACGATCCTGTGCAAGTAATCCTTGATCTATGAAAGCTTCGCACGTTACAAGTGATCGAAGATTAAAGAATGTCCTGCTCATAGTTTGTTTTGTATCAAAATTTCATTGTTAATTTGACGTTATGTAAATGTACACAAATAATATTTACGTTTTGCCTTTCATAATTAAAAAACTAGATTGTAGTCAGAGTGAACCGAGCAGTGTTAAAACATGCAATGCCATTAAAAAAAAGTTGAAATGGACAAAATACAAGAATAATAAAGTTATGTAAAGATTACGATAATTCGTTGGTCTAGCCGACAATCATAGTTGTTGGCCTAACCGTGCATGCAAAGCGGCTATAAAATTAATAAATAGGTATAACAAACATCCCAGGGAAAAAAGCTCTTACCTTAGTATTTCATCCTTTATTGTTTTTGCTCCTCCAGGAAGTGGGCATGAATCGTCAAAATATTTGCAAATTTTTTGGCAATACGCGTCTCTTTCATTTAGCCTGGCATAATAACAAACACCAATGCCTTGGATGATAGCGAATACAATGCGATTTAATGGCTAAAGAAAAGGGATAGTCATATAAGTCCACATTTTAGTAAAAAACATTATGATTTGTTACATAGATGACTACAATCGCTTTGACCTAAGTGTTTTTGGATGGCGAAACGTCGTTGTTAAAACAATTAGGAGTGTTTACAGCTAATACATGAACAATTTAACAGCTGAACGCAAGTACTCAAAATTTAGTTTTAAAAATTTAACATACTCTGAAATGCATTTTGATAGAAAAAACTTGTGATTTTAGCCAAACTATTGATGCATTAATTCATCGTCAGCTGTAATTTCAGGTGCATGACCAACAACTTATAATTCTTAAATTGTAGAACAAAGACTTGGACTCATGTTGGTTGTGAGTACAACTTAAATGATCTGCACGCGCGTATTTTTCAAGATGAATGACAATTGAATACTTTTTAAAAGAGCTGTTAAAACCAAAAGAAAGATAGCTTTAAAATTAAATGACGTATCAGAAGTAGCGGATCATGCGTCCGTCAAAATAATTTATAGCAGCTCAAAGTACTTTTAGAAGAACAATATTGGTTTTGAATTTCTAAAAAATATGATTATAACAATAGACTTATCTCAAAAGTACTAATGTGCTGCAGTAATTTATTTTGACGTACCCAAGATCCGCCACAGCGACTTCTCATCAGGTGCCACATCTTCTTTGATGAATACAGAAAAATCTACAGCTAATTATAAATGAAAACAAAGAAAAACGGCATCACCCCTAAACGGAGAGGTGACAAAAAAACACGACAAGTTAAAGACAATCCCTTAGACGGCAAAGAACGGTTCTAGCGAACTAAAGAAATACGGAGTCCATGATGCTTAACTGGAATGAAAACATTTCTTGACAAATCTAAAATTATTATTCGAGTAAGAATTACATATTAAGTGTTAGTTAAAATATTTTTTTTAATTAAGTTGACTAATCCCTTGCTCTGCCGTCAAAAGGATTGTATCTTTAACTTGTCTCTGTTTTTTACGTCACCTCCTTGTTTGGGGATGATGACATTCTTCCTTGTCTTCATAATCAATAGAAGTAAATTTCTGCTGATTATCAAAGCAGACGTGGCTATTATATTGCTCTTTTATAGCATTTATTTTGTATCTATCTTTATTTTGGTTTTTACCAGATCTTTTAAGAACTACTTTGCATGCACGCAACATCATAGCCACCATGTTAATTATTTTATGAAATGCCATCCAAAATAGCGAAAATTCCATAGTTCTTTTACTCCATGCATATAGGTTGCACACACCCTATGGTCATTCAACATGAAAAACATGCTGCTCAGAGCAATATTGAAACTTATATTGGGCTAACGTACACCCAAAAACATAATCTTACAAAATGCTTTTGTTCTTCGTCTTTAGTGACACTGGAGTCATAAAAAAATTGTTGATTAGAATCATCATTCGCAAATAAATCATAATGATTGTAAAACCAAGTAATGACTTTCATTGCTCGTTCAACATCACGAAGACTGACAAAACTGCATTCATCCTAATCAAACGAAAGCAAATTGCATGTCGTTAATTAAGTAAAGTGACAAGAAAGTAAACGATTGAAACAATTTTACGCCTAACCTTTTGTTGACGCATGTATTCTTGAGATGCTGACAAAATTTCAGATATGCATGAGGCTTCAGCATCAGTTTGAATAATTTCTTGATGTGTAGAAGCACATGTCTTAAAGTGCACAAAAGTTAACGCATAAATTGAGTACTCTAACTTATTCTCGCAACTAACAAAGACCGCAATAACTCAGAAAAATCACAAAACTTAAACTTAATATACTGAAATATACTGAATAATGCTATCTTTATTCGTAATTCTTCCTTCGAGTACATCTATTTGCTAAATACGCTTTTACTGGTTGTATATTTAGAAACGACAAACAACATTAAACATACGGGCACAAATAAAGGAACAGTCACATATCGTTTCACGATTTGTGCAGTATATAGCTTTTCAGTGTGATCTGTCAGCTGACCAAAGTCCCAGACAAGAGGTCTCATACTTTCAGGTAAAGGATGGACACGATACACGAGCTGGCGGAGGGGAATGGAGCCTAAGAATTACAAACCAAATGATATACCAAGAATAAAGACATAAAATCCTTGTAAAGAGAGGATTTACGGGATTTTATCAGAGACAATAGCAAAAAAACTGTTTTGTTGCATTTACTTGAAATTAGATTTAAAAATATAGAATCAAGGTTTTTGTATAGATCAGACTCTGACTACTGATATTGCACATTGGTCCTTTATTACACATATCTGCATGATATCAAATGAAACTAAAATTATGAAATTATTTATTTTTCATACTTGTGCATGGTGGCCTAGGATTTCCAAGCCGATTTGTATTTATTTATTTTACTTATTTCATTTATCAAAGTATCTTGAAATATAAATGATAAAAATTGTATATAAAAAGTTTCACGTGGCGTAGTACTGGCAATAGCCAAATATTATACACAAAATTGTGCACATACTTTTTTTGTATAAGTTAGGACATCGTGTTGAAAACATAGCGTAAAAAATTTGAAGACATTAGTTGACAAAGTAGTGGCTTTGTTATGAAATTATTTGAATTTTAAAAAAGTGGCGCCAGCTAGCTATTATTAGTTCAACTAAACTCTGGACTACACACTGCAAAAGCAAATATAAGACATGAAACTCATTCGATTAACTCATTGCTTAATTTACGACTACTGTGCGTATACGTCTTATTTATCACACCAAAAATATTCTCTCAAAGAATCAATTGTTCGAATTATTGATGCTCTTTTATTACTGCTTCCCAAGCAGCTTCAACATCACTCAAAGGGATAAAAAACTTTATATCGGTTTAAAAAACTTTGAATCGGTTTACTTCAAGTTATAGCAAAATATTTTCGCCGTTGACTAAGAGTTCTTTCACACTCCATCTGTAATTATCATTATTTTTGGTCATAAAATCTAAAATTCAAAAGCTAGCACTGCATATTTGTTTCGCTTGAAATTCAGAAACATAAATCCTGCAAGATTTTAATGAAAACTAAAAGCACCTGTAACATAAGTTTGCATACAAAATGGCAGGTAGCATTTCTGGGCCAAATAATAATCTTTTTAACACTCGCGAAACGTGCGAATTCAATAAAGATGGTGAAGCCAGAATAATTCAGGTTAAAACAGAATATAATAAAATTTTATCTAAAATACGAGAAATACATTTTAGGTATTCTGAAGTCTAGATTTTGGAATTTTGAGGATAGATATAGATATGCAAGATAGTTTTCAGGAGACTCTGAAACAAGGTTCCTAAATAAGCCATTCTGAGTCTGGTGCAAATAGATCATGGTTTTACTGCCATACCTAGTTTATCTTCAGTCTCGTCAGCAGAAACATTAGTAACTAGACCAGCTGATTCCAATTTTTTAATCATCTCGTCAGTGTGTCTAAAATAAAACAAAGTAGTAACTTTATAAATGTTTGATACATTTAATAAAAATGATTACTAAAAAACGAGCACAAACTTAAAATTTTAAAACTAACTTCCTGTATGGATTACATGCAGCAATAAAATGAAGTCCAGTCAATTTTGGATCGATATATCGACCCCTGACTCGTCGATCAACCATTATCTCTTTGATTAGATCAATTGCATCTGTCGTATTTGCTTCATCAAAGAACAAAATTGTGTCAACTTTGACTTTCTGGTTACATGAAGCCAACAATTCTGCGTCGACGACTATATTTTCTATTTCCTTATAGCTTGTTCCGCCATGAACCTGTATAAACACAGTTGTACAATACTATGATAACTTATTATACAAGAGAGAATTTTAAAACTTTTTGAAGTTGAAAGCATTCACAAAACAATTGCCTTTATTTCAAACTAAATGGTTCTGTATGCCAAAAACAGTTATAGAAAAATGCAGTAACAAGAGCAAGTCTATAAGAGTCTTTTTATGATACTATAAGACTTTTGATTGTTCTCCAGTCGACAATTTCAAAAAACAAATGAAAAAACACACTCCAAAATCATCATTTTGTAAACTCAACATTTAAGTTACAACAGAAGTAACAAGATTTACAGCAATATTTTGACTTATGCTATTTGAAATAATGGTTGGCAATAAATTTAAAATATTGCTTCAAATCTTGTATGTTGCTGTTATAACTCGAGTCTTGAGTTTACAAGATGATGTTTTTGGATTGTGTTTTATCATTTAAGACTCCTGATTGCAAAATGTTTTGTTGTTAGCGTAACCAAGTTTTCAAACCTTCATGTGAAGTAGATTTTTCGGTCCATCGGGTCCTGCCAGAAGCTGGCCCATAAATCGTATCAATCTTGTTTTACCACAACCGGTTTCTCCCATAATAATGACAGGAATGCTACATCTATATAGATAAAGAAGATATAAATTTATATCCAATACGTATATAAACAAGCTATAACCATTGGCTCTTTGACTATTTGTCTACTGCTAGAATTTATTTGTACTGTATATTGTGTTCGTTTCTAAAAGCTAGGTCAGAAATGCAATGAAACATTAATTTGGAGCGGCAAACAAAAAATGGACAACATACAAATTTAAGTCTTTTGTGTATGTATTTCAATAATGAGATGTATACGTTCTTTGAAATTTATATTTTATTAAATTTACCTAAATCTCATGTAAATGGCCAAGATTTTCTCCACATTGTCCGTGGTAAGCTCGTACGTAGGATCAGGATCATAAGAATCGTCAATTCCCATTACTTTACATAAGTCAACAATCCTTTCTTCGCTATAAAAATTTTTTTAACAGTAAGTTGTGCTACTGTAGCGTCTTAAATTATGAAAACTATGTGAAAGTGTTTTAAACAAGGCAGTAAACTTCAAATTTTGAAAAGTGTATTCACATTGGTGAAGTACTGTATATAGCACTAAAAAATACTTAAATATCCCTATGCATTTCTAAAAACGTCGTATCAGGTGATACATCAAGTGCAGGGTAAAATAAAAAGCATATTTGTGTGATAAAACATGTTTATGGCACAAATAACGACAAACTTATTGCTCACTACAAGTATTAAAAAGTTTAACAAGTATAGATGTTCATTTCTAACATGTCATATGCACACATAGTAATGTCCAAACATATTAGTTAGATTCATTCTTTTCTATAAGGAAAAGGAATGCTTTTACTGAAGGGCAATATTGTATTGTTTGTAACATTAATGCCGAATTGTGAACTATTTAACATGCTTCCATACAAAATGAACAGAAACATTCAGTTGATTAAACTATGATAAACCTTTTTAAGTCTGCTATACCGATTACAAGCCCGGACCTGTAGCGCGAGGCTATCTGCTTTTGAGTAGTTATGTCTCGTTCAAAAGAGATAGGAGTGGAAGGTTAACATTTAAATGTTGTTAGATAACATCGTTATTGTATATGGTTGTTGGACAAAGCATTATGGTAATATTTTTCTGTTGTTTAATGTAAAATTCCAACTATTTAACTTTATATTATTTAACGGCCTGGTAATTTGTAAAGTCATCAGTTGACATTTTGGAGAAACAGCTTGCTAAAACGCTGTGCAGAAATGGACTTTGAAATACACAGACAAAGAAATTGTACTTCTATGAAGAGGCAGCTGCAGACCAAACTTTCATGGTTATGCAATAGATAATCTAGAAGCCAGTTCATACGTCAGATGTCACAAAATTTGAGCATATTGTGTTCTATGATTGGAAAAACAATGAATCTGATTAATTTTCAAAAGGCAATAATAGTAGTTTTTGTGAAAAACTTGCATTGGGGCAGTATAAGATCGTGCAGGCTTCCTTACTGGTTAAATCAAACATCTATATATAGACATATATTTGTAAATGTAGACGGTTTAAGGTTAGTGAAGTTCTGAGAAGACTTTTGTTGCTGATGGTGACTAACGTTTTGAGATCCTTACCGGTAGTCATCTTCAGAGTCAAGTGAAGAGAGTACACGTCAGGTTCGCGATAATTGTTGTCTATTTGGTGTGCTTGTACAATAGACACCCCTACACCCACAAATTTCATAAATATATGATGACATATGAACAAGACAACAAATCCTGCGAACCTAACAATTCCAATTCACTTGAATTTGAAGATAACTGCCACTAATTGAAACGTCAACACAAACAATTCTTTTTCGGGAATCCACACGTGGACGTTCTATTCATCGAAAATAGGTAACAATACTTCCGGGCTCAAACAACTCACTTTACATTTAAAATGTTGAAAAGTTGAGTATCTGCAGGGATAGGAGCTACAAATTGCGACATTAAGTGTACAAAGCATGTTAAAATATTTGTTCAAACTATAAGAATTATAACAAACTTACCGCTTGCTTGATTCGTAGTTTACATCAAAATGCACATCCTGTGCTTCTAATTGTTCTCTTAAAGTGGTTGGCATCAAACGTTGTTCTAAAATAGTTCTATTTCCAGGGTCCAGCAAGTCTCCGTTATCATTCAACAAGAATCCCAGAAACGTCATACTGTGACGATCATGGTTGAAGAAAATATATGGATGCGGACTAAAAAAATGCGTACACTCTTTACAACAACACATCAATTAATACAGAGAAATTAATAATGTTACAAGCAATGTAAATTGTAATAAATCAACTATGTAACTTGCAAGTTGTATGATTTGTACTTTTTCAAAGTTGCCAGTAAATGTATAGCTACTTTTCATGATGACGCGTCTCACAAAAATATGATAAAAGACTGGTGTTTAATTTGAATAAATAACTAGTATAACATTTTCATCAATTGATGGTTATACATGCAATGTAATTTTCATAAATTTGAAAATAAAATCATTATTTTTTACAAATTTACCTTGACTCCCAACGTCGGCGTAATTGAAAGGGCTCTAGATCATCATTCATTTCTTCTGTTGCATTATTGACACCCAAACTGCGATCACTTAGCCATCTTGTTGCAAAGTCCTTACACAAAAAATTTACAGACAATCAAGCGCTTCAAAACAAATGGCAAACGTTTCAGTTACATGATACATACAGAATGAAAGCATTTTATAACTATAAAACAGGGGCGGATCTAGGGGTAGGCACCATAGGCAAGTGCCTATGGTGAAATTACCAAAATATACTTTAACTTAGATTCGATACGAATTTATCGAATTATGAAACTTTGAATAGCACTTTATCGCAGTCAAATCATCTGACTTTTGTTTAGAAATGTTGTGCAATTAAATGACGTAATTTTGATATGAATCGTAGTCCAGATGCGTATGATTATCTATAAAGCTCCGTGTCGTTAGGCAAAGCAGCCATTTTGCCTAAGTCAAGAAGGCGATCTAGCCATTTGATTGGTTGTTAGCAATTTGCCTAAACAAGATGAATTTGCCTAACTTGACATCGTGTATAGGTATTCTGATTGGGCAATTTTTGCAACCGTATGCTTTCATTGGTCAATTTTTTGCCTAACTTGAGCAATTCCAACCAATCATTGCTGTTGATAAGCATAGTTGAGCTAGGCAAATTAGGCAATTGAAAATTAACATACACTCGTATTGTTTCTGAACAGCCTCTGTGCTCAGTTTACGGTTTTGTGATATTTTATAATGTCTTCATTGTGTTGTGGTAATTTATACGAGACTGCTCAGTCTGCGTTGGCCAAAACGATTTAAAATGCCTTAATGAGCTTTATTCTCGTTTATTGGTCGACGTTCGACCTATGTTTACTAACGAGCAGCTGTTAGATAGAATTTATGACCCCGACCATACTCTGTGTCGAAATTTTGAGCTGAAATATATGTGCCAAAGCACGCTCATGACGGAAAGACTTGTACTGCAATAAGGTAAATATATTATAATTATATATATCGTATTGTAGTATTTATATATACGTGTAAAATGGTTAAATCTCAATTTCGCTAGGCTATATCTTTGTCTACAGTCAGCAATTCATTCATACAATGCAATCAATCTACCAAACAAAATATTAATTTCTTTTCTTGAATATTTTTAAGATCTGAAGCTTCTGGCAATTGCCTCTACAGTTCAGCTTCCTAGTTCTGGTAGGTAACAATGCATTGGTCCCTACTTTGCGAATTTTAACATCGCTTGAGCTATTTATTCATGCTGCTTTTATGCTCAACACCCATGCTTTTTGTCTGTTATAAGTGAGCACAGTGATTACTTTGCCCAAAGCTTAAACAATCTTTTGCCTTTGTCAGTGTCTAAAGAATGTTTAGACACTGGATATACAACAGATGAACTGGTAAAACAGGAGGCTATTTTAAATTGTAATGACCAGAAATGGTCATCTTTTCTTTGTATTTTGGGCCTATCTTCTGTTTTAGGTAGAAAAATTCATACTTTTATCCTGATTCTGGTGAAAGTAGATATAAATTGTTATTTAATCGTATTGTTCAGCCCGGTTATTAAGCCAAAGAGGTTTGGATGCTATTAATATTTTGTTTTGTCATGAAGGATCTGTACAACCAGGTGAGACTTTTCAGTCTAATCATTTTGTGCCTCTCATTTTCCATGCCCACAGGTTGAAGCGAAAATTGTCTAATTCCTGTACACAGTCTAATTCTAGCAGCTCAACAACAGAGAAACGAAAATTTGTCAAAATTTTTCCAAATATTGCACCAAAAACAGTTGACATTTCAAATTTTTTTACTTCAACTAATAGGCCTGCTGCCCAACCAACTTTTAAAAGGATGCCCAATGAGAGTTTTTCTTCTGCTGCAGCTCTTGCTCAGACATTAAATAAAGCCAATAGTCTTTTGCTTCACACATCATCCCAGGAACTATTGCCTGGTATTCCAACTTCTGGTGATATGCAACCTGCTGTTTTAACCCATAATTTTGATGTTTCCTTGTATAGGGAGAAAGTTAAGGGTATGGATAATTCTGAAATATGTCATTTGATAAAAAATGTATATAAACCAGATAAAAAGTATCATTTTCCTAAATCTAATGGCAGATCATTTAGGCATGATTGGCTAGACCAGCATGAATGGCTTTGCTATTCACCTTCACAAAATGGTGCGTATTGTCTATCGTGTGTGTTGTTTGGCAATAGATTCCCAGGCAAGGCCAGTAAAGTAAAAAAGTTGTTTACTGAACCTCTTCAAGATTGGAAGAATGCTAAATGCTCTTTCACTCAACATGCTGGAAAAAGTAAAGGGAGGGAAGTCGGTTTGCATGCATCCACATCACCAATTTTGATGCTTTGCGTTCCCAAATATCAGGTACTCTGCAGCCTATCGAGATGATCATGGATGCTGGTATCAAGAAAGAAATAGAACAGAATAGGGAAATACTATCTCCAATTATTGATTCTGTCATTTTTTGTGGACGTCTAGGTTTACCTCTTCGTGGGCATCGTGATGATTCCAAGTATCACCCTACTGTTGGTTGTTATTCATCTGGAGGGGTTGGTAATTTCATTGAAACACTCAATTATGGAGTTAGGAGAGGGGATAAAGTTTTAGAAAATCATTTAAAGAATTGTGGTAAGAATAGAAGTTATATTTCTAAAACAAGTCAAAATAAAATCATTAAATGTTGTGGCCAGGTAATCAGTAATCAGATTATTTCTGATATCAAAAAGTAAGTTTTTTCTGTTATTGCTGATGAAGCATCTGATTCTTCACATAAAGAACAAATGTCTCTTGTTTTGCGCTTTGTTGATACCGATATGAATATCAGGGAAGAATTCATTTCATTTCTTTTTGTAAGTGGGGACTAAGTGGTGCTCAACTTGCCAAGCTACTTTTAGAGGCTCTAAAGGAACTGACTTTATCAATAGATGATTGTAGGGGGCAAGGTTATGATGGGGCTGGTTCAGTTGCTGGTTGCACTAATGGTCTAGCAGCTCAAATTTTAAAGCTTAACCCAAAGGCTCTTTATACACACTGCTATAGTCATAGGTTAAACTTATCCATTTGCGATTCTTTGAGTATACGTGTTGTCAATGATATGTTGAAACATGTTAACAATGCCACTAATTTTATTAAAATTTCCCAAACTCGCAATATTCCCTTTGAAAACATATACGTAATTCAGAAACAAACTCGAAAAGACTAGATTAACAGACGTTTGCAAAACTAGATGGGTAGAACGTATCGAAGGTTTAGATACATTCCAAGAGCTTTTGTACCTGTATACACCACCCTTAACGATATGTCTGAAAATCTAGATGGTGAGTTCAAACCGTCGCTTCAGTCTGATGCCTCATCTTTGTTTCAACTTATTGACAGGTTTGATTTCGTCGTTGCTTTAGTTATCACGAGAAATATTCTTGATTCAACTCTTCCAGTAACACAGTTATTACAGGGTAAGAGTATCGATATAATGGATGGTATTCATTTAATTTCAACTTTGAAAACTGAGGTGGTGAACATGAGGAATTCCTCTGATTTTTATCATGACACCTGGTATGACGAAGCGCTTGAACTGGCAGCAAAAGTTGGCATTGAAGAATGGAAACCAAGAACAGTGCGCAAACAAACGACCAGGGAAAATATTCCCCACACAACCATTTCTGAGTATTATAAACGTGCAATTACTCTTCCTCTACTAGATCATTTGCAATCTTCTTTAGAATCACGATTCGACCTTGAGAGTGTGAATGTCTATAAAGGCCTTAGCATTGTACCGACGAAAATGATGTCCATGACAAGAGATGGGGTGGATTGGAAAGAGCCATTCAAAACTGTGGCTAACTTTTATTATGATGATTTGCCAAATCCTTTGGCCTTAGATGCTGAACTTAGGTTGTGGTACACTTATTGGGAGACCCACTGCGGCCTCCTTCCTGATAACATTGCCCAGACTTTAAAATCTGTTCATTTCGCCGGATTTGAAAACATTAAAATTTTACTACGTATTTTAGGAACGCTCCCCATTACCTCTTGTGAATGTGAACGATCTATTTCTTCCCTTAGGACACTTAAAAAACTATCAGCGAAGTACCATGGTTGGGGAACGCTTAAATGGTTTGGCCTTGATGCAAATTCATCAGGAAATTGTACCAGATATTGGTGAGGTTATTAATACTTTTGCTGTTGGAAATACAAGGCTAAAATTTGCATGAATTTATTCATATCCTAGTTTTTTATTTTGTTGAAATGTCCATATGTTAACCATTTATTGTGCGTTGTACACAATAGTAACGTCAATAGAATTTGCATCAAACTAATAGCTCGCCCGATAAAGGTTTTTTTTCCCTATATACATTCCAATCTTAAAACTGCTGAGTACGTGTATGGTACTCGGCCGTTGTCGACATAAATTTACTTTCACAAAAATTGTTAAGCATAAATAGAATAATTTTTCCTTACACCAAATTTTAGTCTTCACAAAGACTCTTTATACAAAGCTCTATTTTGACTATTACATTACATTTACATTCTGCTCATTTGTTGGCAAATGAGAGTGCACATTTTAGGTGGGGGGTAAAGGGTTGGAATTGACTGGGATGGTGTAAGAAACTGAGCAATCTTACATCCATGAAATGTCCCACATAGTCACCCATTTCTAACCAAACTCCTTTTGCTATTTGCTAAAGGTGTGAAAGGCGAGTTTCTGGCGCCTTCAAAAACCAGAGTGCACATTTTAGGTGGGGGGTAAAGGGTTGGAATTGACTGGGATGGTGTGAAAAATTGAGCAATATCACATCCATGAAATATCCCATATAGTCACCCATTTCTAACCAAACTCCTTTTCAAAGGTGTGTAGGCGAACTTCTGGCGCCATAACCAGTCTGCTTAATTCGGCTCTCACAGGGCTGTCCATGCCGGATCACGATTTTTTGTTTTGCGTTAAAGTGTTCCTAGGCATGCTGATGAGCCCTGATATGGGGCGAAACAGTCTTGTGTGCATTCAATATTCTGAATAGTGAAAATCAACGACCTTGTGATATGTAAGTATAAATATACAATGTTTTTATGTATTTATACGATTGAGATCTACAAGATTCTGCATAGCTGAATGATTAGACTGTTTGATTTAAACAATTTATCGAAAGCATAAATAGTGTAGTATGTTTTGCAAAGTATGACGTCATAGGTTTAGCACTGAATGACGTCATAATGTTTTGCCTATGGTATCCAAAATCCTAGATCCGCCCCTGCTATAAAAGATTGAAAGTCTGTTTTCAAAATATGTTGATGGACTTTTGTTATTTCAGGTGAGCTCAAATTACGTGAAAAATTAAACTGAAAAAATCTAAAGCAGTAAATTTTACTGAGTTTTCGGCTAATGCAACCTTTTCTCGCATATCAAACATGTTTGATATTTTTGCCACGAAATGCAAAAAACTCACCGTTTGCGCAGAATTTGAGCAAGATACATAATACTAATTAAATAACCAATAGTGATGGGTCCTTTTATTTCAAACGAGGTCAATGAACAAACACCCATATATGCTTTTACATGCTCAGCTAGCTACATAGTTTCAAAAATTTTATGATTTTATGAGAATAAAGTCGAGAATAAAGTATGTTTTATCGGGCAACATGCAAATAATATTATTCCAAAGATTTTGTAGTTAGTCTGCTTTAATTCCTTTGAGATTTCTTCATACGCAATTTAGCTTTTTTTTTATATTCTGGCGCACTTAGCTACATAAACACATGTATAGGGGTAATTTGGCCATAAGTCAACGAGCTTGTCCACGACTCAAATTTATCTAACATATATACTCGCTCACCAATTCGTATGTAGTGGTAGCCTATATTTAAATGTTTGGTCATGAGTTTTAAAAGAGCATGTCTCTTTTGATTCTTTAATTGGTTATATAAGAGCATCAAGCTCTCACAGCGCAAACGGTGAGTTTTTTTGCCTTGCGTGGCTAAAAATATCAAACATGCTTAGCCTTACGCGCACAGTAAGCTATAGCCTGAGCTATTGGGCACGAGTAACTTTTAGCTCAGCTGATAGCTTTCGTGTGCTTCAGACTTTGAAATTGCACGAGTCGGAAGGATGAGTGTAATTTGAAGTTTTTAAAAAACTTACGAGTCAAAACTCATGTTTTCTAAAATGCACGATCAATTTAAGCGTGCATGTTTCCATATAAATCTTACCCGTGACATTTGGATCATAAAACGAACAACAAACGTCTTAAATCCTTGCAACAAATCTTCAACCACGTCAGTTTGGCAAAAATTACTTTCCTCACAATCATGAAGTTGAACATTCAAAAAGTTTACAAAGTGCTGAAGCTCGGCCCAAGACGGATCACGTATCCCACAATATCTGAAAAAAATGAGAATGACATGTCTAATGGCAGTATCCAAAAAACTATTTGAATTGAGGTGCATCAGAAACGCAATATGTGGATGAATAAATTCATTATATTTTATCAACGTTCTTCATTGTTATCAATATATTTTTCAAGAAAGAGAGCGAGAACGTTAAATCGCAGTGTAAAATAGAATTAATATCTTATTATTGAAATCATGCAGGAGAATCAACTTAATAATCATATACCAACAAATCCCTAATCTAACCTTGTCTCTTCAAAATGTATTATAAAGTATTTTACAAAATCCTCTACGGTGAAAGCGTGATTTGTATTTGGCAGCTATATTTGTCATTGTAATATAATATGTCAAATGCAGTCAACACATTGAAAATGAGTTACTGTTAAATCGGGAAAAAGAAGAGAGTAATCTACAAGATCTTCCGTATAAATTATGTTGAAAATTATAACATTTACTCACTGGATTAAAATAGACAAAACTTTAACTGAATCTCTCACAGTAACAGGACGATCATTGTTGAATGAAAAATGGTCCAAATTAGCACCGGTGGAAAAGCGGGACAGATATTGGAAAGCTCGCTGATACTCATCATTGTTGAATTCCTCTTTGTCAAAGCTCATGTCTCCTAAATATTTTATTTGTGCAATTATATTGATTATCGTCTACTGAATTTTACTTAGCAAATTAATTAAACTCGTTAAAATAAACAAATACACACTTTCTAATACTTTCTAATACAAATTCTAATACTTTTGTTTTGAGATGAACAAAATTCTCTTAAAAGTTATTTCTAAACTATAGAGATTATAAATTTAACAAAATATTTATTTTAATATATAAGTATAGGGGGTTTTCCTGTTACGTCATGATCGCCGTGCCGGTGGTCAAATACAAAAGAATATTTCATTAATGCTATAATGACCACCAGCCGTCGTAAGTGAGGCACATTGTTTGGTGAATCCCTGGAGGTTGGTTGCAATCTAAGAATATCCAAAGTGTTGAAAGAACGGTTATGCATCAACATTTCAAAAAGTCCCCTTACAAATAAATCCTTAACTTAAACACATTGAACAGAATTCTTTTTTATAGTTTCTTATGACCGTGCACAATGAATATTAAATTTAGCAAATTTAGCAATATTTAATTTAGCAAAATCCGATTAAATATAGAGTATGATTTGTCTCGCTCTTTAAAAACGGTTATGGATAGAGCATTCATTCTTACCAGCCCTAGGGGACTTCAAGTTTCTTAATATTTCCATTGGTGAAAGACAACGGGTACATGGGAGGAACTTGATAAATGAATACTTGCTACTTGATGTTTTAGTGTCTGAGATCTACGAATAAATGTAAGTATTCCTACATTAGATTCATTTTATGCTTGTTCATTTTTTATAACAACGAACAGATCCAATCTAATCTGATAAGATCTAATCAATGAGTACGACATGGTTGATTCACAACTAAAACATAAAGTTTTTTTTTATCCACTAAATAAAAAAGAAGTTGAGGAGTATGATTAAGTATCTTACACGTGCTTTTATTTATGAGTACTTTCTAATACAAACTTAAAATCACAATTATGCATCAACAATGCATATACACATAAATATAAGAATGCCTTGTTAAAAGTCAATAAAATTTAATAAGTTACCAGACTTTGGTTTGTTGGAAAGTCCTCAGATTTTAATATCTCAAAATTCCTTTCAGTTGTGTGTTCAACAAGATACAAATCAGTTGTTTTTCTTCGCCAAATATTTCCATTGTTGTCTTTAATAGATCCAAGAATCAACAGTTTAAACAGGAAGTCATCAAGTCCTTTTGATACCTTTAAAATTCGTACTATTAGATTTGTGTCTTTAGTGCTTTTATTTTGCTCTGTTCACAGTTTATATATAGAAATATATATCAATATGAAAATGCAAAGCAATGGTGTTGTTCATGTTCTGTAAATATTTCGGCTCTTTTTGGTGAGGAAAGACAGTGTGTATCACATCTTCTCCAAAAGGCTCAATGATAATGAGGACTTAATATTGTTAAAAGAAGCGATGGTTGCTTTGCTGTCCTTTCATCATCGTGTGGATGTTTTATACATCTTAGAAATGTGTCGGATTATTTTGCTGTATTTAAGTAATGCTTCCATAATTTCTTCAAAGCAGTATAGATATTAGACATTTCAAGTGAACGAAAAATTTCTTCAAAGTAAAAATGTTTCGGCATGATTATGCCATAACTTCGATTTTCAGCTATATTTATATTATTCTAGTAACAGGTATTTATAAAGATTATTTACGACATGAATTGGTGCTAACTTAAAGCATTTGTTTATTGACGTCGGGTTATTTCATGTAAAGGGCTTCCTTAAGTTATAAAGAAAAAGAAGAGTTAGCGGTGTCTGGAATGCAAAAACATGAATGATTTTATTTGGTTTTACAACGTAGTCATGTGTGAACTTTTGCCGTAATAGTATACTTTATGGTGAGACGTCAAGTTTCCTTACCTATGCAACGAATTGCATACGAGAGTATAACTTTGAGCAATGCGGATGAGTTCGTTTTTTACAAATCTTCTTATACAGAAGATAGCACAAGCCAAATTTAGTTAACTGAAATGTCTAGGTAACACTCATGCATTCCAATGTGCTTTACAACACATTAAAAAGCTACTTTAAAGTCTCACATGACAAATAGATCATTATCAAAGCCAAGATAATTGTTATAATAGCCAGAGTTATAAGCATTTGGCATTTGTGTATCCATTTCCATCATTTCTATCAAAACTTACAGATATTTTGAAATATGTGTAACTCATTTTTATATGTGCTAATCAATAACACGATTATCTTGTCGCATTAGTTCCTTTTTGCATAAGTTTTTTGAGAAGTTAATATGGCTGAAATTTCCTGTTGTTATACGAATTAGATTTTAGAATTTTTAATGAAATTGTTAAAATTTTCCCCCAATAAAAATTTTCTTAATGTAAGAAACATATCTACGAGCAAAATTTTCTATTTTAAGAAAGTCTTTTTGGTAATCTGGTTATTATCCCAAGAAAAGTTTTGAATTATTTTTAGAAAATACTCATGAAAGAAATCCAAAAATCCATTTTCGGATTACGTTGCGTAACACAATTTTTGTCAATTTCTTTTTTTATTTGTAATAGCTTCGCGTGTTTGAAAATCACACAAGTTCCTATTGTGCTTGGCTGTTACAATACGACTTACCGATTGAGAAACGTCTACATGAAAAATTCTTGAAATAGGGTAATTTCTTTTCTGGGCATGTAATAGAAAGTCACGAGTGATCGCATTTTCATCCACACACGTACCATGAACTGGGATAGTACAGCATACTAATGATTGGAAATCTTTTGAACGTTTCTTTTTGGTATTTAAAAGATTTTCTAATTTTTTAGCCAGACGTTTTACAATCAAACTTTTTCCCATGCCTGCTCTTGATGACTGGATAAAACGCACAGATAACCTACGTAGAAAAAGAGTCCTTCAGTGTCTTTTGATAGTTTTTAAATGAAAATCTTGCCAAACAAATGTCAAAAAGACCTTAATCTTAAGGCCTCAATTTTTAATGCATTCCATGTTTAAACTTGGCTTCAAAGATATATATTTTGTAGCATACTACATGAATGATGTCTTGTATATAAAAAGATGCGTAACTAACGCTTACTTTTCTTCATCTACAGCAGCCGCTGGCAGGCAAGCATTTTTGTCAAAAGGAGATGCAAGTTTTTCTTTCAGACATCTTTGGACATCTTCCAATGACATAAGCATAGGACATGAGCGGCGATAAGGATCTAATGCTCTCACCATAATTGACCTATCATTTTCATTGCTACATATTACCACCAAATGATATTCTTAGAAATGAAAAGACAAAAAAAAGTGAAAAATATGACATGATCATCATTAATTAAGCAGTTAAAGACAGCATGTACAATTTCGATTACCCATTTATTAAAGTGAATGATTTGAACCGGAAAGTATAATTAAGTGTTTGCATGTAGACGTAAATCGTCCAAGTTAGTAAAAAGTCTTTAGTCAACTGAACGGTTTACATCTAAAAAATTTAACTGTCGCATTGTGAAAAAATGTGCATTTAAAAAAGGCAAAAGTGCTTTCAGCCATCTTCTTTATTAAATAAGTTCATGAAAAAAAATACAAAATTAAGCTCGCGTATTATGACCTCATGACTTATGAAAACAATGTTTCAAAAAGAAGAGTCGATGGTTAATTACGTTATACAGTTCAAACAACGGTTATTAGGTAAAATTTTACAATATTAGAAATGCATTTATACTTATAGCCAAGACAAATTTTATTTTTCTATATCTTACTTGTTTGTCCTTGAGTTAACCAATCAAGTAAACATAATGCTTCCTGACTGACGTCAAAGTCCAAAAGATCAGCATTAACAAGACAAAACAATCGACCGGTTCTGTCAATTACAGCTCGTCTCCATAGAAGTTCAACCTATTAAAATCATTTTTGTAACAGGTTTGCTTTTTTAAAATTCTTAGCAAATTTTGCGCAGGCTAATGCAAAACCAATCAGCGCACGAGTTTCATAGTTTTTATTTAGTAATTATTTATGAAAACCGCTTGTAAGTTTTTGAAGGTCGTGACATCGTGTAGTTGGACCTGACTATCCCAAAATATTTTGCAAACGTCACGACAACGTCGTGTCTTAGCTGGGTATAGATTTTAACTTTATTATTCTAAACACCAACCCTGCAACGACAAAGCAAAATTAAACAAACCATGCAAAAAAGTCTGATTTTCAGAAGACTGCATGCATATAAGTTAGCAGTGGTAAGTCAAAAACATAACAAAAACTTAATTTTCATTTATTCATAACTATTTTCCTGAAAATATTTCGAGTCGTAAATTTTTTTTGAAATCATAATGAAAGAATTAAATGATTTAAAATGACTTTAAAATTAAGCTTTTTTATTTGTTTTGACTATAGCGCAGAATTCAGCTTTGTTAATTCAGCTTAGCTATAGATATGGTTTTTGTACATTTACACACAACGATTTTTTGGGCCGACACTGACGCCATTTTACGTGTTCTTGCCATATTACGAAAGTCGCCCGACTCGAAAAATATAATGAATATCTGTAACAAACTTTATATTTGTTCATGATTTTTACTATGTTGCTATGGCTTCAGAGACAAGCAAATTATGATCATCGAAAAATCATTGAAATGTCTTCTTCCAACACGGAAAAAGAAAGTGCTAAAAGCGTCGTTTTTATTGAAAAACCAAAAGCTGCAGAGTTTCAGATTTAAGCAAGTCAAAATTATTTTCTGAAAAAGAAATACGGCAATAACTTCGATTTGCACTTCACCCACACAATCTTTACATTTATTTTCTTTCTTATTATTTTTTGAGGCAGAAATAATAATATACATTGCCACTGTAGCTACAATGAGAAGTTTTAATTTCGCTTTAGTATTTTTTTTGTCGACATATTTGTTTTCTTTTTTGAAATAGCGTTAATACATCGGATGCATAATTTACACACAGCGATTTGTCTTACACGACAAGTGTTTCATATATGGCAAGAATCACGTAATATCGCGTAAGTGTCGGACCGACAAATCATTTCGTGTAAACGAGCCTTTGGCTACTTCAAATTAAGAAATAAGATATGTTAAGTGATAATTTAAAGACAAATATACTTTGAAAATAAAAATAATTCAAAATATGAATGAAAAACACACCTCTTCCGATATTGTATTTTCATCACAAACAACCACCTCTTCTTCGCTAGGCAACGTTTGACTTCCCCGTCCCATGAAAAGAGACAACACGCACCCAAAAATTTCACCTGGTATAAATAAATACTTTCAAATAAAATTCAACATTTTTCTCAAGCAAGAAAGATGAGCATTCCACAGCAGTGCCTCTAACATAAATCAAAAAATTTCAACGACTTTGAAAAAAACGATTTCTATTAATAGAAAGAAAACGTACCTTTGGAGACGAGTAACAGATTTGGCTCTCCTTCTTTTAGAACTGCAGGGAACTGTCGATCTATATGGCTGTTATCTGCATAAAATGTTTAAATCCGTAAAAAACCATGTTTTTAAGTCTTTCATAACTGGGGTTTTGACAGAAATATGTGTAGCTTCTTTAGTCAATTTTGATGAATGCAGAAAATGCAAATACCGCATTCTTAGTATGAATATAATTAAGTAAATGATTTGAACCCGGGAGTATAGTAACATGTTTGTACATAAAGATCGTTCACGTCAGTAGAGTCCTGAGAAGGACTGTTGATATTGATGTAGACTGACGTTTCGACAAACTTAGCGGTAGTCATCTTCAGAGTCAAATGAGGTGTAAACGTCAGGTTGGCCGTATTTGTTATCTGGTCCTTACGTCATCGTATTGTGTAGTTAGACAAACGGATCGTCTAAACACTTAGTTCTAAATACCCCTCGTCAATATATTCATTAGGAACGTTTAGAGTAAATATCTCTCATCAATATCTCTCAACATTACGCCTTGTAATCACATTTTATTTTCGTCATGTAGAAATTTATTAAGCTTGCATCTTCACTTTCCTACGGCCAGGGATGGCGCTAGAACGAGAATTAGGGGGGCGTGGTGTATATTCATATGTTCAGTTGTGCCTGACTGAACTAAATCAAAACTAAATCACTTTCAAAAGAAATCATTCGCCCCCAACCGAATATATGAATATACACCCTCCTCCTCAATTAGCGTTTTAGTGCCGTCCCCGCCGACGGCTGAATCCTTTTCAACTCTCCTGAATGGAAATGGCTAGCATGATGTCTGTAGCAAGCACTTTCAAACCACAATACTTTAAGGGCAAGTTCACTAAGTCGAAAGTCTCTTTTGCTCGACTGTTGTTGTTACATTGTTAATTCTTCAGATTTAGACACGAGTAAATCTTTCGCATTATTGTTCAAAATCGCAAAACTTGCGTTATTGCAAGCCTTAGTGCCTCAAAATTTATGTCCTTGAGTGTTAACAGATAAATTCTTTCCATTGCGTCAGAAACTTTCTTGTCACTAACTTGGGAAAACCAGTGATGAACCATCAATAAATTCAAGAACAATTAAAATTCAAAATGCATTTGCAAAGCAAATTCATACACAGGTTCACTGAACCAATTCAAAACAGAATTCACAATTGAAAAGATAGATGAGGATTTCTTTATTCCATCGCTGACAAGGAAAAATGTGCGCTTTAAACACCGCCAATTTAGTTTGTTGTCAATATTCAAATAAGTGAGCACAAAATTTGATAAAACTATTGTTAAAATGAAAAGTATATGCATCGAATATTCCTTCCGCAACTATATGATTACAAAGTACACGCGTGTTTTAAAGGGCTCTTAATGATTAAATGTTCGCTTAGGGCTCGAGAGGCTTAGTAAAAGTCCCTCAGGCGTATCTCTGAAAGCATGCGTTTACTTATAAATAACCTAGTTTCGTTTAACGTTAACTAACTCAGGCTTAAAATTTAACCCTGGGTTAGCGTTAACCAGCTTTTGAACAACCGGCCCCAAGGTATCAGAACATTTGGGTATCTTTCCTTTGACATAAAAACCTTCATCTAGTCCAATCAACTCCAAATGCTGATCCATCTCATAACCACTAATCACTCAGCCGACTTTGACGACTTCAAATTCTATCATCCTCTCTTAATGCATACAAACTTTCTATGCACGAAAGCCTCCTCATCTCCCAGCTCAAACCTATTCTTAATGTCCAAGGCAGATCCATGCCACTAAAAATCACACAACACTGTCATCACAATATCTTGTAATTTAACACTCTGTAAACATCATATAATTATTATATATTTGTTTTCTAACATCCCATATATGTAGATATGTATAAAACAGGGTTTAATCAAAATTTAAAATTTAAAATAAGCCCCATTTAAAATTAAGCACTTTGTTTCTGCTTATCCTGTTATATTAAGCTGCGGTAAAAAGTCAAACCTTTTTCAGAAATCTTTTCCAGCAGAGCTGCTAAAACATCCAAAGGCAAGTACTTTTCATCCTGGTTAATGACATGCGTTGTACTGGCATTGGCGAGAGAAGAGCTTCTTTTTTCTTCAGAAATTTGCCTAAATTTTATGAACAAACAATTTTGAAATTAGAGAAGTGTGGAATATATCCTTGAACACTGCGGCAGGCCTTTCGAAATTTTTAAAAATATTAAAGGAAATGTGATATGCAGAGGGTCTCAAAAAAACGGAACCCATATAAATTAATTATGAATTTACTGAAACATTTAAGCACAAAAATATCACCAGCATTCAAAACAGTATAATGAACTTGACATTTTTGCACCTTTCGCAATGAATATAAATGAATAAAAAGAGAAACTGACTGTGTTTAATTAAAAATTTGCCAGTTGTTTGTTATTGTGTATTTGACATAAGGCTTCCAAACCCCTTTTCTTGAGTTCAAAGCAAATTGTTTAAAACCAAACAGAAAACTAATTTATAAACTAGAATTTAGTATCGCAAGGGGAAAGGCTACCACGCCCCCCTTTTCACCAAAGGGGCGAGTGCTCTGAAGAAACAAAGTCATGCGCGCGGAAAGCCGACGGCAAGCTCGAGCGAGCATAAGTAATATTTGCTTCCGGTGCTTTACTTGCAACGATTATAGAGACGTTCTCTTAAAATTAACATAAAACTATTTCGATTGAAAACCGTTTTTATTAGATAAATACTATATCTTCATTTGTCATCCAAGAGCTTTGTGAAAAGTAAAATCGTCGTTTACGGATAAATCGAACAAATTTTTCTTCTGTATAAGAACAGAGTCAACCATGTATACAAGATATTATACAACTTACTGTATCGCTAATTTTGGATGCACTGGCCGTGCAGTTTTTTTAGTATTTTGTTACTAAGACTCACCAATGTATAATCAATTTGTGAACGCAGAGGCCTCGCACGTAGCAAGTATTTCTTGGCCATTACATTACACGTACGTACGTAATTTAAAACAACAATCATGGGACTGTAAGGTCACTATTGAGAGCTTTCACAATTTATTGTCTACTTGTAATAACACATTAAACGTACTTTTGTCCACCATGCGGTCAATAAAATATTGGTGCCGTTAAGTGCCGTTAATAACATAAAAGCACATTGCTTTCTCTCCGAGTTGATCGACTAAAATCAGAAACCGTTAATAAAGTCATATTCCTGCTAGTACTATTATAATGTACTTTAGTCTATCAGGCGTGATGTAGTCAGTGAAATACTCTTGCCCATAAAAGCGCAACTAATAACATAAATATAGATTGTTTTCTATCCGAGTGGATCGCCTTGATGCAAATCTGCAGCCGTTAATAAAGGCATACTACAGCTAGTATTAGGTATTCCTCGAAATTTTTTTTTGCTTGTTTAATCTAAAGTTACAAAAGCTTAAGTTTCGAAATAATCTTTATGTTATCAACTGAAAACACATGAATGCGCAACTTAACATTTTTATCATCCAGTCCCTCACATTAAAAAGTCTTCTAAGTTGTGACGTCATGCCCGGAAAAAAATCTTAACGTACACACGCCAAATCCAAATGTTCACCACTATATACGTCGCGTAAAAGGACAGGGTCGAGTGAAATGGCAGTCAAAAAGAGTGTGCTGCTTCACTAACGCTATTCAGGAATCACGTTTCTCGGCTAATGACAATACTTAATTTACCCTCCCCCCCAGCTAAAAATATAATTTTTATTGCAAAAATTAATCTTTTATGTGAAATATGAACTTTACCCTGAAGGTGGAGAGGTTTCAAATAAAGTATCAGCATTTGTAGCCAAATTGTTGGTATTAAATACCCTTCTGACAATATCAGAAAGGGCACGATTTTCCTTTGCTTTATGGGATAAATCCAAGATGTCATGTTCATCTTCATCATAATCCAAAATCCATGCAACAAGATCGTCTTTCGTTGCTTTACGACCACAAATTTGTAAAGCAGCTAGTATGTAATTTTCGTCAAAATCTTCTGACTCCAACATTTCTTTAGCCGCCGAGGTGAGCATTTCAAAAGAATTCTGTCTTTCAGGAGGCGTGAGAGAATTTGTATGAACTTTTTCATTTGTATCACCATTAATTTCTTCGTCACTCTCAAATAACTCATTATCATTTTCTGAATACTCCTCATCAAAATAGACAGAATTTTCTGGAACAACTGACTTCAGTATATTGGCAAGTATCGTTGGATCAATATCATTCTTAACTGTTTGAAGAAGCACAAATATTTTCCATGGGAGTTCATTAACTGCAGTTTCACCAACACAAGCCTTGAAGAGCTCTTCTCGCAAAATTAAAATCTGTTTCATGGTGAAATGATTCAAAGGGTAACATTCCGATCTTTTCAAATTAATATTTTTTTTCCAGTCTTCTAAATCGTTTTTCATTTCTTCACAGCAATCATTGATTTTGGAGAGAAGTTCCATGTTCTCTTGTTCTTCTTCGGTACATTTAACTTCAAATTTCCATGTGAGATAGTTTATTTCTCCCACATCGCAAAGTTGCAAGTAAAGTTCTTTTAGTCTCAGAATTCCTTCAAAAATCTTTATCAAAAAACATAGACAGAAGCCTGCATTAGAAATAATAGTCTAGTACCGTAAATATTTATAAAATTTAGTATAAATTTGGTATTTTTCTCTTTTGTGTCTCCAAATCTCAACCTTTAAAATCCAGGCTTTTAGAGAACTAATCTTATTCAAAGCTTAAAATGATTTATAGGACAATTCATCAATATTCAAATGATGGTTAAAATATTGCAAGCTTCCAAACTAACAATAGTCTAGTAATTTTCATTTTTTTAAGTTTATGATTTATTGATATCTTTTACAATTTTACTCTTTTAGTTTTTTAAGAGTTGTCTTCATTAATTAGCTTCAAGATGAATTAGAGTTTCCTGCTTGTATTGACTAATTCAATCGTGTAACAAAATATTTCATGAGTTGAGCATTTGATTATATGTAATAAACCAAGCACCAATCGACGTATTCTAATTTCAAACTTCCTTTAGAGCTGTAATGTCGCGAAATGTTAGTTTTTGTTGGTGGAAAGCCTATGACGTAACCAAAAAAACTCGTGTATAAAGTTTATCATGATTAAATTCTTTTAAACTCCTTAAATTCCTTAAATATTTTTAGGGGAGGACATGCAAACCTGAATACTGTTCTCCCTTTCTAATCAACAAGCTGAAAATAAAATACTGCATAGAAAATTGACTTTAGTAAATTTATAATATATCCGTCGTGTAAATCATAATCTCATGATGCCACAAGGGCTTCGTGATTTTTTCGTTATCTGTTCTGAATAAATAAGCAATGCTAACAGAAAACACAAACAGACAACAAATTAAATAAGTAAAGTATGTAACAAAAAAAAGGTAAAATCTTTCCCCCAAACATTTTTAGCTCTAACGTAATTCAAGTGCTTATCTCATTAAATGTGCAATAGAATTTTAACAAACATCTACCATGTAAATAATTTTATAATCTTATACTTTTCTTTGACAACTGAGAGTTTTTTATTTCTGTGAAGAATTAATTCTCGAAAATGTTGAAATCAATTTTTTCATTTACAAAGAGCTATCCACAATGATTTAGGATAAAAAATATTTCCCAAACTAATATAACAGTAGAACTAACCTCATTGAACTTGTCGACCTCTTGTTTTCCTCTTTCATATTCTCCTGCAATTGACATTAAGTTGCTTTGAATATCTTTAATTTCATCCAAACTGTAAATTTTCTCCTCGCGACTGCTTTCACTATCTTCAGGAATAACAAGAACGACAACGTTGTCAGGTGAACCGAAATATTTTTTTGCTTTACTTAGTTTTTGCTGGTCACCGATGTAGTAAATACCAGATGAATTGATTGTTTCAACTAGGAGCATTGTTGTCAAAGCAACTGAGCCATGCGACTCCTTTATTTGCTTCAGCCATGAAAGATCTTTTTTGGTTATTTCCTTAAAAGGGGAAAACTTATATCAATTTATATAATGAGCATGTGATACGCATGGTAAAGGAATTTTTGACAATTCCTTACAAAAATGTATTGCAAATACTATTTACTGAGCATCATCAACTCATTATGGCAATGTACGTGAAATTTTTATCAGATCTGACTTAATGAGCTTAGACTTGTTAACCTGCTTTATATAGTCGCAAACACATAGCAAGAGGAAGTGCTTAAGCTCGTTTAAACGATAAGGTAAAAAAGTCCTTGGGTGTATATGAATACAAAAGGCACATTTAGTACATTCAGTTTTTTCACATTTCTGTAGTAAATTGAAACTTTTGATAAATCAACGATTTTACAAAATGAGAGAGATAGGGTGTGGCAGATTCACACACCACTCACCAAGATCTTTGCCATTGTCTTATGGTAGTACTTACTAGCTTTTTGTCAATGGTTGGATTGGCATCAATCACTTGCCAGAGAGGTTTGCAAAGTTCCATCAGTTCACGAAAACCATGCTCTTCACGATAGCTAAATATCAAAGAGCCAAATCCCAAACAGCTTGTATGCATACAAGAAATACGGTCAATTTCTTTATCGCTTTCACCAGCTGATATCATGGCCAAATCCACAAACACCTTTAACCCATTTACATCTAATATATTGTAAAAAATCAACTCTGAAACTTCTGTGTTTTCCAAGTAATAAGATGCTAAAACAAGTACTTGCGTTGTAAATGAAGGGTACAATATTTATATTTGCATGTCTTAATCTCTACGAAAGAAGTCGTTTAAAAAATTTACCTTTAATGGATCTTCTTATCCAATCAACCAGTTCGAAACTTTCGGCAAACACTTCTAAACACTTTTGCCTGTGACTATTGATTTCCGCTAAAGATCTTTGCGCTTTTAGGTCAACGTTCAAATCATCAATGCACTTATCATTGAAGTTCTCAGATGTAATCTAAAAACAAAGCAAAAAACGTGTCGTGCTCAGGTAATTTTTCAACAATTGAGTGAGTTGCACACAATTTAATTTTTGATTTCATGATGCAGTTAGTGATTTAGAAAAGACATTCGATGTCACAGAGACAAGTTTCTGAGATCTATGGCTCTACGGTATTGCCCGTTGTGGTACAAGCAACAAGTCATTTACACACAAATGTATTGGAACAGTTGGAAAATTGGCACAGGAACAATTTTATAAGTCTCACTGGCCAAGCAATTGGTCATAATCATTAATTATGCCCAACAATAGAAAGTAAACATTTAGGAAGTCAACTTGAAGCAATAAGACTTCCTATTGGTAATGTCTCTTTAATAGCATCTGGCGTGATAAAATGATTGTTCATGGACAAAGTGGATTTTTCATGGACTATTCTATTCTACATTTTAAAATTACAAAGTGGATAAATATTGTGTGATAGGCTATTGCAAATTACGATTGTTAAAACAATTAGCTGTATCCAAAGTTAACTTCACTAATTTGGCACATTACTGTCAGCACTACTTTTCTTAGAATACGTGCATACAGAAAAACACTCTAACACTCTCTACATGTTGACTCCACACGCGCTCTATATAGTCCAGGCGGAAAAAGAGGGGTATTTTCCCCCAAAGGGGGGGGGGGATTTACTAGACTAAATTCTTTTGGTCAATATTGGGGCGCTGATTTCAAATATCGATGTTATACGGGCAATTTCGGGGATTTTCAGCCTCTTTTTTTTACGCCTCAGTTTTACGCCTCGTTTTTATGAAAATCGTTAGTTTATAACCTTATTTCCAATATAAATACATTTTGACATTGTAAAACGTCTAAATATATTTAAAGGAAAAAAAATTAGTATAGAAAGCCTAAAAAAATTTTAAAAAAATTATATTTTCAAGATTTTAAGTTTTCAACTTTTCTAAATTTTTATTATTATTGGTAAATGTCATTTACTAGCGTTTACTTCTTGTAAAAAAACACTTTGAAAACGAATACTACAGTTATTGAAACTTAATAACTAGTTCTTATCGAATCTATAAATTAATGGTGTGAGTATTTTTACAGATTTATGTATTTTTGGACAAAGTACATGAGTTGAACAAACTGAACTTGCTAATCAGTCATCATCCATTTTAAAGTCATCATATAAAATGTTGCTATGATCATGCAAAAATTTTTGAGACATACATTGACTAAAGAAGCTCAGATAGCTAAACAAACCATCAATATGGGGATAACATTTACAGTGCAGTTTGTCTACGGACACGAACTTTTTGTCTCCGTGAAGGACATTTACAATTTTCGATACGTAACAAAGCACTGTGGCATGACATGGCAATGTTTTGCACTTCAGCAACTTGTTCAATGTTCTCTGTCTTCTTTAACACAGCTTTTCATACGCAATTATTCCGTTCCTTAAAGTAGCTGGAGACATGATAACTTTTTAAAATTGCGCGGAGATGAATCCTGCGTGTTTTTGAATGTAAGAAAGAATCATTCATTAAGTCATCGTATTAATCATATTTTCCCACTATCAAAATTGTGTGTATAAAAACTGCTAAAATTTTATTGTCTCGAGAAGACTAGCACAAAGGTGCTACAGAAACAGTTTGTACAAGAGCAATAAGTTTATATTTGCCTCTTGGGTTGCCTGACATTTAGATGCACGGTTTTAAGCAATATAAACACGATCATAGTTACTGCAATTGAAATTTGAATTCAATTAGCTGAGGTTAAGCAGTATACACAAGTATCTCTGGCTTAATTGTGACACCTACAAAGAAAACACGTCAAGACTGTCGAGCAACAACGCGCATGAGAAAGCGGAAATAGTATTTGTTAAAAATTTCAGGTATAAAAGTCCGTTTTGATATTGTCAAATTTGTGGAAAATGGAGAAAAAACTGTCCTCTTCAGTGTGCTTTTGATGAGACAAAAAATATAGGCATGACAAAACCATTTATTTTTCTACTAAAAGCATAGTACTGTATAGAAATTATATTAGTTGTTCTTTCATCTTAATTGAATTGAAGAAGCAGATAAAAACTTGTAGCTCTGATGAAATATGCTTTTCTTGTATCTAAAGATGGTGGGAAAGTAATATCACCTTCTCGAGTGATTGGTCTACATTCAGTGGTTTGTCTCTACGCATTTTTAGCCAATCCTAACAAGAAAGAAAAAATGTGTTTGGCAAGCCATGCATGCTTATTACATAATATATATCGAGTTCATAAAAAAAGTCGCTGAACTAGTAAACGCTGCTGTATTATGCCGCGTACTATGCTTTGTTATCTATCAGTAAATTTGTATACGTCTTTTACGGAAACATAGTCGTTGTTTGTTCAGAAACTCAAGTAAGATAGAAAGTTCCTTGATATAGGTGTTTTGCTTCTTGGCAAAATGAATCTCTACAACTGCACCACTCAAGATTATTACGTTACACACATGCATGAACTAGCAATTAACTGAATTAATTGAATGGCAAAGTAGCATCGTTGGTGCTGTAACTGTTATCACTATAAATTTTGTTTGGACTTCTTGTCATTGTAGGAGACATGAATGTCACAGAAACCTATGCATGATCACGGGAAATGTATTCCATATGACTTTGACAAAAATGTACATACGTGATGACTAATAAACAAGATAAGTTTGATAAACTCGTTTATTGTGTCCAAAAACCGAACAAATCATTAAAAATACTTACATCATTATTTTATATTCGATTAGAACTTGTTATTCAATTTGATCAACTGTAAAATTTGTTTAAAAAAAATTTTCCGGACGTACGCTAGGAAATGAAACTTACCCAAAATCATCAAAAATTTAGATGAATCGTGAAAACTCCATTTTTTTATATATATATTAAGCCTTTTATACACAAGAATTTTATCTCTTTTAATATATTTGAACGTCTTACGATCTCAAAGTGTATGTTTATTGGAAGTGAAGCTATAAAATTACGATTTTTAATAAAACGAGGATTAAAACTTGAAAACGAGGCTAAAAGCCCCCAAAATAGCCCGTATAACATCGATTTTTAAATTCATCGCCCCAATATTGACCCGAAAAGTCGTGTGTAGTGAATTCTTACGTTATGAGACGATACCCTCTTTCTCGCCTAGTGTAATATTGTTGGCTCATCACATGAGAGGATTTTCCACACCATGTTGAAGAGTCTTGATTGGTATTGTGTCCAATCAACACGCTCAAAATTTCTTTGTGCCGTGGTCACCAAAGCGTACCTCAACATCGCTTAGTGAGTTTAAACAGCACACTCTAAAGTGTCGAGAGAAAGCATGTTCACTCTGCGGCGTATGTCAGTGTAATTCAGTGGATCATTGAACCGTATATATGTAGATGTACATACGTCGTTGCTAGGTGTCGTGCAATATTTTATCCCATGATCCTACTCGTTATCATTTTAAGGCTCAACATCGCTTAACATCAGTCAACAAACGCAAAACAATGTTTAGCGCATTTTAATTAACATGTCGATGTCGAGAGCCTTTCAAAGTCTTACCTTTTGAATCTCTTCCGCTTTAGAGAAATCTCCTTTCATTTGAAATGTATTTTTTATCTTCAGTATCAACTTGGCAGATTGTTCTATGTCAAATAGTTCTTTGTATTTTTTCAGTTTCTCCAATGTAGTTTTAACATTATTCTTTTCTTGATACTTAAAGAACTGCGACAAGAACGTAAATTCTTTTTCCAATGCATCGAAATCATTTTCAAACAAATTTAAAAGAACATCAACAGTGATCAATTTCATTTTACGGTAAAGAAAGTCTTCAGTAACAATCTTGAGTTTTACATCAATGACTTCCAAGACTTGTTTCTGAATCATGAGAATACTAACTTTTGTTTCTTTATTTTCGTCTTTTTCGATATGTTCCTGCCAGAAGAACTTAAAGATTTTGCTTTCTTTTAATTGTTTGACTCTTGATATAGTAAGTAGAATGTCCTTGTCGGTATTGAAAAAATAGCAATCCACTCCATCGTTTTCGTTTCTACGACAAAGGTCACACACGGATAGTTTATTATACTTTTGAATTACCTTGTCTCGTAATTTCTGAAACTCTTCATCAACTAAAACAAAAAAATATGGATGAAGATGAATTTGTATAACCGACCATGCAGTCTTTTTGGCCATTATCAAAGGTCATTATCATTATAAGCATGTAACATAAAGGAATGTCATATTGTTTATACCTCAAACTATGACTAAATTTTAATAAATACCCACTACTTAATTTGCCTCACACAAGCCACAAATTGAAACCATTTTTAAACACAGTGAGCAACAACAATCATAAATTTAGGTTTAAAAGTCACCAGTGAACAACAGAGAGAGGCCAGAATATATAGTGGCATTCTTGGTGAGATTGTAGAAGAAGATAAAAGCAACTCAATCAATATCCTGATAAAGTCAAACCAAAGGATTGTAAAGATGCATTTATATTTCTAGAAGATAAATATAAGTTAGTTAAGCAGTATTGAGTTTGTTTAGAATGTACTGCTGCAATTATATGTTCTATATATATAGCAAGCAAACAAGCTATATTCATACAGTTCTTAATGCATTGAAATTGCTGTTGCATGTCGTCTATCATAAACTAACATACAGCTTTAATGGGACACTATCACAGTTCTTAAGTAGACATTTAAAAGAATGGTACATCACCAAACATTATATCGACTTAATATCAGATTTTACTTATAAAACGTTTCTGAACTACATATATGTCTTAATCTATATTTTATTAACCGAATCCTGTTATAAAGCAGGCAAAGAAAGAGAGCTATAAAGTATTTGCTGAATGTGTGATTCATTTAAAAATTTTAAATTTTATGCATTGACATATTTCCAACACAATATATGTACTTTGGATCATATGCTTGTAACTGACATGATGCTATTTCTGGATCAGATAGCATCATACCTGCCCCTTGACTATCTAGCAACATCAATTAGCCATAACTTTTATTGTATGTGAAATGAACCAGTCATTTAGCTTTTGATGGGATGTCATCTCCTTGGTTACAAATAGCTCCATCATTGTTGACATACTTTTTAAAAGTCCCTTTGATGAATTGTTCAATTGTAATACTTTGATAAACTTTCAATCTTTCTCATGTAGACCTAGTTATATTAGAATGTAGAGCCAAAGATAATTGGGCGTTGGGTACCCACACAAGCCAGCAAAATTTTTAGCTAGCATGTGTGTCTAGACAATTTTCTTTGAATTGCCTTCGGCTAAACTACCCCGTGGCATTTAAACATGATAGTGTTCCTGGAAAATACTTTTTTACCACCCACTTTTGACCTTTGAATTCATCTGTTGGACTTGTTGCCATGTAGTTTCGTCCAAACCCACCCTCTCCAAAATGATCTTTTGAAATTATGAACTCAGCTTTCTTTGGCAGGACAGACAAAGTCATCATATCTTTGTTAAACTTAAAAAATGTCTATAACTGTGACTTCATTTGGTTTAGAAGCTGCTTTACCAAGATTTAACATGGATTATATGGATAATTTTACTGGGAAAAAGGTGTTTTTCATATTACTTTTGTAATACAAAAGAAGCAGGTCGTGAAGGATGCGAAAGCAACACGCTTCGAATTCCATTAATACTCCGAAAACTGCTGACGGTGACTTGATTTGACAAAATATTTGCCCTATTCCACACTTCATTTCCTCGACATTAGCATCATCCGTAAGAATGGTACCTTTCATCCATCGTAAACCAACTTTCACTGGCTTGCTTACCCAACTTCTACAGCTTTATCCCTCACCAATATAAATGCAGCTTAATATTCTCTCTCGTGTACCGCTTCTACAATACCTGCTCTAACCATGAAAACTTCCACAACCAGTTAGAATCGCTCCGACATATCCTTAGCAGCAACAGCTAACCAATCCGTCAGTTTGATCGCTGAATACGAACATTTTTAGACAAATTATCCAAACCCCAACCAATTGTTGACACATTTGCAAAAACGTGTTGTCTTTCTCGCTACCATATACTGGCAAAAATTATTTCAATACAGATTCTTATCCAAATTTCCCGTCTTATTTCTTATATATACTCCCATCTTAACATTTGTTTCATGTTTCGTCCCACTCTACGTTTGTCTCATTTCTCTCCTTCATAGACAAAATTTCCAAAGCTATAAAACCTTCTGTAGTTTATTCTTTTAAATTTCGCTGTTGTTCTGCATCGTATTTGGGCCAAACTGTCCGTCATCTCCACACAATAATCTATGTACACTTGAATCGCACAGTGAATGATTTTTCAATCTGGAATCTCTATCAGTTTCTCGATGTCAACGATGGTCCATGCTCTCCAGCTAGGATATCCATTATACTATCTTTCTTCATTATCCCTTTTGATAAAAGATGTTATTTGCAGGCTACTATAGTTATTAAAATGCACAAAATTCAAAAGAGCCGATACAGAAATATTTTTGTGCTTTCTCTTTTACTTTAAGGGTTAAAAGTTGGACTATGATATGGTCAGAGTTAAAACGTCGCTTTTTTTCCTTTGTCTCTGAGGTTACTTTTTTTCACTAGTTTGCTTCTCACTTAACATTAGTTTTTTTTTTCATAATTTTCTCATGCTTAACTCAACGCTATTCAATAAAATGGTATGTCAAAGGGCAAAATTAAACACATTAAATAGCAGCACTTAGTTGTGTAAAAAAAGTTGATTGAGGCCGCAATATTAAAAAAAGTCATGCAACAAACAAAGAGATTGGTTACAAGTCGACGCAAAGAGTTGTTCTATGCTTTTGGCAGCACTGGGCCTCTCGCGATCATTTAAATTTATAATTAAAACTTTTATTTTTTATTCATAATTAAAAAATAATCTTTTTCTAATTAAAATAATTATAAGTTATGAATGAAAAATTTTAGAAACTTCAAGAGAATGCAAAACAGACATCTTCATTGTTAATATTTTGGTTCGGTAAACATTTCGAAAAACTCGTATTTTATTTTGAATATGTGTAAAACATCTAACAAAATACTAGTAAATCATTGCTTATACTTCGACTTACGTCCTTTTAATTATGTCACATCCGTATAATATTGCAGGATTAACAATTCGCACGCATAACGCAGCTTTGAATAAAAATTTTTTTATGATTCTGTCCTTCACTTTTCATAAAAATTATACCAAAGTGATCAGGAAAGATTTAACTATTTGATTATAGAAAAAATTGCTACCCATAAGTTCACTGCTGTAGCACTTTAAAACAATAATTATATTAGTAAAAAATAGGATACTTTTTCCACATGAATCCATATTTAGCTTTTCAAAAAGATGACAAAAATCCCGAAAAATATCGCTGAATCTTTAAACTTTTTTGTAAAGTTGTTCTGTCTCCATGCTAGATGCCTCATATTGGTGAATACGCCATTATTTTCAAAACGACTCTCAACTGCGATTGGCTAAAATTCAAATTTTAATTTTTTAGCTAACTGCATTTGAGAGTCGTTTTAAAAATAATAAATTTAGCAGCTTCACAACTACTTGTCATCCACAAATACAATTTATTTTTTATCTAAGTATTGAACGCTTAAGAATAATACGAATATAGACTATACTCGATGACTCCATTGGATAACGTTGAATAATTTCCTCGTTTCTGGCTTCTAGGCTGCCACGGATGTAATTCATTCAAAAGTCAATTTTTGCTGACTTTGAAGAGCGATAAAAATTGAGCGATTTGACCATTTCAATTTTTATTTCGATAATATTAGTAGAAACAATGCCAAGATTTCATTTTGCGGAAAAAAATTGGGTTTTTTTGCATTTAAAGTTATTATTAACTTACCTTTTTTAAAATCCTTAGTGAAGTCAACGAAGTACTGAAGTTCTTCGTGTAACGATTTGAAAGTGCGCAGCTCCTGTTCTCTTTTACCCAAGAAAACCTGAGCAGCCGATTTATTGCTTGGAGGTTTTGCCACAGATTCTGTCAACTTTAAATACTGCACTGAATGCTTCAACAATAATTCAAGTTCTTGAACTGTAACTTTAGCATCTTGTACAGATTTAATCACAGTACGTAGACACTTTTTTGCATTCTTAATCATCGTTTTACAATGATCAATCTTTTTCAGTTCTCCTTTACTTTTGGAATTACTACCTAAAACATACATTTTTATACATAATGACTTGACTACCGTTTAATACCAAAAAAGGGGATCAACGTATAACATTTATGTTCGCAAAACTTAACGATAGTGAGGTGAGTTAAATCAATTTCTTCAGTCATTATTAAGTTTTTGCTGTTAAAAGTAACTGCAAAGCAAAAAAGTTATTTTTTCAAGAACTTACCAGTTTTTAGTTTCAAGACTATGGAACATAATTTCATTGTCAAATTTTAAAAAGAACCAAAGTAACTGAAATGAGCGAAAAAATATTGAAAAAAGTTGGGGGTTTTTCCAATATTTGTTTTTCAATAAAGTTTTAAAAAAGTCTGCTGCACACTAGCGCATAAATTTGCTGTCTTTAATTGTTATTTGCGGCAAGTTGTATTGCTACAAAAATTCATAATGTTCAATTGACTTTTGTTTGGCAAGTATGGCTACTTTTTTTGCGATTGTGCACTTTTTGTGTGCGTAAATGTTGGAGATTTGCAGGGAAGTTTTGAAGGTTGTGACAGAAAGTTTTACAATACGGAAATCATGAAGTTATCTTCTTTCCAATCCACATGCATTAAACGAAAAACGCAAAACAAGAGGTCGAACTTCTTTTTGGCTATTGCGTTTCACGGAGTCACTGAAGATGCGAGCTAAAATCTTGATCTATGTTATATGTTTTTCTTTTACATATACAACCCGTATCAGAATTCATATTACGATTTTCTTATGATTAGATATATAATAAAATTACCGAAAATATAATGCTGAAAAATCCTGAAAATGAAACGAAGTCTTCTTGTGGTTGAGAAAAGTTTGGTGGCAAGTTTACTTCACAGAATACATTATGAAGATCATGCTTTCGTTCTTTAATTTGCTTCATATTTGTTTTTCAAAGAATGAAAACTAGTAATCCAAAGATTGTTAACTGTTTAAAACAACTAATGCCTTTGACTTGTAATTTAAGTAGAGCTAAAACGTATTTTACATTTCTGAATCGCCGATATATTTGGCAATACAACTATCCACAACTTACTTTTGATGAATATATATCATGAACGAGCAGAGATTGGCTCACATGGATTATCTGCTTTCTAGTTTGATTCAAAATTAATTGATGTACAATGTGTCACAAAGATGACGAGGTAATCCAATTTCCACGCATTTGTTTGTATAAATTACTGAAATAACGTCCGAAGTTTTTAATAATTATGAAAGATCAGAGTTCTTGCAATGGAATTTACGTAGTTTGTAGCAATAAGAAAAAAAATAAGGAACTAGAAATGCATTGAAAAAATTTGGTGTAAGTCACATTTTTTGTCTTTCGAAAAAAAAGTACAAACTTTCTCAAAACCAATTTTTTTTGGTTGTTTTGGGAGTTCTTGTTCAACGCTTTCAAATAAATGGAGTATTCTACTCCTTTGAATGGTGGGCCATTATCTGGCTTCACTACATATGGTATGCTGTGGGTTGGAAATATCTAGTTTAGGAATCACTACAGAAGCTTTTGTTCACTTCACAATTTCCACTTCCGGAAACCATGAATATCTGTCAATGGCTACCAACAAGTATTCGCCTGTAGGTAATGATCCATAGAAATCAAGTTGTAGAGTCTCCCTTGGTGCCTTGGGCATTTCTGTCATAAATAATGGTTCTTGTGACGTTTGTTTCACCACTGCTTGATATGGATTGCATCGATCAATTGTTTGTTTAACCATGCTGTCAATGTTGGGAAGCCAAATTTTTTCTCGAAACAGCGCTTTTGTTTTGGAAATTCCGAGATTTGTCTCATGAGCGATGTCGATTGCCCGTAGTTGTAGTGATTTTGGGACGATTATTCTGGAACCACGTAGAATAATAGCAATCGTCGTTACTGTCATCTCATCTTTAATAGCTTCAAATCGTTTGACTAAATCATTATCCCATTTGCCTGATCTTATTGCTGCTTTTACCCCGTTTAAGGTTTTGTCCGCATCCGTTTCTGTTTTGATTTGCTCCACGGTCATTGCTTTTGGTACACTGTTCTGTGCAATGTAATTGACAAATTCTTTTGTCATTTTCTGTTGCTTTAAGGAGGTTCTTTTCGGGTGTTTTGACAAATAGTAAGCGAGATTGTGCTTGCCAGGTTTGTAGATCACTTTAAAACAATAAGGTTAAATACGCAAGACCCATCGTTCTATCCGGGCTGATGGTCTTGAATTACGTTTTCCATTTATTATTTCCAACGGTTTATGATCGGTTATTAGGGTGAATTCATGATCATAAAGGTACGCATGAAAGTGTTCAACTCTCTTTTTAACAGCTAGCGCTTCCTTTTCTGTTTGGAAGTATCTCTTTTCCACATCTGTTCTAGATTCAAATCATGCTCCTTTTGTGTTTTGCCAAAAAAAATGATTTTGTCTGTAATATTCTTTACTGCACGTACTCCTTGTAGTTGTGTTTGCAAAGTGTATTTAAAGATTTCTGCTGCAGCATTTGTTCCACAGTTTTGCCTTTTGTATCGAAAAAGACCAATGTTTGTGCTGCACGTGGTAATGTATCGGCTTGATTCGTCTAATTCTAGCTGGTTATATGCCTGCGAAAGGTCAAGTTTGCAGAAGTATTTTGCACCGCTGAATTCAAATATGATGTCTTCAACGGTCGGTATCAGATGGCGGACTCGCTTAATGGCCTCTTTTTCAAGACGCGTATCTACACAAATTCTAGCTCCACCGTTTATCTTGGGCACTGCGACAATAGGTGATACCCATGGGTGATACTCAGGAACCCGTTCTATATAATGTCTTGATCAAGTAATTCTTCTAACGCACTTTGGATATCTTGTCGAATATGGAACGGAATCCTTTGTGGTTGCACTTTTGGGGTGTGATTTTTATTGATGTTGAGTTTTATTTTTTCCCTTTTGAGTTCGTCCAGGCCCTGAAATACTTTAGCATGTTTTTGTAGCAATGCATCAATGTTTCCTCATTGATACGTTATGAAGATGTATAATAAAAGACTATGCACTTGAGCTAATTCTGAGGAGATTAGGTTTACGCTGTCTGTTGCCTTGGTTATATACAAAGGTTGCAACTGTTACTCTTTTCCGTTTTTCAATCAACGCTTTAAACTTTCCCATAAATTTATTTGGCTTAGTTGCTGCATGTGCAACTTCTCTAATACTGGTTGGTTTTTGTTTTAGGCTTTTCATTTTTTCCAATGTATCTTAATCAATTACGTTAACATAGCTCCTGTATTCACTGTGAATTTAAGCAAGTGTGTTCACACATTTTATCATTTACTTTGGTTGTCTTATTACTTGTCATGGCATATAGATAGTTTTCCTCTGAATTATTTGATTAATTTTCTACTTGTGTGACTGGTGGATAAGTTTTTTTTCTTATTATCTCTTCGTTTGTGTTTATAAAGTTTGTGTTTATGACTTTGTGTCTGCTGAGATCTTCCACGACAAACTTTGGCAAAGTGGTTAAACTTTCCGTATTTTTTACACTGTTTGTTTTTTGTTGGACAAATTCCTGAGTGAGGATATTATCCGCCACATCTACGACAAGTGTTTGCTGTCTGTTCGATTTGCTTTATGTTTTCGCTCCCTTTTGCTTTTGATTTGATGTCCCTAGCTTGAAACGCCCTCTGCTCGTCACGTCTGCATCTAGTAGAATTGCCGTTAGGTCATATGTTGGATTTCGCAGCGCTTTCTTCCGTATTCTTGAAGATATACCTGGGTTATGATTTGTTGCTCAATTTCAAAATAAACATCTGTGAAGGAAGATGTTTGCGCAAGTGTTCGTAAACGCGTGTGACATTGATTCAAACTCTCATTTAGATCTTGTTTTGCTTTTCGAAATCTGCAGACCTCGCATAAACGGTTCTTTTGAGGTTCAAAAACCTCTGTCTGCTTATCTTTTGAGGAATCGTATTCTGAGCCCGTTCGTGTGTTTTCTATCTGGCGAAATATTTCTCGTACTACTTGTCCTGCTTAATATAATAACAACGCGTGTTTTCTTTTTTTGTCCGTAAATCCACTTGCTAGTATAAACATTTTAAAGTCTTCTACCCAATTGATCCAGCGGGTTGCTAAACTTGCGCTAATTTCTGCGTTTGGGGTAAATTCAGCTACAGGCTGAATTGATACAGATGGTGTATTCCGGTTGTTTGCTGATGTTTCATTTTCATCAGTCTCCAGCCTCATCGCCAATGTTATATTGCTATCTTTTATTTTCAAATATTGTAACAACGGTGTTCCCCGGGCTGTCCTAACATAACTTTCTTATATCATATTTCTCTTCGTGTTATATATTCTCCATTACTTAATGCTTTAACTATCAAATCAGACACTCTTATATAGACGATCGTTGTCACTATTACAGAATGCAGTAAGGCTCGCAAGTATTTATGCAGAAAACATATGGGATACACTACTTGAAGCGCAGGAACGTTGGCAGCTGCTTCATTTGCAATCCCTTAGAGAGGGTTTTAGAGGCGGCTGATCGTGTATCAATTAGACCCTTTGAAAGATATAATCAAAAGCCATGCGCAAACGATATCTTGGCTAACAGTGTTATTTCTTGCGAACAGATATTGTTAATACAGTTATGTTTGATGATGTAGATAGGGGAATGCACGTTAAAAAATGAATAATATTCGCCATGAAATGCTTATGTCAATGGCTATAAAATCTGCAACACTATTGTAAATTGAGTAGTCAAATTGAAAAAGTGGAGGAGTAATAAAGTTCACCCCTAGGAGGATACTAGCGTGAAGGTGGACGTGGTTCTCTAATTTTCATTGTAGACTCGTAAGAGCAATGCTGTTCCCCAAGTCTCACATTATTATAAGTCGCATTTAGTATTAGGTGAAATTACACGTGATCGAATTGACGTTGAGGATATGCACGACTATTTTTATTATTTTGGTATCCAGACCTTAAGAGATCTTCAACAGTATACAGATATATATATACTGATGAACATTTAAAAAAATACATATCAGTCCAAGAACAAATTTAAAAAACCAAGTCTCTCCTTTAAGTACCCTCTTAGTACCCTCTTCGGAAACTACATTTCCTCACCAAGATTTAGGAGTACTTAAACAATGAATTACAGTAATACTCATTGTTTCATTTATTGAACTGCTTTTTACATTCTGAGAAAATTCTATTACTGCGTTTGAAAAGTGAGAGGCGCAATAACCCTTTGTTATTGAATATTTTTCTTTTGTCTAACTTCACTGAAAAGAGAAAATCCACTTGAGATTACATTTGCTTATTTTTCTTCCATTAAGCAATTTGTTATTTAATATTTAGAAATTTGATTTTTTATAAAGCTTTGAAACTACGTTCGTTTACTTCAGAAATCACGCACACCAGAGGCTTGGATTTGGATTACTATTTTTGAGATACACTATGTAGTGAACTCATGATATTCACTACGTTATATATAGTTAACCCAACAATTTTGAACCTTTTTATTTTTTGTGAAAAACTGACCTTAGTATGATGATATGTTAAACTATGGCAATCCTAATTATTGCTTTACATGTTCTGTTTTTTGATGGCTTAATACATATAAGCTTGACAAGAAACAAAGACATCACATTACAGAACCGAAATTAGAGCAAACTATCGATGATAATTCAAGTGCATCACACGCCATCCTTAAGGTTTATTGCTGTTTCCCTTCAGAAGGAGTTATAAAAAATTCATCTAAAATTTCTTGCAATATTTTAGAAAATTTTCATTCCACTAATTACATAATAATCTTCAAATATTCGATCTTTTTTCTCTAATAATACTATAAACAAACAAAATCGGCCAAGAAACACACGAAACAAATTATGACATGAGAGAGAACAAGGAAAATAAGACGTGAGATAAAAAAGAGAAACTTCATAAAGTAGCAACATAAACGCTTACCCTCCCCTGCCCAAAGAAAAACAAAACTGAATTATTATACTCATAACTTACACTTCAAAACAAATCGCACTCTTACCGATGAATTTAAGAAAACCAGGCCATACAGTCCAGGTTAGAAGATGTTCTAACAAAATGCAATTATTTTCAATCTCTGTTTCTTGTGAAGTTAGGCTCAGTTGGTCAGGCCATGCTTTGTGGAGTAATTTGCTAAGCAACTCTATTGCTTTTAAAGACTTTTCCTGGCTTAGTCGTTTGAAAGCTTCTTCACTATGACCTAACTAAAAAATTGAAAATCACAATAATTAAGCTAATTATAAAATAAACACAATGAAACGCGTACGCTGATTAGTCTAGAGCTGTGTTTGCAATATCCTTTGCAAAACACATCCGAGCTCAACCAATCAAATCAATCATAACACCATGCAGTCGAAGACAATTTGCAAATCGATCATAAATACATTATAGCGGAAAAATAAAATGTTTGTCTGTTTCGCATTATTGTTATTTTATAAAAGAAATAAAAGATGTTTTTCGTGTTTGAACTGGCTTATGCAAACCTTAGAGACGTTTGTGAGAACTCTCAAGCAAGTGCAACCTTTGACCTTCGGTCTCGGCTTGCACAGATCTGCTCTCGAGTTCTCCCAAAGGTTTCCTCGGTTTGCAATGCAAACACAGTAAACATCTTTTATTTCTTAAATGTAAAATCATATGTATGTGTTAAAGCATTGCACGAGTCCGAGTACAATTTGAAGCCTTTGAAAAACTCACGAGTGCTTGTTTTCCAAGTTGCACGAAAAGCTATGCTATTATTTAAATAAGATATATGAAAAAATTTGTCAATTTTGTTGATTTTTTACTTCAGCGTAAGTACATTTCAGCCGATATGTTATTAATATTGACCGGCTCGTGTTTTTCAATTCCTTCAGTTATTGTTATAAATAAGACCATAGTTTACACACATGCAGCTAGAACAAGGTATCTACTCTTAGCAGCGTTCGTATTTTTGTCCAGAAACGTCTTGCAAACGATGAACTGTTGAGTTGGTCACCAGAGAAAATTTACTTAAGGGGCTGTTAATAGGAATAGAAATCATCCCGGGTAGCGGGGTAACTTTTCGGCAAAGTGAAAATTCTGATCTGTTCATATGAAAAAAAACTTTTATCTCGCCTGAAATTTCAAAAACAAACATGGCTAATTAATCTTTACGTTTTATTGTTGGGTTACTTTTAAAAAACTTTGTAAAACTAAATGAAATATTCATGAAAATGGGAGGAACTTTATGTGTGTCACAGTTATACGAAAGAAGTGCGTTAACACTTGCCATTGGTGTTATGGCTAGCCAAAGAAACAAGATTGAAACTAAACGTCTGCAGAAGCGACTTTAAAAGCTTCAAAACAGACCAAAAAGTACGTGGTTTCAACCTGTACGAACAGATTCGTGGTGGACAAATATTCGTTCAGGGATTTCCCCAGAGGAGCAATGGAAAAAATTTTCAGAATGAGCAAGGGCTTGTTTTACAAAGTACTGAGTGATGTTAAAGCTCATTTAAAACCTTGCACGATCTTTCCAAACTATCGAGCGTTGGATGCAGAAAAAAATGGCTATGACGTTATACTACCTACAGGATACTGGGTCATTAAGCATGACTGCGAACAGGTTGGCGTTGCAACAAATACAGCATCTCTCGTCATATATCAAGTCTGTCACGTTATTTGTAGCATCCTAGGGCCCAAGTATATTTGTTTATAAAAAAACAAATATGAAACGATGGAAAAAGTTGGTGAATTTGAGGCAAAGTTTGAAATGCCTCAAGCATTCGGCTGTATACATGGGACTCAGTTGAAAATAAAAAGACCAATTGAGAATACACATGATTATTTTTAATATAAACAGTATTTCTCTTTAAACGTGCAGCAGTTTGTAATGCTAGAGGGTACTTTCTTGATGTAGAGTGCATGTGGTCTGGAAGCGTGCACGATGCAAAGGTTTTTGCAAATTCCAAGATCCACCAAAAGCTGCGGGATGCTGAATTGCCCATCTCGTGGCAAACATTATCTTGTGGAAGCATCAAGGAGCCTACTTAGCTTATTGGTGATCAAGCTTACCATTTAACGACGCATTGTATTCAGGAATATGAATCGTGTAAATGCAATGAAGAAGTGATTTTTAACAACATTTTAAAGGCGGATCTCCATTAGACGATTTTTATGAAGATCGTCTTAAAAATTCGCTGCGCCACATGCGTAGTACGAAATAAAAATCGTCAACTAATTGCCTAGTGGAGTGGACTAAATCGTCAATGGCGTGCATTACGAATTCCATGTTATGAATATATCATTCACGGGAGTTTGAAGTTTGTACAGCTTTTGTCCTGAGATACTTGAATGCTTTTTGTGAAAATACAATCATCTCCTTAACAGATGAACGAATTTTATTTTTAAGCATGATTTCTAATGCCCACCATCAATATTTTGCGCACGTACTGTATACTTGGCTGATACTTGTCATATTTCAAGATGAAAAAGATAGAAACAGAAACCGTGATGAAGTTTTTTAAACTATAAACAACAGTTCATTTTAATTTATTCATGCAACATTAAATATTAACATAATCCAAAGGTTTTCATAACAAAAATTCATTGATCACAGTTAATTATCTTCATTGATCAGTGTTAATCATCATTGACAGTGTCAGTAAAGCTGTATTCCGTTAAAAGTTAGTTAATAAGGAACTTTCTCTTGTTAACGGCTGCTTCCATTGCTACCTGTGAATCAAAGTCGTCATTTTCTATCAACGCTTTCTTTGTATTCATTATTTTTCTGTGGATCTTTTTTCAATTGGCTTATCCACTTAAGACATTGCATATAAATGCTTTCCAGTTCTTTCTGTAGTTATGGCTGAATGTTAGAATATGTTTGATCTTCAGCTGACTGCTCATCTATACCACTGTTCAAAAGGCTTTCTTTTATTTTATCAAATTCTAAATTATTTCTTTCTCTTGCCTCCTCTATCAATGGTATCCAATAATCAGTTTCTTCTTCGGCTTCAGCATCCCTTTCTGTTGACATCAAACTTTAAGACTCATCTGAGGAACATGTTGAAGCATTATCGTTAATCTGTATATTCTGACTAATTGTGTCTGATTAAGACATTTCTCCCTGATCCCTTTGTGGACAGTACTCTTTCTCGTAACGGCGTAAGTTAAAACGTCGTTTAAATACTTTTCCACAATATTTGCAGCTCATTTCGTCTGCAAGACCTTTCTGAAAATGTAATGTTTTTAGGTAGCAACGTGCATTTATAAGCATTTGAGCAAGTGTTTGTAAGCCGTTATAAGTGGTTTTGAGTAGGTTCTCATCTGCTCATAAACCAATATGAAAGTTCGATCTTGACTGATGCTATTACTATTATTTATATCTGTATGTTACTGAACGTGTTCATGTGAGTCATGTGACATGGTTCAGGTTGACTTCCATCGTTTTCAGATCTTCGTAACTCTTGAATCTTTTTACCGAGAAATTCCACAACAATCAAATTAATAAGATCACAGTGTTCAATCTTTTCTACCTTTACTGTGTCAGCAAGCATTTGGTGAAACAAGTGTGCCATATTTCTTTTTTATTTTCAATCGCCAGTCAATAAGCCAAAGTAAACAACATTTTGAAAAATACCTTCAACTATATACCCGTTCAACTAATAAATATACAATGAGGGCTTTCTTGAGTTTTATTGGATGAAGTGCATAATTACATTTACTCATATTACCAGGATTTCCGGCTTTACTGTGTCGCTAATACAATCTAGGGGCCCTTTGTTCATTAAAGTAATAAAAATTGATGATACAATTCACAATGTTCCCGTATTTTTCAAAACTTAAACGTTTACGTATATTTATCATTAAACATTTGTCTTTAGAAAAACCACCATTTATCATTGCGACAAAAAAAGCTAAATAAAATTCAATTTGAGATTTAAAGGTTTCAGCTGTATACAGGTGCATTTGTTCGTGGTCTTGCATGTAGTCTATTATCAATGTTCTCCAGTTTACCCCATAAAAATGATGGTATAAGTTGTCCGTACACCATATTACATCTTTACACTTTTTCCATCGTAATGCATGTTTATTGGAAAAGACAACAAGCAACCTTTGGTTTCGTCCGTGCCACTTTCCACTGAAACCAACTTCAAAGGTAGAAGATGAGAAACATGTTGCCAACACCTTATCCATATTCGCTTCTGGTTTTACACGAAGACAGCTCTTTATTAAAACTTTGGCAGCCGCCATGTTGATCGCCAGTTATATCTTTTTCATTTCCGATTCATCATTTTATTGCACTTAAATTTCCCCCAGTTTCCGGTTAACACGCGCGCGCCAAATTTCCTTTCATTGACTGGAAACTAATTGACACGGGTTTGAGCTCCAGTTACTTCAGGGAACATAGCTCTGCCCCACCTACTTGCCTCCACAACCATGTTGATACAAAGTAAACGCATGATTTCATGAATCCAGAATGACTTTCAATCCCGATCAAAACGTGACATCAATCCTTGTTTACATGGGAAATCAACTCAAGGTTGACATTTTGCAGGAATTTTTAAATTTGAAGATGGCGAACATAAACATTATACTGATTATAGCAACCTTTTTTTTCTGTTGTTCCTGCGTTAGTACAGCATAACACTTGCATGAAACTATTTGTTGTGTTTCTTTGCACTCATTTTTGTCCATTTTACCGCTTTATTTGCTTACGAGCTTCAATTTCCCGGCACACAATACGCATGGCACATGCGTGCTTTGTCATTAATCACAATCTCATTCCAGAATGAAACTAAATTTGCGTTTACATGAGATTAAAACTAACTTTCGATCAGGAACGAAATTTCGATCCAGAATGAAAATAGGAATGAACTCGATCCGGACCGAGTTGTAGCTCATTCCGGATTCATGTAAACATGCAGTAGGATTTTTTTTAAAATGGAATGAGTTCATTTCGGATTGAAAGTCATTGTAAACACTCCCTTAGGGATTAAATGCTCTCTGCGGCTGCCCTCTTGGACTTTTATTAAGCATTTCTCGGTTTGTGGGACATTTAAAACATTAATTAACTGATACAATTGTGGCACCTTAACAATACTCTTTGCCGAGAATTGAATAACAGTGTCCTGAATAAATTTTTTAGAAAATATTATTAAATTAACCCCTTTCTTTCTTGGTGTTGCCGCATAGCAACATTAAGGAAACCATCCAAATCTTAAAGGATCAAAAACTTGAAAAGAAAAAGGCTAGTCCGATGAAAATTAAACTTACCGTTTCAACTTCCTCAACAGCTTCGAAGGCAGCCTCACTTAGACATGTAGATAGTTCAAAACAACATTGCATCTTGTCTGACTGAAAAAGCAGTTCTATTTGAATTAGAGGTGACTCCTATAAAAAATATTTACAAGTTACCCTTTCATGCTGTATTTTTAAAAATACAAAAAATATTTTATTTATTTTCTACAACAATTAGTTAATATGACCAGTGACCAAATTTCACTGTTAAATTCAGCGGGAAATAAACTTGATAAAGAAAAGATTTTATTATATCTTTAGTTCAAAGTGGCATAAAGAATGCCGAAACATGTTTGCCTTAAAGAAAGTTGTCGTTTATTTTAAATGTTTTATGACTTTTGTGCTCTAACGAAATTATGGAAAAGATATTCTGATGAAGTGATATAAAATGTGCAAAAAACATAATTTGCGAACTTCGTCAGATATAAAACACATATTTTACTAATGATGAAATATTGTTTTAACTTAAGCGTTTTACATAAATTGTTTAGTATTTACAGAGGAGCAATTGCTTTAACTTGAATCCAAACAATCTGTATGTAAAGTATTGTGTGCTTTAAATTTACGATATTATATGGCTATATGCATCAATATCTAATGAAAACAAATATTGACTAAGATAAATCGGCATTTGATAAGCGCTTATTAATTCTCATGAATTCTATGTGTTTCTCTCAAGTTTCTTAAAAAATGATGTGTATATATATTTGATGGTTTCCACGTTGATTAATAATAAACTTAATTTTTGGCTTTTGTTGAATTACATAGGCAGCAAGACAAGAAGCCCTCAGTGTTGTTTAGCAAACAACTGTCTGTCGTGTGGCGTAACAAAGGGGGGTGGCAGAGGGGCAGTGCCTCACGACACGTTTGGATATGTGTCTGTCGGGAAATTTTTGATGGTTGTCGGAAATTTAAATGGCCATATTTGAAACGAGCACCTTAAATTACTGATTTTAATGTCATGTGTATGAAGATTACAGAAATCAGACCAGCTTTTCTGTCGGACTGTTACACATTTCGGAAGTTACGCATTTATCAATATATAGTTACGTTAATGTGCTTAAGTTTCAACGTTGTACGTCTTTCATTAACCTGCACCTAGTAGTGTAAATAGAACAGTTTAGTAAATGATGTAAGTGTTCAGTAATAAATAAATATACGGATATAGGAAATGCAAAATACTAAATACTCGACAGTAAAATACTTTAACTTTTAAAGCCTGAACCAAACCTCAACGCTACCCCTAACCCTAACTATATATAGGTTATTTTCTGTTGCTTTTTTCATAAAACACAAAAGATTAAAGAGAGTTTGATGAGCACGAGGCAGTTTCCCGTGATGTAAGATATCGTTGTCTTTTTTGATGCAGAAGAAATTGACAACTCAATTTGCAAATATCACAACGTTGCTAAGACGTGTTTTAACATTGCTTGTTTCTTCCGCACACGACAAAAGGTCATTTAGTTGTTTAAAGCGTGTCAAAACCTATTTACGTATAGCACAATGAGTGAAGATCGATTGTCCATCCTTGCATGTATCGCCATCAATCGGGAACATGTTTCGTCTAATCGTCTATTGCACTGAGGGAACTTGAAAAACTATTTTTAAATGCAAAGAACAAGAGAAAACTATTTAAACCACAAGTGACAATTGTATTGTCCAAAAAAGTTTTCACAGAGAGTTTTTAGTTACAACTGCCTATGCCTTGTTTTTTTTTCAATTCTTCCTAATTTTCCGACTTTTTGGTTCAAATACGTACAAGCGTAACTAGAACGTTACTTAAGGGCATGTATATTCAAATATTCATTGTGCCCTACCAATTTCTTTTGAAATTCAATTCACTTACAAAAGAAATCAGTAGGACACAACGTAATATATGAATATGCGTACCCATAATTAACGTTCTAGTTACATAAAATGTTTAAAATACAAAGAATAAATGAAAAACGTAATTTTGGAGTTATAGCTAGTTACAAAACTTCCATGGGTATTTTGATAATTTGTAAGTAAGCGATTAAAATACATACGCTACAATAAAACATATAAGACAATCATCACTTTTGTTTTCAAAATGAATTGTAGCCATGCTCGTTTGCTATAGTGAACCCGCTTGTTTGTCGGAAAATTTTAGACTTAGCACCTCCTCTAGAAAAGGCCACTGGTCTGTCTAAAAAACCCTTCTCTTTTTGCATTGCACACTATGTGCCCTCTCTACTCGATTGTGCAACCAACCAAAACCTCCAGCAGCAAACTTGACATCCAAAAACAATATGCATTTTATTTCTCACTTTATTGAATACTTTATTGTGAATATATGATGCGCTTCAGAAGACTTAAGGAATTTGCCTTAACCAGGGGACTGGTGACGCTTCGCAGTGTGTGGGCATTACGTGACGCGCGTGTGAAACAAACGAATTTTTAGCGGGAAGTTTAAATCCCGAACTTAATTATAAAATAAGCACAATGAAACGCGTGCGCTGATTGGTCTAGAGATGTGTTTGCATTAGCCTGTGCAAAACACATCAGAGCTCAACCAATCAAATGAAACATAACAATCAATCCGTCAAAGAGAATTTGCAAGTCGATCATGAATACATTTTAGAAGAAAAAACAAAAGGTTTGTCCGTTTCACATTATCGACCTTCGATTTCGGGCTTGCTCGACCTTCAGGCTAGGGCCTGCACTGATCTGCTCTCGAGTTCTCCTAAAGGTCTCTTCGGTTTGTATAAGCCTGTGCGAACACAATAAACATCTTTTATTTCTTAATGGAAAACAATGGTTTGCATTTTGATTATCGGTTTTAATTCATCTAGCAAGTTCGGCAAAGTGTCAAAAATTATTTCTCTTTCAAAGAAAGGTGCTAAATGAAGGTCTTCATTTTTGGCCAGCTAAAGCAAAAATCTCGTGTGAACCGGCAGCAAAAATTATCAAAAATCGAAGTATACTGCGTTGACTCAGTCAAACGGAAAAATATGTTTTTTAACCAGTCGTCAATCTACGAGGTTTTATTTGATGAAAACTTTGCTGCACTAGAAGATGTTATGAAATAGCAAAGAACTTTATTTTCTTCACCGGTTGACCGAACACGATATTATTAATCATTGCAAACTGATTTCCTTTGACAATGCTTAAACAGACACTGAATACCTGGACCAACGACACCAGCTGCTTCAAACAATGAAGTATAAGCTGTACAGTAAATTTGGTTTTCATCAAGCGCCAATAACAAGAAGCATGGAAGAAACGTTCGCTGGGAGCGGATTATCGTACAATGACCTCCAATATTTATATACAAACCACGGTATGAACACACTGATTGCTGTATCATCGTAGCCGCCAACAACATCAAACAACAAAAAACGAAGAGTTACAAAAAAACGGAAAAAATTACACCTACTTAATTTTAAATTCAAAGTACTTTGAGAAAAACACTATTGGTCTTTAATTTCTAAACAATATAATTTCCCCAATGGATATGCTTCAAAGGGTCTTAGAAATGTAAATATATGCCAATTTATCAAAGCATGTGCTAACTTCGTGTTGACCATGCACTGTTAAAAAACGCATACGTATATTGTGCTCATGCCGAGTCGATTTTTTTTACATAAACGCCTGGCCGCACTGATTTTGTTGAGAGCTTTTCGTTTTTCCTTTGGTAAATTTTTTTAAAGTTCTTGCGTATGTTTGTTACAACAAAAAATACATTCATGTAACCGAAATTCTCAAATATCACAAAAAATTATTGATAGAATTCCTTCAATGTTAAACATAATGTTCCTTGAATGAACAACAATCGCCACTTGAAGAATAAAAAAATTCACCGTACTGAAAAAAAGATACGACATTTGTAAGTTAAAAAAGCTTTCCACAATTGCAATCGTGTGAAATCATAAAATTACCTCTGGTTGCAGTCTTTAAGACTCACTGGTTGCATTCAGAAACTGTAGCCACTATTATTGTTTGTACTAATGTAATGTAAAATTAGACACACTTTTTTCCGTTTGTAAAATTTGAGAATCCTAAACTGCACATTGTGAGTTAAGTAAAAAATTTCATAGGCACTGCAAAATTGAGACGGTTTAGTTTTTTCATATTGCAAACATAAAAAATAAAAAACACCCAAAATTAATGAAAAAGTCCTTAGCTATAGCATTTTCAACCTTACACATCGTTGCCTACCTTTTTAACTCGACTGTTCAATTCAACTTTAAATTCATCACCCCATAGTTTTTGAAAACGATTTGGAGCAGAAAATGATAGCAGTTCATCCCAAACCTATTAAGAATTACGTCACAGTTAAGTTAGCAAAATACAATAAATATTTACACGATGAAACTTATTACAAGTTAATAGTATCAGATCGCATGTCAGTTTACATTGCATGTAACATATCAATATATTACATCATGGTTGCTGAGTACTTGCGATTTTAATGCTGAGTTGAGAAGGATTAAAACAAACTAAAGAGCGTATTGAATGATTTCCAATCTATCTCAACAAGGGTAGGAAAAATCGTACAAACGAACCAACCATCACGTACTATATGCAAGTATTAAATTGCAGATTATAGTGAATTTTTCGCCGAAGTTATGAACACAATTCGACACAATGTTTTATTATTATATATTTATTCATAAAGTCAAAATACCTTGGCCATCGTCTCCTTCTTAACAAAATGAAAGGCAATTCTATCTTACAAAGGAGCTACATTTGTATTCTTAATTTTATGGAAATACTAAATTTGCTCATATATGCATTAAGTTGCTTGATGGAAATATTCTCAATGCTTTAAGAAGTCGAATGTCTTGCACAGTGTTTTTTTAATAGCTTTTTTCCTGAATTTGCTTACGGATAGTGTCTTCGCAATCGCAAAGCCATAGATAAATAAAATCAAAAAAGCATTTATTTGTTTTCTCTTTCAATGCTGTCCACCATTGGCGGGAAAATTCGAAAGGCAAATTTTGGCTTGTGCAAAATTTCGAATGTCAGTAAAACTTGTAGCTGCTACATTTTTATGAAAATTCCTTTTTAACAATGGCAATGGTAAGAAATATCCAAGAACTATATATTCGTTATCTAAGGATGGACTGTTGAATCCGCCACCAACATGCTCAGCGAAAATGTTTATTCTAACATCAATAAGACATCATAAATCAAAGACTCAGCAACTAGAATTTCATTAATAAATAACAAGAGCTCAATAAGACACGTCATGGGGGTAATGTAGAAAAAAAATGTAGCAGATAAATTATAGCAACGTGATATGAAACAAAAATTCCCGAAATAGGTGACTTTCAGCACTCATAATGATCACTCGCTACATCTTGAAGAACACTTACATTCAATTTATCTTTCCAGTGTAGCCTTGAAAAATCCAAAGACGAGAACAAAAAATCCTTTGTAATTTTAAAAATTTCATTGAAAGATTCTGGCATGTCTGGCAAATCTGATGTAGAAACTAGTGTGCTCTTTGAATCATCAAATCCATTCTTTACCCGGGGTCCTCCTTCCTCTTGAAGATAAATAGCGTTGGCGATACACTTTGCCAGGCAACAAAGAAACTTAATTTGAAACAACGGAAGGTCATTTTTTACATTCTGTGCAATCTTTACAAGCGTAGAAACCAAAACGTTTGTTTCCTTGTTTTTTTCTTTAGAAAAGGCTGTGACGCTAAAAAAATATTTTCGTCAGAACAGTCCTAAACATTTCAACAGGCTTTTAAAAATGAATTTCCCTCGTTCTCAAAAATGAAATTGCTTAAATTTGCTCTAGACCACGTTCAATCATTCTTCTCGATTCGTATGAAAATAAAAAAACAAAATTAAAATAAAAAAATTTAAAAGGTGATAGTGTAATTCAATAATTAATTGAATCGTCTATAGATATAAAGCTTGTAGTACTTGCCCATATATGTATTCGACCAAAAAACTCAAAGTTACGTTCAGTATATCTTATGGCGATCCTATTCATTTCATCAATTCTGTATTTCTTACGTTTTCCGACGCGTGGTGGTTCTAGTTGAATATACCTCTACTTGCAAATCAAACATCCCGGTCCAGACACCTATTTCCACTTTGCTGATTTACAATTAACATTCTTTACAATTAAATCTACAACATTTTAGTCTTTTATTGGTGTACTGTTTTAGTAATTTATTTACTTTGCATGCACAAACAGAACTTTTGCCCACAACACAGTGAGCCTTCTCTATATGTGTTTTAGATATTACGTAACCGTTACCTTGAATTAGATATTATCAAGTTCATCTTGTCAAAGAAATCGATAAGATCCTTTACCTACAGAGACAAAAGTGAATACTGTTATCAATGGGCAAAAATGTGCATGCTAAAATAATTTTAGCTTTTGGTATACACGCACTGTAAAAACAGATTAGTTAAAATAACCATTAAAATTGGCTACCTCAGATGCATTTAACCACTTTAACCAATATTTTTATGGTTACTTTAACCAATCATTTTTTACAGCGCAATTTTTGTCTTACGCAGATGGTGCAAATAAATGAATGAGTTGAGTTGTAATATGCTTAATCCTTTCCAGTATTTTTTAAATCCGGATTCGTTTCCTGAGGTTAACACCTTTTCGTAGGTTTTACAACCCGTCGATAGTTCAATTGCAGTATTTCATCTTTATCAATTCACACGTATAATGAGCATATAATTATTAGACGTACTTACCACTTTTGTAGGTTCTGTTTCGTGGTATCAGGTAGTATTTTTCTTATCGTAAAACACAACTCCAGCAAAGTGAAGTGGTTACTTTCCAAAAGATCCCCATATATTTTTAAAGGACAGAGCAACAGAAATGTACGCCTCAGCAATGGATCCACTACAAACATTTTGCTCAAATCTGATAATGCTTTCTTTAACTCGCTACAGAAATCAACAATCAAACGTATGAAAATTATTTTGAATGAACAACAAATCCATTAATACATGTTTTTGCAAGAATGCCGAATAAATGTTTAAACAACACAAAACTTGCTTCCCTACGCATGTGCGGTGAGTGGCATTCCTCGTTACTCAGTATAACTCCACACGCATGCATAGTCTGTGTTACAGGATTTGTGATTAAAAATTTACATAGCAGACAAACCTTTCTTTAATAGAAGTTCGAATTCTTCTAAAATCAAGATATTCCATTTCAAATCCCCACCATTTTGATTTAGTAACATCAGGCATTGATGTGAATAGGATTTCTTGAAATGGTTCACATTCTCCTCGGAGAAAGTGAAGCAAAGGCAGTACAGCAAGCCAGTAAGTAAAGGCAGTCTCTTGATGAATCGGACAAATATTTTGACCATGCTTTTTCTAAAGAGCTAGAGAAAGACAAAAGCAAGAATGCACTAGCAAAACAAAAAACGTGATATTTATTGTAATCATGACTGTTATGTGATCTTATTTCTTTACAAATCAGCAATGGACGGAGTCTTAGCCTTTCCTGAAATGTGATTTGCTGTTGCAGTGTGCGGTGTTTTACGATGTCCTAATTGTGGTACGCAATCCTGCATATATGACCGCAGTCCCGAATCCTAAAGTTAAATACTTGAGCAAAGAGTTGTTTTGTTTCATTTTATCATAAAAAGGAAATTATCAGATAACTTTTGATTGTAATAAACTACTTTAGGTTTTCAAATTTTTAAATGAAAAACAAAGAGCAAAGTTTTGATTCTTTATTTGGCTGCCATTATTGAATTTACTGAACAAACTATAAGATTGTTACCTTTAGTAAAAAAACTAAATTTTTTAGAATTAAGTCGGTCCGGAAGGAAAAATATTTTTTAAGAAGAACATTAACGCATGACGACACAAGGTAATTAATTGAATGAATTAATTTCATTTTTCATATGAATGAAAAAAGCACACAAAAATTGCTATTATATACATATTTTAAGTCGCATGTTTAGTCTGCTTTGCATTAAAACAAACCTTAATACTTTAGGGTCAAACTTGTTCAGGGTTGCCATAAATCTTGTGCAAATAGTTTTATTGACAGGAAGTTTGAGACATTGAAGCAATTTAATTCCATCAGGCCTATCTAGTGGAACATTGTATTCTCCAAACACAGATGCAATAATAGCAGATGAGATTAGAGCATCAACTTTCTTTTCTTCTTCATTAGTTCTCATGACATTGAGATTTTTTTCTATCTTTGGCATAAATATCTCACGAAAGATCTGCAAGTATTTAAAATAAGATCAATTTAATGTAAGGACTATTCCACTGTAGTAAAATAAAAAACGTTATAAAATTGGGAAGAAACATGAAATAACCAAGGATGGTTAGTCTAAACCTTTCACTACCCTAACTAATTGTTCCGATTGCTTGCGTAGATGTGTTATAAATATGAGTTTTGCAAAATAATACATAACTAAGGTGAAGTTTAGAGAAATCTTTGCCTCAAAATAAAAAATTATTAATCAAGCATCATAGAGAGAAAATGACTATTAAAACATCTTTCATTAACAATTTTTACACCTTTTTAAACGCAGGCATGGGAAAATCCGTTTTCATGAATGTACCGTCGTTTAATGTCCACATCTCGATAACCGCCAAATACAAATAATGAAGTATTTCTAAAGCTTCATCTGGCAGTTTTATTGTATCGGAAGTGGCGGAAAAACCATTCCAGTATGGAAAAAACCTTAGAAAGAACAATTCTCTGTCTGAAGATAGCAAACTGTTTGGAATGTTTCTTTCAGAATTCTTGTACACAAATCCGTCAAATTTGTAGTAAATTTCTAAAAAATGTGCAACAGTATTAGTTAGCATACAAACGTCCTAAGGTAACATTGCTCAAAACTACAGTCTCATACTAAAATCTAAAAGTGAACTTTCTGCAGGTTGGAACATTGAGCCTTAGCCATCTGAGCAAAATTATTATTCATTTCGCCAGAAAGTTCGGGGGAACACAGGTATTGCATTTACATTGAACAATTAATTTATAGAATCTCAAAATTTATGCATGCAGTTTTCCAGGTCAATGGCCAAGAACAGAGCAAGATAAATGTAAAATCCACAAAGGGTTTCATTTATGAAAGTACGGGTGTGGTTTAGCAGGGGAAAGAGGGCCTTTCTGCACAGATACAAACCCAATACAAAATTAAAAAGGTGGTCCGCGTGCGCTTCATCGCAAGTGTTAACCGATATTGTTATTTACTATGTGCCTTGAAGAGTGTCCAGTCTGCGAAATGCAGTAGCAGAAGCTTTTTAAAATTAGATTTTATCAGTAGGATTTTGCTGCAAAGGGTTTCTTGCAAAAAGTTTACACCAATGCCTATGTAGCTAGTGCCATACGTGGCATGACTTAACGGAAGAACATTACTCACGCAAGAGTCAACACTAAATAATTGAAAGACAAAGACCAGAATCGTACGGAATTTTTGATTCATTTCAAAGAGCACACAAGAAAACTCTTTCAAATGAAAGCTTTAGCCCGAAACTTTGCCCAAAATTTAGAATCGCAAAGTCCTGTTTGGAAGTATGAAGAAGAAAATTTTTCTTCCTTTCATGGCGAGTTTGCTAATGTAGAAAGACATATTGAAGATTATGAGAGAATCTTTTCGAGAAGCATGCTAAAAATACTAGAGAAATTTTTGGAGATAATATTAGCAATATAAGCTGAAAGCCGAAGCTCTTTCCATTATACATATGTGTGATCTGAAGAACAATCAATAGTTACAGATACTCATGGAGTTAGCTATAACTCCTGTGACCATTAAAAACTTAGCACTAACTTTGAAAACAAAATAGACAAATATATCTTTTTGCTGCGATAATTCCACACTTGGCCATCATATTTTAATATTACTGTTAATGCATATGTTTTTCTAATAAGAGGCAGCTGTTAATCATAGTACTTGTTTACAATTTTACCCATACTCCTCAGTTGAAATGTTGAAGTACATGATTGAACATTTTTTTCATGCTTTCATCCAGTTAATCTTTTAGTGCTAAATTAAAACTTGCCAATAAATAATGTGTGACTATCTTGCATAACCGCTAAACTGAGATGAAGAAGTCTACATTATACATCACTATAAAAACAAGATAGTATGCATGCATTCTTTTGAATGCTATCCTTTCTAAATATTTCAGATAAAACTTCATCTTAATACCTATTATAATTCCTGCACGTGTCCTGTAAAATACAGTAAAATATATAATCACTGAAGTGTGTGAACCCACTTATGAGTTAGGCAAAATGAACAGTGCACTTGTAGTGCATTACTGGCTATGACATTTTATTAACTAAGTTAGAAAAGTAAAGAAAATTTTTTAGTAAATAATTAAACCAGGCGGAGAAATTAAGGGCGGGTATCATCCTCCAACGAAGGAATTTACTACACCAGACTTTTAGGGTCAATCTTGGGGCGCTGATTCCAAAAATCGATGTTGTACTGGTTATTTCGGGGGGTTTCAGCCTCGTTTACAAGATTTAAGCCTCCTTTTAATGAAAATCATTATTTTAAAGCTTTACTCCCAATAAATATACACTTTGAGATCGTAAGACGTTCAAATATATTAAAAGAGATAAAATTCTTATGTATAAAAAGCTTAACATATAAAAAAATGTAGTTTTCACGATTCATCTAAATTCTTGATGATTTTGGGTAAGTTTCATTTTCTAGCGTACATCCGGAAAATTTTTTGAAACAAATTTTACGGTTGATCAAATTGAATAACTAGTTCTAATCGAATATAAAATAACGATGTAAGTATTTTTAAAGATTTGTGCGGTTTTTGGACACAATAAACGGGTTTATCAAACTTAACTTGTTTATTAGTCATCACGTACTTACATTTTTGTCAAAGTCATATAGAGCACATTTCTCATGATCATGCATAGGTTTCTGAGACATTCATGTCTCCTACATTGACAAGAAGTTCAAACAAAATTTATAGTAATAACAGTTACAGCACCAACGATGCTACGTTGCCATCAATTAATCCAGTTAATTGCTGGTTCATGCATGTGTGTAGCGTAATAATCTTGAGTGGTACAGTTTTAGAGATTCGTTTTGCCAAGAAGCAAAACACTGATATCAAGGAACTTTCTATCTTACTTGAGTTTCTGAACAAACATCGGTTAGCACAGTTCGTCCACTAATAGCTACGACTATGTTTCCGTAAAAGACGCATACAAATTTACTTTTAGGTAACAAAGCTCTGTACCTGGCATAAAACAGCAGTATTTTCTAGTTCAGCAACTTGTTTAATGAACTCGGTATATGTTATGTGATAAGCATGCATGGCTAGCCAAACACATTTTTTCTTTCTTGTTAGGATTGGCTAAAAATGCGTAGAGACAAACCAATCACTCGAGAAGGTGATCTGACTTTCTCGCCATAAAACTGTTTCTTCAGATACAAGAAAAGCATATTTCATCAGAGCTACAAGTTTTTATCTGTTTCTTCAACTCAATTAAGATAAAAGAAAAACTACTGTAATTTGTATACAGTACTATGCTTTTAATAGAGAAATAGATAGTTTTGTAATGCCTATGTAATTTGGCCTCATCGAATCCACGCTGAAAAGGACTGTTTTTTCTCCATTTTTCACAAACTTGACAATGTCATAAGGGACTTTTATACCTGAAATTTTTAACAAACATTATTTCCGCTTTCCCTTGCGCGTTGTTCCTCCACCGTCTTGACGTGATTTTTTTTGTAGGTGTCACAATTAAGCCATAATACTTATGTGTACTACTTAGCCTCAGCTAATTTAATTGAAATTTCCATAGCAAGCCATGATCATGTTTGTTCTGCTTAAAACCGTACATCTAATTGTCAGGTACCCCCAAAGGCAAATATAAACTTATTGCTCTTATACAAACTGTTGCTGTAGCACCTGTGGAAGGAATTACGGTGTGCTAGTCTTCTCGAGACAAAAACATTATAGCAGTTTTTATACACACAATTTTGATAGTGGGAAAATATGGTTCAATTGATTCTTTCTTAAAGTAAATGGTTTGAACCCGGGAGTATCGTTATATGTTTGTAAAATGATTATCGTCAGGTTGAAAATAAAGAGTCCATAGAGAAGGACTGTTTTGTTACTGTTGACTGACGTTTCGACAACCTTAGCGGTAGTCATCTTCAGAGTCAAGTAGAGGTAAACGTCAGGTTAGCCGTATTTGTTGTCTGATTTCTTACGTCATTGTGTGTGTGCAGAAATGTGCAGGAAATGTGTGTGTCATTGTGATTTGAGTGTAAAGTGAAATATTCATTTTTAGTTGTGATGTGTTGATTTAGGTGTGACGTTTTTTTTAGTTGTAGTGTGTTGGAGTGTCAATTGTGTATTGTCATTGTGAATTTAACGTCTTGTTAATGTTCTAGATGTGGTGGCTTTGTGTGATGTAGGGTTGTAAGATGATTGTCTAAATGTTCGGTCAGTATGTGTTGGCATACGATAAACTATTTGTTCCTAGGTTTTGATTGTCCATGTTTTGCAAACAGTCGAGAAAGGGAAGAGTTCCATTTCTTCGACATCTTTGGTAAATTAATGGCTGTTCTGTTTGTTGATGAGAGTATGGAAGTCATCAATCTCGTCTGCATGTAGTGCTGTGATTGTATCATCTACGAAGCAAAACCAAAAAGGTAGTGCATGTTTGTAAGTCATGAGTGCCCGTTCCTCTATAGATTGCATTACAATTTCAGCAACTACAACAGAAACGGGCGAGCCCATTGCTGTCCCATGTAATTGTGGGACACAATGCAAAATGTGTCCCACAATTACATGGGACAGCAATGTGCACAAATCATATGTGATTCAATGACGCTCTACAAAACGAAAACAACTATCTCAAACGTGTTTTTGACAAAAACAACTATAACTCTGACTTTATCAAACGCAACACTTACAAACCCAACGAACCCAACGAAATGAACAACTCAAGGACAACAGCAACGATACCTTACATCAAAGGTACATCTGAGACTATCTCGCGTATCTTACGACCATACAACATACGTGTCGCACATAAACCAATCACAACGTTACGACAAGTACTAACGAACATAAAGGACAAAGAACAACCCAACGAACGACAAGGTGCAGTTTACAAAATAAACTGCTCCGACTGCCACGCCTCCTATATCGGGGAAACTGGCAGGAACTTAAACATAAGACTTACTGAGCACAAATGAGCTACTAAGAAACAAGACAAAACTAATCACATTGCTGAATATCACCGAATCTAAAGCACAACATTGGCTGGGACTCGGCAAAATGCATCACTTACAGTACTGACTATAGACAGCGGCTTACATTAGAAAGTTGGTATACCAGCGAAACAAACCTGAACAGATCACAGCAATTACCGGCACCTTACAAACGACTTATTCACAATACAAACAAAAGATCAACTAAAACATTACACTTCAGAACTAATTCACAATGACAATACACAATTGACACCCACACACACTGCAACTAAAAACGTCACACCTAAATCACATCACAACTAAAAATAAAATATTTCACTTCACACTAATCCACAATGACAATACACATTTCCTGCACATTTTCTGTACACACAATACAATGACGTAAGAACCAGACAACAAATACGGCTAACCTGACGTTTACTCCTCATTAGACTCTGAAGATGACTACCGCTAAGGTTGTCGAAACGTCAGTCAACAACAACAAAAACAGTTCTTCTCAGGACTTTATTAACCTGATTCTTTCTTACATTCAAAAAACGCAGTTTTAGAAATTGATCATGTCTCCAGCTACTTTAATGAACGGAATGATTGCGTATGAAGAGCCCTATCAAAGAAGACAGAGAACATTGAACAAGTTGTTGAACTTCAAAACATTGCCATGTCATGCCACAGTGCTTTGTTGCGTATCGAAAATTTGTAAATGTCCTTCACGGAGACAAAAAAGTCGTGTCCGTAGACAAACTGCGATGGAACTGTTATCCCCATGCTGATGATTTGTATAGCTATCTGAACTTTCATAGTCATTGTAGAAGTCATGAATGTCTCAAAAACCTTTGCATGATCATAGCAACATTTTATATGATGACTTTAAAAAAGATGATGACTGATTAGCAAGTTCAGTTTGTTCAACTCATGTACTTTGTCCAAAAATAGATAAACATTTAAAAATATTTACACCATTAATTTATAGATTCGATAAGAACTAGTTATTAAGTTTCAATAAATGTAGTATTCGTTTTCAAAATGTTTTTTACAATAAGTACGCTAGGAAATAATGTTTCCCAATAATCATTAAAAATTTAGAAAACTTGAAAACTTGCAAATCTTGAAAATTTAGAATTTTTTTTATTTTTTTAGGCTTTCTATAGTAAAACTTTCTTTCTTTAAATATATTTAAACGTCTTACAATGTCAAAGTGTCTTTATATTGGAAATAAGGTTATAAATTAACGATTTTCATGAAAACAAGGCGTAAAACTTTAAAACGAGACTAAAAACACCCGAAATTGCCCGTATAACATCGATTTTTGAAATCAGCGCCCCAATATTGACCAAAAAATTCTGGTCTAGTAAATTCCCCTGGTTGGGGACGATACCCCCCTTTTTCCGCCTGGACTAAATGTTACATTGCCACCATGGAACTGTTGCAGTCAAATTGTTTGTAAATAAATAAACATTACTTTTCTAAACTTTTCTAAACTTTTCTCAAAATTGGAATATCTCGGTGAATTTTTCTATAAAAACACTTCACGATGCTCAACACCTTCACCTTTATCAATAAAAAATTGTTCATAATTTGTAGTCTTTTACTATAAAATTAAAGAAAAAATTCCTTGTGATTTTGGTCTAAGATTTGAATGTTGTTTTGGAAAACCTGCAATTAGTCTATAGTGATGAAGTTTGAAACTAACGCTTTACACTTGAGTGCATGACTCCTTTTAAAAATACACCATATATTGGTTGGCCAAATTTGGCTAAGTTGTTGCAAACTTCCGCCAAAAGTCAAGCGGATATCATGCTCCGACTTTATCGTAAGAGTTGGATTGATTTGACGATACACTATTTTGCGATAATATAACTATTGTGATTGTTTATTTCGGTCATAAAAGGGGTTTGAGCAAAGTCAAGCTATGATTTACTTTGCCCCATTCAATGATGGGGATATAGTTGCAGACCTAGTGAGAAGATCGTCTTCTTCACGAAATATCAGTGAGCAGAAAGACATTTGAATTTGAAAATTTAGCATATGAGGTTGATCATGTTGTTTCATCCAGCTTCGCCACAGAGGTTGTTAGATTTTCGGATTCTACACCGTCGTCAAATAGTATACAGCAAGTCAAAACTGTGGCCATAACTAAGGTTTTTGCATTACTTAAGATGGCTGATTATTATTTTCATCAATTAACTGCATTTTAAACATCCTTATCCACAAATTCAATCATTCATAGTAACAGTTGCTAAGAGATCCCAACTGTTCATGGATATTTATAGCAAAATTATTAATAAACTTTCAGTGAGAAAGTTAATTCATTCATTCTTTTCTTGCTAAGTAATTACACAAACATTTGCATTGTTGGAGTAAAAAATGAGCCGGCGCTGGAACTGTATCGTAAAAAAACATTTTTTACCTTTTTTGATAACATGAACACTAACAGTGATATGGTAAATTTACCTTACATTGAGAGCTTTCAATCAAAAACAGTGGAATTGGAAGGCATGATTTTTTAACAAATTTCCACCATTTGTGGAAATACTTCAAGATTTATCTTTTTAAATTCACGCCAACGATACTAAAATCAACACAATTTGATAAGTACAATACACTTACTGTTTTCTGACTGAAATTCAGGAGGAATAATAAGGCACCGGTTGATATAATTGTATCCTCTATTTCTAGATTGCACTTCTACTAAACACTCATATTTTACATCTTCCGCCTTTTTCTTGTCCCCAACCAAGACGTACTTATAGGCACACATATGATGACACAAATTTAATGGAACATTTACTTCACAGCGGAGAATTAATTGATCTTGATCATCTCTATATAAAAAGATTGCATAACTATTTACCTCTTTGATGTCCTATAGCAGGTAGTAAGACATCATTTTCGTATTTTTTTGGAGAAAAAATAGCTGTAAGTGCTGATTTAGGGTAGGGTATGTATTAATATAGCAGAAGGTCTTAAATACTTATCAGTTGATAACAATTGAAATCTTTCATATTTAAAGAAAAGAAGCTACAAAACAAAAGTTATGTATTGCATACCTTTCCACTATAACACTTTCGCCGTGCTCATCATTCCAGCCTTTAAAAATTGGTTCTTCTCCTCGAATAAAAATTTTGGTCTCCTCGTTGTAATCCTTTTGAAAATTCTTTGATAACATAGCATTGAAAACAACCGTCATCATGCTTTCGCTGTTTCTATAAAAATGGGAAAGATTTGTTTATAACTGATTTGAAAAAATAATTCCCTTGAAAATTTTCAAGTCACACCTTTTCTTTATAGAGGAATTATTGCTGTTTTCCTGGTGATAATCTGCCTTTTGGTACATATAGCCAATTTTCTGTTTCTATTAAAATGTAAGTAAAAACTGGAAAATTAAGAGTGAAAAATACAATCACCCGGAAACATATATAGGTAGTATAAAAATAAAGTTTACAAAATACAAGAAAATTGTCGACACTATTCTTTTCAATTCTTTTGTATTGAAGTCAGACCGCCAATGTGGCTGATTTGCATCTCAAGAATTAATCGTCCGTTAATTAATTAACAAGTGATACTTCGAATAATAGCTTTATTCATCGTCCTAATTATGCTGAGTAAATTTAAAAAGGGAACTTCATTATTTCAGTCATGCTTTCTGATAAAAAGGCTATGATATTAACAAAGAGACTTCCACATCAATGCTGACAGAACACATGTAATATGAGAAAAAAACAAGTCGGAAGTATATAGGTCACATGATAATATAAGTACGTAATCATTATGTTATTCTAATACTCCCACTTAATGGTGATCTAATGTAGTAACAGTTTTCACTATAGTTGAACGTTCAATAAGTTTCTGAGTTTTTTAAATTTGTCTCTACTCAATCTATTGGTCATAAATTTGTTATAATATCGTTTGAGGCACAATATTTGATTTCGATATCTTTGGCATCTATTCGTTCGCGAATAAAATGGTATTCTGCATTAATTATGGTTTTATTATGGAGCCTGGGTTTCCGTGTGATTTCGATAGCTCCTTGACTATTCTCGTGGATTATTGTTGGTAATTCTTGTTTGCATCCCAACTCGGTAAGTAGTCGTCGTATCCATATTACTTCCTGAGAAGCTTGACTTAGCGATATGTATTCAGCTTCGCTACTTGACCTTGCGACTATAGATTGTTTCTTGCTGGTCCAATTTATGATTGAGTTGGCTATGGTATAAAGGTATCCGGACGTTGAACGCGTAATCAGCATCTAAATAACCATGTAAAATTGTAAATTACAATCTCTATCGTTGTTATACTTCACACCATATTTCACCGTTCCTTTTATATATCTTAAGATTCGCTTCACTCCATGAAGATGAGTCTTACTTAGGTCTGACATAAACTGTGCTAATAATCCAATTGACGCTGAAATATCGGGCTTTGTTATTGTTGAGACGTGTCAAACATCCGACCATTTGCTGATAAATGAATTGATTGCGATTCTCTTCATCTTCCATTCTCTTTTGGAATCTTTTTCTGGTTTCCAATGATGTAGAAATAGGTTTGCTGTTTCCCATCCCAAATTGAATAAGGATATTTTCTAAGTATTTTTCTTGATTGATGAGTAATATCTTTGCAGCTCGATCTCCCTTGATCGACATTCCAAGGAAAAAATGAATTTCTCCCTGATTTATCATTTTAAACCTTTTGCAAACCAGTTTCTTTTCGGAGTTAGGCATGTCTACATCGTTTGATACAGGAATTATGTCATCAACATAAATTGCCGGGTCACAAAGCTGATATGACTATTTCCCTTTTTCTTAGTTTTAAATAAATACAACTGTCGGCACCACTCTTTCGATATCCTTTTGAGATAAAGAAATTATTTGGTGTTCCATTCCAGCATCTTGCGGATTGCTTTAGTCTGTACAAGTTTTTTTTCAGCTTACAGGCATAATCGGGATTGTTCGTATCCACAAGACCTTCCGGTTGAGTCATGTATATCTCATGATCTATCACTACGCTTAAAAATGCGGTCTCGAGATCCAATTGGTGTATGTCAGGGTCATGCAGATTTGCCAAGGCAAGTAAAGTTCCGATGCTTGAATACCTAACGACAGGCGAAAACACTTCTTTGTAGTCGACACCGTGTGTTTGAGAATAGCCTTGTGCCACTAGTCTGGCTTTATATTGATCAACATTTCCATTGGCGTCACGCTTTACTTTCATCACCCCTTGTGAGCGAATTATATTTCCATTCTTTCGTGGTTGCACTAATTCCCACGTTTTGTTTATTAATAAGGAATTATATTTCTTCTTCCAATGCCTCTTTCCAATTTCTTTTGTTGGGGCTTTTTATTGTTCTCGAACAGACTGATACTCATTATTTCCGTGTGTTAATGGTTCATTACCCAACATTCATCTGGACGAAATCTTACTGGTGCCTTTCTTTGTCTGACTAGACCACTATTTTTCATTTGGCGCATAAAATTTTCCTGTTTCAAATGGTGTTTGCTTCTTCAGGGCACTAGTTGCATTACGATTACGTAGACAGACGGCAGTATTTATGGCTTCTGCACACAATTGAGGTTGTAGTTTGGCATGAAAAAGCATTGAGCGACCCATTTCAAACAATGTTCGATTTAGCCTTTCTGATACTCCATTCTGCTCAGGGGTATATGGGTTAGTTAATTGATTTTGATTCCTCTCTCCACACAGAATTTACGAAATGATTCAGAAACATATTCCCCAACATTGTCAGCTCTTATCGTTCCAACTTTGGTACCCAATTCATTCTCAACCATGCACACATATTCTTTAAACTTGGAAAATATTTCTTTTTTACGTTTGATGAAATACACTTTTACATACCCGGGGAAATCATTCGTAAAGGTAACACAAACTTGCTTTCACCTATTGAGTCTATACTCATAGGACCACAAAGATCACTGTGTATTAATTGAAGTGTTTGACTTGTTTTATTGACACTCTTCTTGGGGAATGGTAAACGATGCATTTTTCTTGAGCACAAGCTTCACATTCCTTGTTCAATTTATCATCAGAGTACTTCAGGCCATTAACTACTTTTCTTTAGCCATCTTATTTAAATACGATTAAATTATGTGACCAAGTCTACAGTGCCATTCTTGCAAAGACGATGTATTAGTTTCAGCTACTTAGGCATATTCCTTTGTATTCACCACGTACAGTTTATTATCTATGATAAGTGCTATGGTTATGCTTCTTCCAACCTTTATAGTAGCACATTGTCCTTGGTCAAATGATACTTTAGCTCCAAGAAAAGTTAATTCAGGTACTGCTAATAAATTCTTTAAAATATCTCGAACATAAAGTACATTATTTAATGCGAGTTGTACAACATTAAATTCATCATAACATGGAATTTTAACTTTTCTTTCACCATATGCATCAATGGTACTTTTTCCACCAAAGTATATTTTGGATGGCTTCCTGTACTCAGTGTAATCGTACATCAAATCTTGTTGAAATGTCATATGTATTGTTGCTCCATTATCAATGAACCAGTTAACATCTAGATAATTTGAAGAACTTGAGCAGGAATTAAGGGCAATTTCATGTTCTGTTTTCCCTTTATTTGCGTCAACAATCTTCGATTGATCGGTTTTACGATAGAGTGGACAATTCTTAGCTTTGTGACAAACTTTTTGAAATTCAAAGCATGTTGGCCACTGACTTGATCCAGATCCTTGATATAGATTTGCTCTGAGGTATGAATTCCCAAGGAACTTTTCCTTTTTATAATCGCTGTGACCATGTCAATTTCTTCCTTGAAATGACCAATTGCTTTTTTTTTGAGAACAGGGCTTCATTTCCACCATGTTTTTCATATTTCCGCTCTTTGTCTTCCCATTTTTTGTATTCTTCTATAAGTAGGCCTTTTATGTTTTCCCATTTCAGTTAATTCCTCCGTTCGAACAATATCAGTTTCTTATTATATTTCCAGGACTGGTAGCCTTTTCCATTCAAATGCTCGATTTTCGTTACCATTTTCGCCATGCTTTATAATCGTGTTGCTAACGCACACCCTCTTATTAAAGAAGCAAATAAAATCAAAGAAGATATTAGTTATGACGTAGATTTTCGATTGACATTCGAAAAATAGCTTCTTCGGCGCTCCTGGGCACATAACCAGATAAAACGGCTATAACGCTAACAAAGAGACTTTTACATCAATGCTAACAGAACACATGTAATATGAAAAAAATTCGGAAGTATATATTACATAGGTCAAATGATAATATAATTACGTAATCATTATAGTAGTCTAATACTTTCAGCACACACTACGACGCACAGAACAACAAAATATTCACAAAAACAAGTTTTTCTGAAATTTTTGTTGATACTAATAATTAAAATTTATGTATGCAATTTCTAAAGATCTAGGATCCGAAAAAATACAAATTGCTTATAAACACGCGAGAAACACGAGTGATGACGAATGATGACGACAGATATTTTTTGGCCTCAATTTTTGGCTTCAGTTATCATTCCAGTTATTTAAATATTGAGTTCAATGAATAAGACTGAAGAGAGCGTGTCATCCAAATTACGATAAATTATTAGCGCACGGTCTGTGTCAAAAACATGGCGGATTTGGCAATATGTGGGTCAAAATCAGCGGAAAGACGCGGGATCATAAATAAAAATTTTTTCGCCAAGCAGGATACTATTATTCCAGTGTACAATGCTCTATATATGAATGACTTAATCAGTGTTTATCCCCGCTCATCTAAAACTGCAAAATTTCGCAAGAAACATCATAACTAATCGCCAATTAAATAAAGCCCCATATCTAGAAAAATTCAATTAACTCGCCTCAAATAATTCTTGTCCACGACAAATTCCATCCACATACTTTGTCTTCACAAGACTTTTTTTGTTTGATCCTGTGCTTGCTTCAACATTGCCGTCAGTTCCTGTTCTTGCTTCAACATTGCCCCCAGTTCTTGTGCTAGCTTTAGCATTGCCGCGAGTTCCTTTGCTTGCTTCAACATTGCCGCCAGTTACTGTGCTTGCTTCAACATTGCCGTCAGTTACTGTGTTTGCTTCAACATGTTCTTTAAAAAACAGTTTGAGCTTATTTATCTACTAGAGTACAGAATAGAGTTTTGTCATTTGCATTATTTCTTGCTTTTTTAAAGGAAACTTTTTTTGACTTTTCAATGTTTTTGTTCAATTTTTTGCTTCTTATTTCTTTTCATGAGATGGAGAAGCCTTTCAGCTTCTAGGATAAAAGTATACGAATTGTGTTTTATTCAATTGGTTTTATTGCCCCCCTATGACATTTCTACATTCACTTCATCATTCTTGTTTGAACACAACACCAGATGTGGATACTCATGCACAAAATCCACTGGCAACTGCTTATGAAATTTATTATTGAGGTGAAAACTTTGCTAATCATTCAAATTTTGCACTTACGTTGCAAATATAGGAAAGACAAAGCAAAGAGAAGAGAAGGGAAGAAGCATTAAAAACACAATTTAATTATAAACACCACTGTAAGTGTTTTGATGATTATTTGCATTTTGCCCAATTCATATATCAATACAACAGAATAAAAATGTGCTACAACTTTACAAGTATTTGATGCAGTTCCTCTTCAGAACAACACAAAAGGGGTTACTTAGTGATTTGTATACAATATTACTTGTTTTCAGTAATCAAACTTATGCAAACTTGAGTCTTTTTGAAATTCAATATGAAATTCAATTACAAAACAGAAAATCATATACATTAAGTCAAGCCGTAAATATCCAAAGATTTATTATTCATCTTTATAAAGAAACAAGTACAAATTCTACAATTGCAAAGAAAAAGGCCAATGCCTATTGCATGAACTTGGAGATAAGCAACGATACACTTTCTATATAGACTAAAGAGTTTAATCAAGCAAACTAGTTTGACACTGCAAATACAAGCATAATTTTTCCTCGCTCTTTCTTCGGGAGGGAGGAGTGAAAAATTGTGAAATTTTCGGTAAATCTCAGCGGCAGAGAACGAAATCATCCATGTTTTTTAAAACATTCGATGTCCGAAGCCGCGTTTGAGATAACCACTCCAGTTATTATAGAACTCAATGCTATAAACCTGTACATCAATACTATAAAAGTGGATAGTCCAATATGGCCACCTCTGGCTTCAGAGAGGTCAAAGTCATTGAACTAAAATACATGGAACGCTACCTGTAATAGAAAAGCCTAATAATTTCTTGAAGCCAAATCTTACACCCAGACACGCAAGATTACACCTTGACACGCGTGTGTAGTCAATTAATTTTCATTCCGCGAGAGAATCTCGAAACACAAAACACCCGTGTCTGGGTGTAATCTCACGTGTCTGGGTGTAAGATTTGGCTTCAATTATTTGCTTTAGTTAGCGTTCCATGTATTTTAGTTCAATGGTCAAAGTTGGGTTATCCAGTTTAATACATATCATTGGCTCTAACAGTCAAATAGTATTTTTGTTATATCATCACAGAATAAATAACCTAACAAAAGGCCCACTCGCGTCGGAGCCTTTGATGTTCGTGTCCCCCACTTTTCTGAATCCAAATTCTGAACGGCCGCGCCCTTCAGCAAAATACTTCAGCAAGATTGTAATTGTAATTACAGGAGAATTTAAAAAATATATTCTTTTTTATGAAGTAAACCGAATTTATCGTGAAAATTTTACTGTCAAATTGTGTTAGACAGAAAGTACACTTCAGAAAATCGAATAAAGTTGGAATTATTTCACGAGAAATTTCTCGAAAATTTCTTCAAAGTCTGAAGTTCTTACTGACATTTCTCAGGACAGATGACAGAGGATGGTACAAATATTAAAAAAAAACCAATAAAAATCAGTTTCTACTACGAATACTTCTGGATGAACGACGGGTTAGATTTGCTTGGTTTTACATATTATTACATATGTTTCATTGTAACCTAATTGCGAGACGATTTGTTGATTGAAACCATTCACGATTAGCAAGATGTGGTCGATGCACATTTTACAAATTATTCGATAGGCCATAAAACATGATTATGAGTGAAACGGAACTGGAATCCTTAGGAGTTTCTTGAAAATGTTTGTACCGACATTTTAAATGATGTTCTCCAAATAGCAGAAGTTTGGGCATTCAAGCCACCAAAATTGATTCCTTAATGTGCTTTAATGGAACAAAATATCTTTCCACAAGATGATAATGCTTGCTTGCAGCTGGTGTAGCTATGAATCTTAAATGACTTTTTAAGCAAGTATAGCCAAGAAACATAAGCACCGCATTGTCTTGTATATTATTTGACTGATATTTTTTCTCTGTAGTCTGGTGTTAACTGATAAAGTCTTCACATTTTGCCCAAATTTACAAATTGTTGTAATGACATTTAGAACATTTGTTCATAAGGTCCTGAGTCCTGACAATGCAATTTAGTACCCATTCTTTCATTCTGAAACAATGCTGGATTTATGAAAAACAAGTTGCAGTTATTGTTTCCCATTGTTTTTTCATAATATATTTATTATGCTCCTAAAAAGTTGCAAGTTATCTTGTTTGGTGTTTTGGAAAACAAGAAAACTCAAATCTGATCTTGTTAGCTTGCAGTGAGAACAGTTTACTACTGAACAGTGCGTTCTTGACCCACCTTGAAACTTTAATTATTTCTTTGTGGCCATTTGTAGCTTTGAGATGTTTATATTCAAAAATAAGTTGGTGTTCAAATTTGTTTTTAGTTAACAATTTTTCTGCCTATATCTCAGTGACTACAAGCACTTTTAAAAAAACATTTGCAACTTGCTTTCTCAGCAATTAGTGTCAAGGACAGGAATCAACATTGTTGTGTGGTTGATGAAATGGGATTTCTGGTTTCAGTGCTTTTACATGAAACTTAATATTTTAAAAGTAAAGAAAATATTGATATTTATTTCAACGATATCAAAATAACTTCTGTTAATTAAACATTTGTCATAAAATCAAGTGAATTTTAAACAACATTTTTAAATCGTCTTTTCAAATGAAATTGCAGATATGCAACACCGTGATTTATTCAATACAAATATAAAAATATCGTTAATTCATAGATACAGAAAATAACGCAAGAATGCTTAGCCTATGTAATTACTCTTTCCAAGTCTCCAGACTTCAAGATGAAACAGTCAAAGCAAATGCAGTATGTGCTGCATTCAAGTATTTCGAAATGAATTCTTTCCTTATACTGCGGATCTTGTTATGTTTTACTTATCATAAGAATAGCTGATTTGCAATAAGTATGGTAAAACTGCAAAAAAATGGCGTGCAAATGTAAAATGAAGTACCAGTACACGATGGACACTAAGGCCATATTCTAAGATTAATTTAATAAAATCTCGTTAAAATATTATTTAGCTATTTTTTGTACTACAAACGTTTTGTACCTTATTTCCTTTCAAGATGACCTCTTCTGGTAAAATTTTTCGGCAAACGTTCGCTTTGAATGTGAATTACTAACCAAAAAAAACATACTCTTGCTATACAACTATACTTATTTTGTGAAAGTATGTTGCTGGAGTCAAGAGGAAGTCCCACTACATGTAATGGAAAAATGCGCCAAAATTTTGGCTGAGTGGGCCTTTGTTACGTTATCTATTCTGTGATATCATGTCACTATGGAAAGCCATAGATATACTTAGGTCATGCAAATTTATTTTAATGGGTGCTTTGAGCATTATATGCGGTGTTTTGACAACTATACGCGGTGCTTACTGCTTTGGCCATTATATTCGGTGAGCCACAAGGGCGGATCTAGGATTTTTAAAAACATCAGTAATAAAACGTCGGAGGCGCTCCGCACCTGGGGGGATCTGATTCATTTTCCCCTGAGAAATTTTGAATTTCAGAGCCTTGAAAATGCCATTTTCAGCGTTTTAGAGCAACACAAAATGTATTTTGTGGGCATCGTTTATGCGTACAAACAGCACATTTTGCTTACGTTTTTTTTAAAAAAAAATGAATTGAACAATACTTGAATCTTTTTCCAAATATTTAGGCTCATTATCATATAGTCTTTAAAAATTTCTACCAAGTTGTCAGGCATAGACCCCCCTAGAGACCCCCATTCAAACCTCTATGTAATGAGTTAAGTTAGAAATTTGGTACTACAAGTGACAGTTCATAGATATAGAAAAGTTCAGACTTCAAACCATGCCAGTTTATTGTAACCCTTTACCAATCTCCACATCAGTGCCAGCAAATTCACCTTTTGAGAAAAAAAACTCAAAATTTTTTCTGCCAAAGATTAAGCAAAAATTATCAGAGTGAAAATTTGCATTTTAAGGACAGCTTAATGCCATAAATGTTTATTAGGCATTTCACTACACTATTATCTTCTGTGAGTATATGCAATGTGAGCTATATAGCGATTACTAGTAGCATTGTATTTGCAAATAGAAACAGAATGTAACCAACATGTCTTTAATTATACAATTACATGAATGTAAAAATTGGTTCATGTGTCATGCTCGCTGGTTATGATAAATATCTTTTCATATGATCAAAGCTTGTTTAAATGTAAATCTGAAATAATTTAGTTTAGAAATTATAATGATCATCAGAAAAATTGCCTAGTGATCATGAAAAATACTTTGCTGTTTTGCCAAATTTCAAGGTTTATCTGCATACATAGAAAGACATTTTTACTTTATAGAAAATGCTTTTCATACATCAATAGCCCTTTGGAATTTATGGCAAACAATCTGGCATGAGCCGTAGATTAACACACCTTTACATCTCTACATGAGGTGTTCAGTTAGAAAAGGGGACAATATGTGACATGGGACAACATTTCATGTATGTGAAATACTCAGGTTTATTACCATTCCAATCAAATTGTCAAAACAAAAACCTTCATGGATCAGAAGACGCAAAATCACAGGTTATAGTAAACAGCTTCTCATGTAATCAATGTTAGTTTTCTCAAATCTTAAACAGTATTTAATGTAACTGTCCAATGATTGAATGATCAATGATCATAAACTGAAAAGCCCCAAACATTTGTTTATGATAAAGTAAATAATTAAAAACCTTGTTAGGATTAATATATTATGTATATTCTCTGATGATGGCTTTGGAATAAAGTAGAAACAAGGTGCCATCCAGTAAACTGCTATAGTGGCGAGAATGTCGCGTCCAAACGCAGTTTAAAAGAGATTTGACTCGTCTCCAATCCCTGTGGGCTTGGTAGCTCAACAGGTAGAGCGGCGGACTAGTATCCCGAAGGTGCGAGTTCAAATCTCGTCCAAGTCACATGTTTTTCATGTGCATTTTAAAAGCCATGTTAGGATTAATATATTAAGGAAATAATAGTATGGCGTCTTATGGCTACAGATTTTTTGTCCATTGAAATACATTTGCAGGAATGTAGGATTTCGCTGGAACGTAGGATTTCGTAGGAATGGCCAGGATTCCTCAAGCAATAAAGAAATCATAGCTCAAAGTCCTACGGAAACAACAATTTTAGAAGCATCAATCTGCTTACCATACGCCATATTGACATAAATCGCATCACACACTCGCATAAATTAACTTTGATATATTACATTCATGCATACACTTCACTTTTCCTTTACTTCCGATTTTGGATGTAAATTTCTGCTGATAAAACTGATTTGACATACTCACGTGCTTAAACATTACTGGAAAATAATTCTTTTAGCGAAAAATGGAGGAAATATTGCAGTCATTGCAAATGGGAAATTTAGTAAGTCGTTTCCAAGAACAAAGAATGGCACCACCGGCTGTTATGGCTTTGTCCGATTCAGAATGGTCTCGTCTTGGAGTTACCACAATTGGAGAGCGAATTCGCATTCGTGATGCGTCTAAAAAGAAATTAGATGAAACCGAACCTTCCACAAGCTGAACAAACGACATCCTTCAAGAGCGACTATCGCTCTTTAACCCACGAAGGTCTAATAGTCGCAATAGCACACGTGCTGCATCTAGAAACGCGACTGGGAATATTCGTAAGCGTTCATTATCGAAAAGCCATCCATGGACACCGACTTTTGTCTGCTTGGTTGAGCATCTAGCTCGCAAAGCACCATCGTGGCTGGACAAGGAGATCCTTTTTAAGGCTGGGTTAGGAGTAAAAAAGATAAAACTCGATATGGAAGATGATGAAGAAAATGTTGTCAGTAAAATAACATCAAATTCCCTGGACGACAATAGAAGTCATTTAGGTTTTTCCTCAACTTAAGACATGTGGTGGCTTTGAAATGATGCGCTGTGCCCCCAACTGTCGTGATTTTACCGTGCTCCATTGCTCATGTAACGCAAAAGACCTTCGTGCAAATTTGGGTGGCGGTCAAAGTAAGATATATTTACGACCAATTCAAATGTCTTAGTCCAAAAAGGCATCGGTCCAGCAAAGCCAGTCTGAAGTGAAGGATAGATGAAAAATGTGCAACCTGAAGATTCTTGTTCGTCGGCTTCGAGGCCATTTATGGTCATGTATGGAAAGACTGGACACTAGTGATGAAGATGGCGAAGACACGGAACCTGGTCAGTTTGCTCAGGAGGAAAGTCGAATTTATATCTGGTCAAATACCATCCTCTTGCAACTCCTTAATGTCACTTCCTGCATTATCTGAAGCATCTTTGTCACACAAAATCAAGAGACAATAGCAAGTGTACTAACCACCTACAAATGTCTAGGTCGTAGACCTCACAGTAAAAAAGAATCAGAGATCGCTCACATGGAAATGATTGTGGACGACATTGTCGATGATACAGTAGCCTATTGTGAGCAATATAATGTATTGAGTTCTGTTAAAATATAGCGCTGTTTCCAAAGAATTTTTGGAGTTTTCTTCAACCATGTCATACTGAAACTTTGACGATCAGGAAGTTGACAAGCTTGCTAAGAGCAAATTTTAGTGATCATGAGCTCAAATAAAAGAAATCAAATATATCAAGAGTTCATGAAATATATTAGAAAGTGGCAAGTAAAGTAAAGAGAAAGTCACTTTTGATGGTTTTAAATTACCTCACAATTACATACTGATACTTATGTCATTCTGATATTCAATTGAGATAGAAGAAATTTAGGTTTGTGTGACATTTTAACTTTAGGTGGAAGACGGGGAGATATCACATTGCAGCACATATTGATGTTTGTGACATGTGCAGATGAGGAGCACAACTGGGTTTTACTATACCACCAATAACATTTGTTCCTGCACAAGAAGATGGCAAGTTTGTTCCAAAGCTAATACATTTATTTGTTCGCTTGGCGTTCCACATGCCACAACCTAATTCCTCTAGGTATAATGCTCAAGCTTACCCTATAATGCTCAACGTACCCTTTGAAATAAATTTGCACGAACTAAGACAGCTATGGCTTTCCATCTCATTTGTTACGCTATTTTAATTTGATGCTTTGAGTATTTCATAGCGAACGGTCATGCGTTTCGACGGTCTTTCTTATATTTCGCTACTTCGCTGAATATAAATATAAATATAAATATTGGCAGATTTTTATGCTGATCTTGCCAAGCAAATACACGAGCGAGATGAGATTACGCTTGAGCAACTATTGGGCGCCATTAGTAGCTCCTCAGACAGTATTTGCAGAATTTATTGCGTGGAAATATTTGCATTGCTATGGCTGTTAGAAATCGAAAGGCTAAGTCATGCATACCTTTGACGTAATTATGGATTTTATATAATCCGAGATAAAATCTACCTCATATTTCGCTAACATTATCAGATAAATCCCAGAGGAAAGTTATGCATTGTTGCTTGTGTTGTGATCTCTGAAACTAAAAGCACTAGACAAAATCTGCACGCTAAAAGTTTACAGCTAAACGCGTGTCAGGTTACATTACAGGTTACTTGTGTTGGGTAGATCTTATCATCATTTAACTTGCTTATTTCTTTGTTTCAAGACATACATATTTTAAACTTTGTCTTTATGAATGTGTAGTTAGGTAAATGCTGTCCCTGATACTTGATTGTTAATTCGGCTATTAACTACCGTATTGAATAATTTAATTCAATTCCTGCTTATAATTGTGAGCAGTAATGCAGTATAACATATTTACTCGATGTTTTTATATTGACTATTTCTACATCCTCTGTGTGAAATGTGAGATTTTATTGTTTGTTAGCTACTTTATTGCTTAATAAAACTAAATAGAATTATAAGATGATTATATTATAAATATATTAAATAATGCCATATATAGAACATTTTGAAAGAACATTAAAGGCTGTCCATGTTCGATAATGTTTTAAAACTTGGGGCATTGTACTAGGCATGCTAATGAGCCCTGATATTGGGATAAACAGTCTGTCAACTTCTTATGAAAGGGAATTCATCTTAGCTATTGTAAGTTTATAATCGAAAAAGCCTTATACTCGCTACCTGTGATGCAATATATGATTTCATCGATGACGTCATACTTGATGCTCAATATGACGTCATAAATTTTTGACAAACGTACGAATATTTCTAGACCCACCCCTGCCAGATCGACGTCTTGGGTTTTGTACAAATTGAAGCATTTGCCTCACGTTTCTCATCAAGATATATTCGCATTGGAGACTGTTATCAGGTAGAGATTTTCAATTGTTCATCTAGATATACATAACATGGCCCGTAAATTTGCTCACACCTAGTGGAACAAAAATATTTAGGTTTGTAAGAAAATGTTTCTCCTCCATTTTCCTATTTTGTTCATTAAGTAGTTCTTGAAGCAGACATTGCTCGAAGCCAGCTATATAGACAGATAAGAATGAAGAAGACCTCGAAGGCAAAGAGATTATCAAAAAATTGATGTTCAGGGCAAGCATTAATTTTCAAGGATAAGGGGTTATGTCTTATGTCTGTTTTGTATTATGTCTTAAAGGGGGTATTCTTCGGACAAGACTCATCAAATATTTCTACATGGTTAATTAAATGGAATTTTGAAGAACACAATCCCTCTGAAAATCAGATTAAAACCAAGCAGCGAATAATCAAATGCATCTAATCTGGCTTTAATAACAAATATCTTTACTAGCATCGTCAAATATTGTCCAGACCATGCTGTGCTAGAGCGTGCATGGTTAGGTGACCAGTTGAAAGTTTTTTGTTTCAGCCTAGTTCAGAAACATTTCATAAATAACTCTCAGAAGTTAGTTAATCTCAGCGTCGAAATATCGGAATCGCCGATGAAATCAGATTGTGAAAAAGTTTACGAGTTAAGCAAATTTGCAAAGGCAAATTATTACTTTGAACGAGTGAATGATACTTTCAAAAATTAGCTGTTATAAAGTTCTTTGGATAAACAATTTGTCTAATCACTTTCTCTCAACAATTTAGGTTTTTTAATTGCATGTACACTGATTTAAATATTTCTCGCTGCATGACTTCATTCGCATTCGCACAGGTGGCACTTTAGTCACGTGTCATAAAAGTAACAAGCATATTTAATAATTGCACTTTAAAATGAAATTTCTCGAACCATTTTTCATGTTTTTCTTTGGCTTATAGACGTCTTTTCTCTAGTACTTTTTTAAACTTTCTTTAATTTGGCACCGTCCAATATTGGAGCTTCTATTTACAAGACATACAAAGTGAAAGTGATGTGTTATAATAATTTGATTGCTAATATCTGAAATTACTAAACAAATATATTTTTGCAAATGAATCATTTTAAATTCAGTATACATACATTTGGATATGAGGCATTGAGTTCTGTAAGCGATAATTCAGCTGCAGCATAATTAAACACCCTCTCCCCACCCACTAAGAGTTCTACTTTCGGCCCTGTATACAGTGGTCCATGCTACAATATCTGAGAAAACATGATACAATCATTGACTTCTGTAAGGGATATTTCAGCAGCAGCAATGTCAAACATCCCCTCCCTCTCACACTAAAAATTTTAGTTTCGGCCCTCTATATAATTGTTTGTGCTACAATATCAGAGAAAACATGATACACCCAATAAGTTTTGTAAGCGATAATTCAGCAGCATCATTATTAAACATCCTCTCCCTCACCCCACTAAAAGTTACAGTTTGGCCTTCTATACAGTGGTCAGTGCTACAATATCTGAGAAAACATGATATAGCCATTGAGTTCTGGAAGCGATGTTTCAGCAGCAGCGTTATTAAACACACGACCCCCCACCCTTTTAAACGTTATTATTTTGGCCTTCTATACAGTGGTCAGGGCTATAATATCTGAGAAAATATGATACAGCCATTAAGTTCTGTAAGCGATATTTCAGCAGCAGCGTTATTAAACATCCCCTCCCGCACCACACTAAAAATTACAGTTTTGACCTTTTGTACAGTGGTCAGTGCTACAATATCTGAGAAAACATGATTCAGCCATTGAGTTCTGAAAGCGATGTTTCAGCTGCAGCGTTATTAAACACCCCCTACCCCACCGACTAAGAGTTCTAGTTTCGGACCTCTATATAGTGGTTTGTGTTACAATATATGAGAAAACTTGATATAGCCATTGCTTTCTGTAAACGACATTTCAGGAGCAGTGTTATTCTTGCTCAATTGGGTGTCTTAAGTCGTAAGTGGCTTGGTCTGATTGATGTGCACTTTTTAATGGAAGTCATCTAGCCAGTTCACAATCATCAAGGGCTCATTTTTACAATCTTAAAATTTTTTACAATATATATTTATGGTAGTAATGAATATTTTTTCTCATAATATTTTTTCTCTTCGAATTTAAGTAAATAAAGACTGATAAGCAAAGAAGTGATGTCAATATCACGTAAAAATATTATGTAATCAAATTGCTGTTGTACAACGATCACATAATTAAGTGTAATAAAAAATGAGAAAATTCAAGCTAGTATGCTTACCTTTTAATTCATTATTTGACCTGAGAGCTGCATGAATCCGAACAGGGAGACTGGGGAATGTTTCAACAAAATACGTCCTGTAATCGCCAATCTTATAAAATGGTTCTGGTTGTGGTAGAGGTCGTGGTCCATCGTTCCGATGCTGGCCAATATCTTGAATGAGCCTTAAGCATTCTGTCCATGACGATCCATACTTTCTTCCATTTACCAAATATTCATAAACATCGTTATCCATTTGACTTTTCCAATTTGAAGATTCAATATTAATTTGTTGCACGAGACTAGAGTGGGGATAATTTCTTCTAATTGACAGTAAGTCACCAACTTTACATAAAAAGTGAAATATGTCGTCATCCGACAGAAGAAATGGATGTTTCAAGGCTTCTTTGGCAGATGGTCTTTCTTCTGGTTGTAGTTTTAACATCCACGACAGAAGGTCTTTTAATGTTTCATCTTTGATTTCGTCTAAACCAACAGGTTTCCCATTCAACATGTTGTCCAGTCTAAGCCGTTTAGTTCCAAAAGGATGTTTCCCTTTTGTTGCAACATAATAAGCCACCATTCCTGCATTCTAAGATAATGAAAAATGTAACATTAACAGAAAAATTAAACTCTCACAAAACTAAATTTCGCTGTGAGCATTGTAAATGTCAACATTCTTACACTTACATATACATCAGACTCTTTTTTGTAACGTGCTTTATTTAAATCTTCATTACGTGCTTCATTTGAATCTTCGTCGTCACGATATGATTCAGGAGCAATCCAATATTCAGTTCCCCTGTTAAACTTGCTTTTGTATGTTGTAGATCCATTCTTCAACATTCGACTAATTCCAAAGTCAGCTATCAGAAATTTGCCGTCTACGTCACGGAGAACATTGCAAGGTTTCAAATCCCGATGAATAATAGGATTTGAGCCACTATGAAGATCATTTAATCCATTCAAAATATTTCTAAGAATATCGGGAAGAGCTTTTTGAAGATCATGTATAGTAGTATTACATTTTTTCACAAACTTCTCCAGTGATTCCTCACATAAGTCTAAGATCAAGTAAACATACTCTGTTCCAGTATCTTCCTCTAAGAAGTAATAATTCACAACATATTTCGACTTTTTTGCATTGAATTCATTTAAAATTTTCTTTTCATGCTGTGCAGGCTGGAAGTAGTTATCTCTACGTATTTGTTTCACTGCTTTACCGTAGCCATCATTTGTCAGTCCAAGATAAACACGGGTTTCATTATTTCCTTCGCCGAGCATAAACTTCTTCGAGAAAATTACACGAACATTGCCCACATATTTAATATCTGCTCCGGGATTTCTGCCACACAATTCTAACAACAGACTTTTATGCTCAACTGAATGACCAAGATATTCCCACTTTTGCGAATGCCATTCTTCAAATGACACAAAAGTATTACATTCAGAGGTGAGTGCAACAAAACTAATCAAATTCATAAGAATATGTAGCTCAAATTTACTCAAATACACTTAAAATTTGGATAACGACATTAAATTTTTGTAAAATCTAAGCACCAATCATCAAAATTGTCAAAAATTAATCAATTATGCAAACATATATCTATTAAGATTAAAGGCAAGCGATACAGAAAAATGTAGTTTTTAATTTAATATAGCACTTTTGTTTAAACAACGCAGTGCTAACAAAATGAATTTTTGTGTAGAAAAATTGAAGTTTTCGAAGCATGTAGCTATTTCTTATGCTTAAGTTTATATTTTATAGTGGAAGATAAAACAAAATGGCTTTGTTTCAACAAAATATTTTTTCACTCTTTTTCCTTTTAGACAAAGTTTCTAATCTTTACTACTAAACTTTTCATGAACTGACAGATTAAAGAGTCTTTACTTGCTCAACCTCCATGCAGTGTCATCTGTCTTATTCCCATTACCACTATCTTAAAACCATACAACAATGTAGGATTTGTACTGTCCTGTAATCCTCTCTTTTCATATTAGTTGAAATTATTTTGCCATTTAACACAAAGAACTCATTTCTACAACCCATCCACATACACTCTACATCAATCTGAACTTCTACTTCGTCTAACCACATTACTCTTTCCTCTACATTCTAGAGCATGATTCCTCTTCTACACTAACCCAAACCGTATGAATAGATAGTGTTAGTATGAAAATATCTAAAAATGAGCACTTTCCTAACTAAAGCTAAGACTTCGTCATTCATGATGATAGACAAGTAGAGGTTTCCCTTTTCTTCTTTCGATGTATTCATACACCTCCTGTTCTTTGGTTTTTCTCTACGCTTCTTACTGTGTACATAACTGATAATTGCCTTCACCCTATCTACGTAGGCCTTGTTTACATGAGACCGGAACAAAGTCAAACCGGAATGAAAATCAGAATTTATTCCATGTTTACATGGGACCGGCAGGAAACACGAAAAATCCTCATTTGCAGAATGCCTCGTTTGCAGGCTAATTTTACGCTTATGTATTTTTGGAAATATTGTTATGTGAGCAAAGGAAGTAATACACCATATGATTTTTTATTATTTGTTAACATTTTAAATAATATAGTGAGCATTGATTGGGCAAACATTTGATGTATGTTGAATTATAACTTTGCGATGTTTTATGGAATTTTGTGAAGCTTTACTTTAATACTTTTGAGCATTTCTCTAGTAATTTCATTAAAAGCACTATTGCCAATACACATTTAATATAAACGACAACAGAAATAGACATGTTTCGACATCTCATGATGCCATCTTCAGTATGAGTGAAATAATAGGTGATACAGGGTTTATATAAAAGTAATATAATACATAAATTACAACAATAAAAGGAAATAAGATAAATTAATGGGAGCGTCCGAGCGTATTATAAACTAAATATTGTATTGAATTTAAAACTTGAACATTGAGGTCAGGGTTAGTTTTGTTAATGTGGGTGTTCTTTGATTTTAAGAATGAATGAGGTGTCGGCAGTGTCGATGATTTTGAAACAAAGGGTGAATAGTTGGTTTTGCATGAGTGAGATTTAAGAAGGTGTCGGTAGATATAAGAGTTTGTCTGTTGTGGTATGTTCCTGATTCTGGTGGATAAATGGCGCGAAGTTTCGCCAATGTATCAGGGAACATCCCGCGCAATTGAATTCATATACCACCATAGATTTAATTGAATCAGGGATTGGGTCTTTAAATGAAAAAGGTTTTGATTTTGAATGATGTGAAAATTAGTCGAATGTCAATATCTGTACAGAAGCGTTTCATAATGTTTGTAAGTCTGCGTTGTGTGTGTCGTGAGTAATGTCCGATGTATGGTAGTTTAAAGTATAGAGTTGTTATTTTGGAATTTTCATTTGTGTTGGTTGTGATCGTCGTGTCAGGAGTTTCAGTGTCTAGGTTGAGGTTGTTGCTAGGTTTGTTGTCGAGATATCGTTTTACGGTTCTATTAATAAAGTGAAGTGGGAAAGAGTTTCGTAAAAGAGTGGATGTGATGTTTTTTATGTCTCGTTGAAAGCCATTGTTCGTATTGTTAAGTTTGTATGCTCTGTCGATTAGTGTGCGTATAAGTCTGGTTTTGTATGAAATTGGTGTGAAACTAAAATAGTTCGTTAGAAGTCCTGTGTTTGTTGGTTTGTGGTATGTAGATGTTGTACAGCTGTCGTGAGATTTTGTTAGTAAAATGTCAAGACATGGCAGATGATCTTGTTGTTCAGTTTCAAAAGAAAAACTAATGTTTGCGTGCTGTGTGTTAATGTAATTATACAACTTCATGGCCTCAGTTTCGTTAATAAAAACACAAAAAATATCGTCAACGTATCTGCGGTAAAATAGTGTCGTGGTAGTTGTTTAGCCAGTTTCGTTCATGTGAGCCCATGAAAATGTTAGCAAGTATGGGTGCTAAGGGAGAGCCCATCGCAACACCGTCCGTCTGGTCATGAAATTTTCCATTAAATAAAGAATGTGTCTGTGCTGTTGCTATTAAAAACAGTTGTTTGAGGTCTGTCCTGTTTATCCTGAACCTGGGGTTGTGAGTGAATATTAAGTCGATTGCTAGGTTGATGGTTTCAGTAAGTGGTATGTTAGTAAATAGGCTTTCAACGTCGTAGGAGATGAAGAATTTGTGACAAGAAGTTGATGAGTTGAAAGATGAGAAGTCATCGAGGAAAGTGAAAGAATCTTTAGTGGAGTGGTCATCTGGTATGAGTGGTGTTAATAGAGAACTAAGATACTTAGCTAACTTATAATTTTATGCGTTGATTGATGAAACTATCGGTCGTAGTAGAGGCGATTGTTCTGATTTTCGTTTCTTGTGAAGCTTCTTTAAACCATAGAAGCGTGAAGGTTGAGAACCTCTGGGGAAGATATCATTATAAACTTTGTTGCTAATAGAGTCTTTCTTTAGAAGCTTCCTTAACAGTCGTTGTAGTTTGGCTTCACGTGGTAGTGTGACGTCTTCTTTGAGTGGGGTAAACTTTGCCGTATTGTTAATGATTTTAAGGCAGGAGTTACGATACATTTGACGATCCATGATTACAACGCCGTTGCCTTTGTCCGGTTTGAGAATGATAATGTTTGGATTGTTGCGAATGTTTTTAAGGATGTGATGTTTTTTGAAGTCAGCTGGTGTCGGGTGATAAGATGAGATGTACGAGTGAGCGATGTGTGCCAGCTCTGTTTTAAGATGCGTGTAGTCTTCTTGATTGCAAATGTTGTGTTTTAAAGTTTGGTGGATTTTTTTGAATGTTGCCAGAATGTCGGTTGAGTTGAGTCGCAGTGGTTTAATGCCGAACCCAAGGCATTTTTCAGGAGTTCTAGTTCTTCGTCTTTTAATTGGTGTGATGATAGATTGGTTATCGTCTCGTTGTGTGTGAATGGTAGGGTTCTGTTCTTCGCGAGATTACTTAGTTTTTTCCGATGTGTGGTAATTGTCTTTTGTGGGTATTTGGTGTATCATTAATTTATCTTAATTCCTTTTTATTGTTGTAATTTATGTATCATATTAAGTAAGTAAGTAATGGACTCCGTCAATTTCCACGTATGAGCGTTCCACACAAAGTGGAACATCCTAGTCACTGAAATTATAGTGAAGGCAGCTGATCAGACTACAATCACTCGTACCTTTCACGCAACTACAACGCTGATATCAGCGTGACACAGGATGACAAGGCTGCAACATTGCAGATGCAGATACAGTCCATCCGAGGACATAGTTTCCTCTACCAAATTTCCCTCACAACCCGGGCTAGGTTTTCAGACACATTGCCAGATGTGCCGGGATTGAACCTGCGCCGTCTGGCTTACAGCTCACGCAATTAACCATTCAGCCACCCGCCCCGTCCCCATATGTATCATTTTACTTTTATATAAACCCTGTATCACCTATTATTTCACTCATACTGAAGATGGCATCATGAGATGTCGAAACATGTCTATTTTCAAAAAAGTTATCGTTTATATTAAATGTGTATTGGTAGTGCTTTTACGAAATTATGAAGCATTATTTACGACCTGCTTTTAAAAATACGAAAAGAAAGGTTTCCTTATCAGAATTGCGGAAGTTTGAAAAGCTTCAAACCAAGCAACTTGAAGCAGAATTAAGAATGTTATGTTTCTTAAAGATTGTCTTTCACTCGGCGTTATCCAAAGTTTCTCTGCTTTCCACTACCAAATGTCAACTTAACCAAGATAGCTTTGCGATACAGACGACTATTACGCAGCGCAATCAAAAACGAACAAAGAGGAAAGAAAGGAAGTTATCGAATGAAGTAACAAAATATCCAGAAAGTTTAAAGAATAATTTATCCTCTCTTGACTGGAATATTATAAACAAAGCTCTGAAAAACATTACCAAATACCACAAAAGGCAATTGCCACACATCGGAAAAACTAAGTAATCTCACGAGGAACAGAACCCTACCATTCACACACAACGAGACGATAACCAATCTATCATCGCACCAATTAAAGACGAAGAAGTAAAACCTGAAAAACGGTCTTGGGTTCAGCATTAAACCTGCGACTCAACTCAATAGGCATTCTGGCAGCATTCAAAAAATCCACCAAACTATAAAACACAACATTCGCAATCAGATGACTACACGCATCTTAAAACAGAGCTGGCGCATCGCTCACTCATTGCATCTCATCTTATCACCCGACACCAGCTGACTTCAAAACATCATCCTTAAAACATTCGCAACAATCAAACATTATCATTCTCAAACCGGACAAAGGCAACGGCGTTGTAATCATGGATCGTCAAATGTATCAACCTGCCTTCATTAACAATACGGCAAAGTTTACCTCAAGAAGACGTCACACTACCACGTGAAGCCAAACTACAACGACTGTTAAGGAAGCTTCTAAAGAAAGACTCTATTAACAGCAAAGTTTATAATGATATCTTCCC